CCTGCCCACCTGCGCTCCGAAATGCCCGCACAAAACGACTTGCTCCCGCGCGACGACCTCAGCGAGGCCATGTACGCTGGCGTCAAGCTCGACGCCCTCGTCCGCGCCGCCGCGCCGCGTGACAGCGTCCCAGATATTGCAGGCGCCAGGGCCGCCGAGCCCACAAGAAGCCCCAGAAACACCCCGGGCGCTCGGCACGGCCAAACCGCCGATACCAGGAAAACCGCCGATACCAGGAAAAACCGCCGATACCAGGAAAACCGCCGATACCAGGAAAAACCGCCGATACCAGTGAAAGCGCTGATCCCCGCCAACACACTGATCCCCGCCAAATCGCCGATGCCATCGAAACCACCGGTACCCGCCAAATCGCCGATGCCAGCCAAAGCGCCGATCCCCGCCAGACCACCCAGCACAGCCGGCCCTCGCGCCCCTGGACGCTCCGCAGGGTGCTCGCCGGCGCGCACCAGGGCTGGGTGCGCAGCTTGGCCGTGGACCCCGTGTCCAACGCGTGGTTCGTATCCGGCCTGGCGGACGCGCAGATCAAGGTGTGGGACCTCGCGTCCGGCGCCGTGCGGGCGGCGCTCCCGGGCCACGTGTTGGGCGTGCGTGCGCTCGCCGTGTCGCGCCGCCACCCCTACTTGTTCTCCGGCTCCGAGGACAAGACGCTCCGCTGCTGGGACTTGGAGCGCTCGCACGCGCCCGCCGGCTGCCAGGTGCGCGACTACCACGGCCACGTGGGCTGCGTGTACGCGGTGGCGCTCCACCCGGAGTTGGACCTCGTGTTCAGCGCCGGCCGCGACCTGGCCGTCCGCGTGTGGGACATGCGCTCGCGGGCGCCGGCCATGGTGCTCGCGGGCCACCGCGGCGACGTCACCAGCTTGGCCGTGCAGACGGGCGACCCGCAGGTGTGCTCCGCGGCCATGGACTCCACCGTTCGGCTCTGGGACCTCCGCCAGCAGCGGGCCCTCGTCACGTTGACCCACCACGCCAAGGGCGTGCGCCTGTTGCACATGCACCCGCACGAGCGGACCATGGTGTCTGCGGACGCCGCCGGCTGCGTGCGCCAGTGGCTCTTGCCGGGCGGCCGGCTCCTCCACCAGTTCGGGCACGTGGACGCGCACTCGCGCGACGCGGGCGGCATCGTCAACACGCTCGCGGTGAACCCGGCGACGGACGAGTTGTTTGCGGGCTACCACGACGGGCGCATGCAGTTCTTCGACTACGCGTCGGGCCGCGTGTTGCAGGACGGCCGGACCACGCCGTCCCCGGGCACGGCCTCGCCGGTGATATACACGTCTGCGTTCGACATGCTGGGCTCGCGCTTGATCACGGGCGAGAACGACAAGAGCATCAAGATCTGGGGGTGCGACCAGTGAGCCGGCGCCGGCAGGCGTTTCCCAAAGGCCGGGCGGCCTGTGCGCTTGGACGAAGTCGGTGGGTGTGATGAGCGGCAGCAGTGTGGGTTTAGGAAGGGCTGGGCCGGAAGCACCGGCGGATGCTGTGTCAAGTGCCGGCTCGGGCGCGGCAAAGAGGATCAGTGGGGGATCGAGCTGTACCGGGAGAAATGTCCATGCTGGAGCGCCCAGTATGGGAATCTGGGGTATATCGGCTGAGGCAGTCAGGAACCCATTTATTCCGGAGCACCAAGTATGGAATCTGGGGTCTAGCGACGGAAGCTGTCAGGTACCCATTTATTCCGGAGCGCCAAGTATGGAATCTGGGGTCTAGCGACGGAAGCTGTCAGGTACCCATTTATTCCGGAGCGCCAAGTATGGAATTTGGGGTCTAGCGACGGAAGCTGTCAGGTACCCATTTATTCCGAAGCACCAAGTATGGAATCTGGGGTCTATCGGCTGAGGCATACAGGGAAACCCCATTCTGCAGCAACGATCATGACAATTCAACCAGCACCAAGCAAGCTGACAGGCGTCGGCGCGGAATTAACCTTAGACTTGCACCACTGCACTATGTGAACTGACATGTTTCATCCGTCCACCAACGCAGGGAATCAATTACGGAAGCACCATGTTCACAGCATCAACACCAGAAAGATTCCATATGGCAGAATCAGTGGAAGGAAACCTCAAGGAAAGACTGAAAAAGGACAATCGCAGGATCCCGACTGATGAGCACCAACCGAAGCAAATCAATCGGAAAAGTACAAAGCAAGGCAACAATCGAAACAATATCGTCATTAAAGGAACGCCCGCGGAAAGCCGCTCAAGCAGTGCCACTTTAGCAAGCAAAGGGCGAAGTAGTACCAACTGAAAATTTACCATTTCGGGGGACCCTTGCACTAGATGAACCGAGCCAGAGCCACCCAAGAGAGTGCAGTCGAAAATCAACTGAACATCAGGCTGAACTCGTATCCCGCACACAATGTCCATCGAAGCACATCCAGACAACGTCTGATGAGCGATTCGCGCAGGTGAACCCACTAAAAAGTATCAATTAAGAATCTCAACTATGCAACGGCCGTTCGAGAACAGGGACAGGGGCCGCACCAACTGAAACAGTGCCGACGGAAACAGTTTTACCGAATAAGCATCACTCGAATGGTGTCTGCCAAGGCCTGCTGAACACGGTCACGCCTGGAATGCCAGCTGGATAGTCTCAAATTCACAAACCGGCCCCCGGGCAACTGAGGCAGCTCTGAACCAGCGTTCCCCGAACAACTCTCCCATGTCCTAGCATAGCAGTGCGCAGAGCCAGCCCTCGCATGCAGCCCCACCAGCCAAAGAGCCGCCCGCGCCTCACCAGCCAAACCTCAACTGGTTGGCCGTGAACGACGGCGGCACCCAGCTCAACTTCTGCGGGTCGAGCTCGTGCTTCTTCTTCTCGCGCACCTTCTTCATCATCTTCTCGTACAAGGCCATGATCTGGTCCGTGATCACTATGATGTGCTGGCCCTTGTAGTACTTGATGATCTGAAGCGTCGCGAGTGTGTGGAGCACGTCCGTGGTGGTCATGCACAAGTTGTTGGCAATTTCCTCGATGGTGATCTCCAGCGGCCCGCTCGCGGTGCGTGGTGGCGGCAGGCCGGTGTCCCGGTCCTCCCGCTGGGCGTTGTTTTCCCGCCAGAGATGCGGGTTGGCGCGTTCCACAAGAAGCTTGACCAACACATCCGTCCAGTACGCCCGGTACGAGAGCAAGCCCAAGTCCGACAACGGCTTTTCGGGCGACCCGTTCTTGTGCTCCACTTTCGAGAGCATGTACGAGAACTGGATCAAGAGCTTGCCGTACCCCATTTTCTGGTAGCACGGGAGCGTCATGATACACGCCACATTATAGCCGTCCGCGCTCTCCTTCTCCTTGGAGAAGTAGCCCACCACGTGGTGGCCCTGCGGCGACTTCTTGGTCATGATATAGAAGAGAAACGGGTCCACGTCGTAGTAGAGCGTCTTGTGGTCCAAGAAGAGCTTCAGGAGAAGACAGAGGTTGCGGCACCACGTGCGCTGCTTGCGGCCGTCGATCTCCCAGAAACTGACCTTTTCGTCGCGGTAGATCTCGTTTCCGGGCGGGTGCTTCATCAGGCACTTGGCGCGGTGCCGCTCGAACTGCTTGCGCGAGCTGAAGTACAGCAACGTGAAGTCGCAGATGTAGATCTCGTCCTCTTCTGTGAGCTCGATCGGGTACGGCGAGAAGTACCACGGCTCGATGACAAACAGGCCCAAGATCACGGCGGAGAGATTGCGCACACGCGCCACCTCCGAGTGGTTCTGGATCATGGACCCGCCGGTGCGCAACTTCTTGATTTCGTCCTCCCGCAGCTCCTCCTCGCCGGGCCTTTTGAGGCCCTGCACATTCAAGTTGTCGAGGTCCAACTCGTCGGCCTGGGCCTTGCCGGGACCGCCTTTCTGCAGCAGTTTCAGATTCAGCTCCAGTTTCAGGGTCAGTTTCAGGTTCGGCCCCAGTTTCAGATCCAGTTTCAGCTTCAGCTTCAGTTTCAGTTTGGTGGGCTTCTTCTCCTCGGGCTCCTCCTCCTTCATTATCAACGGCACGGAGTAGTCGATGCGGTCCGCCGCCACCCACTCGTCCAACCGCTTGTTGTAGTCCTGGTAATGCACATAGAACCGCCTCTGGCCCTTTTTGACGTGGCTCTGCAAGATCTCCGCGAGTCTCTTTTCGTTTTCCTTGAACACATAGACCTTGCACCCCGTGACGATGTCATCGGCCGTAAACGGCGCCCCCGAGAGCTCTGTATTGGAAATGACAATGGGCGTGGTGACCCCTGGCACCGGCAGTTGAGAGGGCAGCATTTCCGGGGCAATTCACCTGGTTTTGCGGGGATTTCGTGGTGGCTCTACTGGTGGCTCTACTGGAGTATGGTGGAAGGCCTGTGCTGATCATGTGACCCGTGGGGCCTGGGTGCGCGTTGGGGCGAGGTGCTGGATGGGTATCTAATAATAATAGAGTTATCTGTATAAACATACGTGGGGTGACTAGAGCTTATATAATTAACCTTCAAGGAGCAAGAGAACCCCCTCACTCCTATAAGAAAAGCTTTCAGTATTCCATGGGCCAAGCTTGCAATGTGCAGTTTCATGCCACCAACATGTCAGATATCTCTGAGTATCATTGTTATTAGCGAGCCCTCGGGAAATGCACCGAATACTCTGCAGCTCTGTCCAGGCCTTTAGTTTGGGGATTAGTTTGGGAGATTAAAACAGGAGAAAAAACTCAGCATGAGCGTTCAGAAAAATAAAATGATAAGCTGCACAACATCCCCAGTCTTTTGACGCTCCGTGGCTTTATCTATCTCAGAATCGCGCTTATACTCGCTCTATGCGCGGCCATGTATAGTTTCCAAGGCACTCTGTTTGATGGCCAAACTGATGCCATTTGATAATCCGAGTGTTGAGCTTGTGTGGAGTGCCACGTTTTCCGAGCCGAATATCCAGCATTTTTCTTTGTTGAAAAATACGGTGTTTCAAAGTCGACTTGGTGGGTGTATGATTCTGCACAACGAGCAGCCGTTTCGCATCAATTACTCGCAAGGGCCCGCTATAATTATTTCCGTTCTTAAAAGAAAGGACAAAAATTTGAAATCTGCACCTTTATTATCCAACTTAAATTATGAAATTACTTAATTGATAACGTTTTCAATACCTTCTTTAAGTTCTACAGCTAGTTTTCGTAGAGTAAATGAATTTTCTTTTAGCCACACGAACCCGTCGCCATAACAGCCCAGATTGGCAAGCCCAATTTAACTCTTTTAAGGTTGGCCGAGGTCCAATCTCGCCGTGAAAACCCTGGATTCCTTCGTTGATCTCCCTGCCCCACTGCTTGTCGTTGTAGCTGTTAAACGGTGACAGAATTGGATCTGTCTAATTTGTTCAGCAACAAAAGGTTCTACAGTGAACCGACGCGTTTGGTTCCAAACAGGGCTTCTAGGTTGATGTTTCCTTTGCGAAACCAGCACAAGTCATGGGCTTCACAAGCAAACTGACTAAACTTAAATTTCTGAAAAACACTGCTGTCCGAAAGACTTTAGCTAGTATAAGAGCCCAGAATCTTGAGTACAAAGTTTTGTTTTACATCACGTGTCAGCTTGGTACAGATTCTGAACAACATGTTTGGAAGTGATAGCGTGGAGTTTAGAGATATAGAACTGCAAGCCATATAGGGCCATCTTGAAAAACCTTCCTCAAAAACATTTTCTTCATTTTTTTCAAATTGGTCGGGGATAGCAAAAGGAAATTCATGAGGGCAACTTCAAAACTTCCGATTTAAAGGAGGCGAGAATCTCTACCGAGCTTGAATTCATCATGACCACAGACCACGACAGAGAGAGATCCATGAATTTTACTATACCAAATTTTTCGACCATGTCTATGTTCTGGCAATTGACCTGAATATACGGACCCACCAGCTTACTCAGGAACCGCCAGAGACCTAAACACATATATATCTTCAACACGCATATCCCAGGATCCACATTTGTATGGAATAGGCTGGATGTGCCTGGATGTCTGATACTTCGGCAAAGTATATTAGAAAGCAATCAGAAAGTTTGAGCCAAAAATCGAAAGGCGCAAAAATCCCAAGGAAGCGCTGCTGTGGTAGAGACATGGAACTCTCTCAATTATTTAATTTCATATCATCCTTTATTTTCCGGACCCATTATTCCCTGGTACAAAAATTGGAGAGAAACTTTCAACTGTCAGAGCCGGTGTACGTAAATATCAGGTTCGTAAAATAACTACCAGGAGAATATTGAAGTGTTGTTCCCTCTAAATGTTTCGGGACAGCAACTCGATAAAAGATTAAATAAGTTCAATATCTAAATAATTTTGAAAGTAGTGCACGTTACTGATGTTAGGACTGAAGAATGAGCCAAAACGTATGGAAAGATATAGCTAGCTTGAATCAAAGAGAGAGAGGAAGACATGTACACAATGTTTTTAAAGCAATATTTTGAGCTCAAGAAGCAAACCCCGTTGCTTCACCTAGTCCCAATTGTGATCAAGCGGTGTATTTGCTTCTGGCATATAATTACTTTGATAGACCTGTTATCTTGACTCGTCCAATGGACCTTTTGTGTAAATCAATACTTCCAACAAACAAATTATCTACAATTGCCAAGATATCATTAGGATTCTGGAGCAAAAAAATTACCCAAGAATTTTTTATCAGACTTGAAAGCGTATTTCTTATTGTTTTGGTAGTTCAAAGAATATATTCCAGTAAATTCAGACCTCAAATATGTCCACCTTTGACGGTCAAGATTGTTAGGCTTACACTACGACAAGTAATTCCGAGCGATTTGGTACTTAATCAATGCACCGAGATGTTTGGTTGTGGCGCCAAATGCTGACATTATTGCATTGATTATGTTATTCATCAGGTACATTGTATTGCATCGTCGTAATTAATTATAAAGGCCACCACTGACTCAATTTTAATCAAAGTTCATACCACACAGAGTCTTCTAAGTGGCACTATTACGGAGGAAACGCCGTGAAATCTCAATTTCGTGGCAGGTCATTCGATTTCCAGTATTTGGATAAAAGGTTCTGTGCTATAAGGCCTGAGTACAGACAAGTTTTGTTACAAGCCGGTCTTCACTTATTCAAAACAAAGTCACTGATTATTCAATTGGGGAAAGTTTCTGTAAGCAATTATCACTTGCAGACAAGCCAAATCATGTTGCATGATGAAATACACAACAAATTTTGACCAGTTGTAGAATCGGATGCTTTCTATTTTCTTAAGCTTACGATAGACATTTTTCGCAAACAAATATCTTCCGCAGTAAGAACTTTTTATGTGAGGTTAGGGTTTCATCAGGTCTAGAAAAGTTTCAGCTGGGCGGTAGTCGATCAAAACAAAATACGTAAAAGGCTCAGTGAAATTGACACTAACCTGGGGATTTGGATCTAGAAAATGTTCATGCTCTTTTTTCATCTCTAGTTTAAGATGGTAAGTATCTAACGAGGCAATACTTAGCATCCTTATTTTTGAGTAATAGTCTTTCTGACGCTGCTCTTCAGACCTAAGGCAGTATACGTTAAATCAAAAAAAGCATCTTGATCTGGGCTTACAAGCAAGCACACATCATCGGATTAAATGAATATCTTGTAAGCTCTCACTTTCGAGTGAGTCGACTAAAAACTTGATTTTAAGCTTTTCACTACCCAAGTACATCTCTTAAGTGATGTTCAAAAATTTAACTCACTGTTAGCGTATTTTGTCTATTATGAAGCAATTCACCGACTTGTGAGTATTGGCATGGCATGCTGTCACGAGTCCAAAGCCACTCAAGGCTCGAAAAAGATTCCTTCTCACAAAATATAGCAATTTATATCACCATAAACACTTTAATACAACTGAGGACTTTTTTGTGAGCTGCAAAAAATTTGTACAGTACGCTTCAAGTGGAGAAGGGCTGACAACAGTTGTGCTGGAAGTAATAATGAAAAGACAATAATTAAAAGAAAGAGCTTTCATGGTTTCTATTCAGGCACAAATTTAATTCAGTATAAAATCAAACGGTTCAAGAAAAGATCAAGGACGATTGATCTCTTCAAAATAATATATTCTATTCATTTAACAGTACTCTTCTTGGATGGTGCTGAGTAACTCGTCTTATAAAAAATTTACAGACCATAAAAACTATAGAGTCAATTTAAAGGGTTTTTACTTGAAGTTTCCTAATAAATTTGAAAACCTAGGCCAACTTAGTCAACAACTTTCCCCTTGGCTTTTCCTCGGTAAACAACTTGTTCCAAACCTCAGGAATTTTCTCGAGTGGATTTTCGAACTTGGAGACATCTTCAATGTGGACTCCTTCGTCTACTTTCACTTTCCCGCTCTTGATAACCGCAACAATATCTTTGGTAGCTTCGGGGAAGTCAGAGAAGAAGTCAAATGCAATAAAACCCTGCACTGTCAAGCGGTTGCTAATGATTTCACCCCAACAATTGACGCTCATCTTTGACGCGTCATTGTAACCAGAAATAGCACCACAAGCAATAATGCGACCATATCTTTTAGTACGTGTCAACGCATAATCCAACATTTCTCCTCCAACGTTGTCATAATAGACATCAAAAGTTTCTTCTCCCATAAATTTATCGATCTTACTCTTGTAGTCAGCGTCCCTGTAGTTTACACAGACATCCGCTCCCAAAGACTCAACCCATTTGCATTTCTCATCAGAGCCAGCAATGCCAACAACCTTGGATGCTTTGAAAAGGTGTTTCGCGAGCAGAACCACCATAGAACCTGTAGCCCCAGAAGCAGCAGAAACAAGCACGGACTGGCCTTCTTTGAATTGACCAATCTTCTGCAAGCCAAAGTACGCGGTTAAACCAGTGAGACCAATTGCAGATAAGTACCATTCGTAAGGAAGAGACTTGTCAACCTTGCCACTAACACTAGCCTCAGGAACAATAAGTTCGTCACCCCAGTGAAACACACCCGTAATAACATCCCCCGCTGCATATTTGTCAGACTTTGACTCAAGCACCTCACCCAAACCTAAAGTTCTTATGGCTTCACCTTTAACCACTGGAGGCATGTACTGTCTCTTGGGGTCTTGACCGGCAGAAATCCATAATCTTTGAGTGGGGTCATTTGAGAAATATAAAACCTTGACTCTCACCTCACCATCTTTGACAGCTGGAAGTTCAGAACTCATCAATTTGAAAGTCGAGTTGCTCTGACCCCAAGACAAATTCATTTTTTCAGTGGGAGGAGTTTGGAGAATGATTTGAGACACCATTGCGAGGTATAGAGTTGATTGTTCTTTTGTATGATTTAAAGGCACAAACTGCTATTTGAAGGAATATTCAATGTCTTATATATTGCAATATCAATGGGATTTAAAGCTTACAAATTACTCAAATGCTTACTAAGGAAATTCGACATTGAAGAGATTTGAATAGAGATTCCCCACGGTCAGAATGCATACAGATGCTAATCTTGCATAGAGTGTTTAGGATTATTAAGCGTGCTAAAGCATATCCCAATTTGCTGACTTGTACCGAAGTAGAATACATGAATGAGCTGCTGCCGCTTTATTGTCTTCAATGTGTATCACTTAAATTCTATCAAAATAGATTGAAGCTTGAAGCTGAAGCCCAATATAATTGACTTTGCACATTTATACCAGATGCAGGGAATTTTGTAAACAACAGGACTTCATTACATCGCGCCTTTATCGGTAATAGTCAATAATTAAGTTTTAGGCACTCTCGTGTTTTGTTCTCTGCTTCTTTGCAGGTCTACAGAAGCTTGGTTCTTTCATTGCTTATGCATATCTCGACTTTGTCATTATTACTAGAATCTTAGAATATCTCGATCTCTACATTTCATCTCTTTAATTCACATCGTTCATTGGACCTGGTGAAGAAGATATTTGCTCAACTGACTGAAAATTCGATGCAACGACGAGCAAAGAACCAATCGACAGCTAAATATACAGTTCATCTGCTCTGCTCATGCTTCAAATAAATTAGACCTTCTTATTGAAAAACATTCTCAAAGAAATGATATACATCACTCAAAGCTTGTGTTTGCAGCTCAAACTCCAAGTGAATAACTCGCACAAGGCGAATATTAGAAAAAAAAATGACTAGAAGCATGGGCCAAGCTAGCAATCTTTAGTAACGAGAGGGGAATACTCAAGTTTTGCACATAGTTGTCCAAATTGGCCTCTAATCCACTGTTAGAATTGAATTGTAGCTGTGTGCTCCTATCATTCTGCACTACTTCTACCCTAGAACAACAATAAAAATCAAAATCGTTTTATTTGGGGTGAAACCCTAATGAGCAGTTTGAGTGTGAAGTAAAAATAGTGCCAATCGATGTAGTCTTTTGGCGCATATGTTTTGCCTACAAAGTATGAGACCAGTGGATCAAACCACCTTTTGCAGAAAAAACGACCAGGAAAGACGTTGTACCGTTTAGCATAAATGAACAAAAGCAGTGATCTTATATTTGGGACTGGAAAGCTGGAGGAAATCATATGGGTGAAATACTCGTATATCTGGAGACGAACCGTTACGGTTCCCCAAAGACAAGAATAATCATCACAAAAATTTTGAGAATGGAGACGGCTGGTAATATTTGCTACGACGCCGAAGCATGTGTAGCACTGTGAAAAGATTTGCATCTCTCAACACTCATACTCCGGTCCGGAGCAGCCATGATTATACTTGTATCTGGCCCTGTGCATATTGTTCGATGGTGAAAGAAGTCCATCATCAAATGGTGCTGAACGTGCGACTTCCTATTGTTACATGAGTAATCTGCCAGATACATGACCGGTGGTCTTCCAGGATCCAGCTCATCTTCACTATATCACAAAGCGTTCCCAGCAACGGAGCAGCCAGTCCTTTCCCTGGCCTTATTACTGTTCAAATTTGGTGATGACCAGCTCCTTGTCCAGAGCCAGTCAATCTGCCGCTCCCAACTCTGGCACGCCTCTCACAAAACCCAGAAAGTTCATGCCCTTTGCTTCCGGCCAACTTCCAGAAGCTCCCCACGCAATGCGTTTACTGACCCGATTCCCTCCACTTGGTGACCGTCTTCACATCCGGGCTCTCAAGCAAGTGGCCGACCGCCAAGTAGCCGACGTTGGCCGAAGAAAAGTCGGCAATGAAGCGCACAAGCTTGAGTCTCAAAGCGTCCAAGGCGTCGGCCCGGCTTTCCAAGGAGCCCGAGCTCAAGACGCCCACCAAGGCCTTGCAGTCGTCGACCAAGTTGCGCTCCAAGCACGCAAGAACGAGCTCCTGCACATCGAGGTTCCACACGTTGCCGTCGCCGTTCATGCCGCTCAAGTAGTAGTTGTCCACGGTCAAGTAGTTGAAGTAGTCATGGAGCCGTTTGCGGAGAACAAACTCCGGGAACATCTGCGAGGGCACATACTTCGTTTTCAAGCGCAAGGCCGCGCAGAGCAAGCGCACGTGGCGCGGCGGCATGTTGTATGCGGTTTTCATCATGTAGTCGGCCACCAGCCCGATTTCGGCCGGGGTCATCTGCGCCTGCAAGTCTTTCATGGGCCCGGGGCGCCAGATTCTCGGGAGAAGCAGCGGGAGCACGCACGTCAGCGGCGTGAGCTCGGGGAACGCGTAGCAGAGCACCGGCGTGGTCTCCATGAAAATGGCGCAGAGCACGGCAAACGCCGGGATCTTGACGAAGTCCGGCGGCGTCCGGCGGAGCAACTGGAAGTCGGCACGTGACATGCCGAGGAGCCCCGGCGAGACACACGCCTCTGCGGCGGCGCCTGCTCGGACCACGTCGCCCGTGGTGGCGGCCTTCTCGGCCCTGTTTTCGACAAGGTTCATGTACAAGTGCTGGGCCATGTGGCGGGTGAGCGCACGGGGCCCGGGCACGCGGACCGCCGTTTCCCGGCCCGCGCGGCCGAGCGACCCGGACATTTTGTACGACTGTTTCATGAGCGTTTTTGCCTGTTTGTGGTTGCGCCACACGGCCGACACGCCGTGCTTGTAGAAGCGCATCAACTGCTTGACGTAGGCAAGGCCCTGCTTGGCTTTGACCTGCACGGCCGGCTTGCCGGCGTTAGTAAGGGCTACGTCCAGATAGATCTGAGATTTCAGGGGCATGCTGAGCGGGAGGGTCAGGGGCACGTTGACGGCCGAGGCCGTTTGCTGGCTCCATAGTGACTGGAGCATGGGCGAGCGGTCCAATGCCAGTAGGAACTGCTTGCGCAGCGTGCCGTAGAGAAAGAGGCCCCGCGAGCTCATGGGAACATGGAAACCGAAAACAAAGACGAAAACAAAGAAAAAAACCTGCTGTGCTGGTTGTTGAGAAGAACGACTAGTAGCACCGGTGCTTGGGTGCAATATGGCCATGCCCCAGCTATGCCTGGCGATGCGCCGCGCGCCGTATATGCCAGACGTGCGCCGAGGCTCATATAGCCCGGGTCTCCAGGCGGCGACCAGAAGGGCAAGGCACGGCGGAAACGGGCAAAGAACTTGAGGGTGGCTATCGGCATACCCCAGAGATACGGCCGCTTTTTTCCGTTTTTTCAAAACGCCCGTTTTGGGCCTTTTCGCCCGGGCCTCACGTGGCCCTACGTGGCCTTCCGGGCCGCCCGCACCCAGACATCTCCGCGACCACCGTCTCCATCACGAGTGCTATATATTAGGCCGGTCACTAGAATTCAGCTGCCCGTTGGTTCTGCCCCTACATTAGCTACCCAAGTATCTTCCGTTCGCCGCGTGGCCCAGATTGTTTGAATCTCGGCCCCGACTCTTCCCGCTGCTCCTGACGTGCCCCGCCTGTTGCTGTGCACCACCACCGACTGCAAATTAGGTCTGTGGCCGCCTCGGATCCGCCAGCATGCAGAAAAAAATCGTGCTGCAGGCCGACCTCGCCAAGTGGACAGACTCTGCTAGTCACGGCGCGCTCTTGCGGTTTCTCGAACGGCTTCAAACGGCGGTGGTGGGCGTCACCAATGACGCGCCTGTGCCCGGGTCGAAAACCATCGATTCTCTCTTGCAGATCTTGCAGCAAGTCGAGCGGCTCGTCCAGGCCCACCCCGTGGTGAAAGACGCGGACGTGTCGCGCTTCGGCAAGCCGGAGTTCCGAGAGTTCTACGACGATTTGCACGCCCGTGCGCCCGCCTGGATGGCCGGCTTGTGTCTGCCTGAAACCCAGCGCTATGCGCCGGAAATGCTGGCCTATTTCGCCGAGTCTTGGGGGAACCGCACGCGGATCGACTACGGGTCTGGCCACGAGCTCAACTTCGTGCTCTTTCTATACACGCTCCATGAAACCGGCATCCTAGTGGAGGCCGACTACACCGCAGCTATCGTGAAGGTGTTCACGCAGTACATGGCCATCATGCGCCAGCTCCAGAAGACATACTGGCTCGAGCCTGCGGGGTCGCACGGCGTGTGGGGCCTCGACGACTACCATTTCCTCCCGTTTCTTTTTGGCGCAGCACAGCTCAAAACACACCCGCACATGAAGCCCAAGCTGATCCACAACAAGGAGCTCGTGGAGTCCTTGTGGCGCCAGTATATGTACTTGGAGTGCATCCAGTTCATCAACGACATCAAAACCGTGCCTGGCGTCGACAAAGCCAGCGCCAGTCTCCGCTGGCACTCGCCCATGTTGGACGACATCTCGCTGGCCAGACTGTGGGCCAAGATTTCCGACGGCATGATCAAAATGTACCGCGCAGAAGTCTTGGGCAAGCTTCCCATAGTGCAGCACATCATGTTTGGCGAGCTCTTTCCAGCGCCTGACGGCCTCACGGGCCATGCAGAGAATGTGGAAGATGACTGTGGTCACGTGCACCCCAAACAAGGGATCAATACCTGGGGCGACTGTTGTGGCATCAAGATACCTAGTGCGGTGGCTGCGTCCCAGGCTAACCAGCGGGTGCCTTTCGATTGATCCTCGGATCAGATGGGTGGTTCCATGAATGCTTCGAGTGTGCTTCCTCTTGAGGGAAAGACAACGCGTAGATTCACAACTACCACTGTTGAATTGTCAAATGAAAGACGGCACGAGCAGGGCTGTCTCGTGCGAACGGTCGTGTGTCTGCTTTTGTCATTGGCAATACTTTAGTTTGAATTCTCACTTGGTTATGGGACTTATGCGACTTGTCGCTCGACTCAAGCTCGAGTCAGACTGACATCATGGTGGTGGTTCACCGGCCAGCTCTGTCTCATACTGAGTAGTGTCTTTGTCTTTTGTTTTTATTGGAACCTAGCTTGTCTGAATGTAAAACAAAACAATTTGTCTGCTTTTCTGTCTAAAGAAAACGGCGTAGCTGCTGCGGCCTTTTTCATAATATTTGGTCGCAGCAATGTTTTCGAAGCCAATTGGCCAACAGTTTGTATGAGCCGTTTTTTTCCTGTGTTCATAGGCAGAACACCCGACAAGACGTGGTCAAAGCAACACGTGGGGTGTTTCTTTCACAATTACCAATGCAACGCTCTCTTTATACATCCAAGTTCTGAAAGCTTCTTGTGTGTGATATAATCTATGGATGCACGGCCTCTGGATCTAGTTCGTGTTATTGCTCAATTGGATGTGTCGCAGGCTGACGAATTCTGTGTTTTTTTTTGAATTCTGATTCTGGTGCTTTGACTAGAGTACTCTCTAGCGTTCTGTTTCTATGTAAAAGAAAAGGAGAATCAGTGTTCAAATGGGAAATTATTACCATGTCACACGTTCTAAAGTAGCTGTAGTAACTTGAACTTTATGAAGAAGGTTTTCGAAGGACTCTACTGCTTTGATCGGCACTCACCGTTTCAATCGAATTTTCGCTTAGACCTACACGAGTCTCACAAATAAACACTTAGGATTGTCCAATCTAACAGTTTGGAACCATTCTTTTATAGTAGAACTCTTGAAGTGGGAGTGTAATGGAGCAAAATTAGACAAGCATGTTCTCGTTGGGAGAAGAGACCAATTTATATAATGGCATGTTTGTTGTGTTTTTAATCGTTTATTCGGGAAGATGTACCCACGGGATGATCCGCAAGTACCACCAGCAGGGTCTACAAAAGCGGCAGGTTTTCCGGATCCCGGGTTAATTGGCATGCGGCCCATTGTCCTAGGGCCACACTTTTCGGCATAATATTCATCCCCGTAATCGTCCTCGCTAGAAAATGAGCGAAGATCGTATACAAAGAAGTGCATGCGTCCAAAGTTTTTTAGATTAAGTCTGCGAAAACTGCAGTGGTTCCATTCATGGAGCTCCAGTTTGATCTCAGAATCGTTTCTCGCAAAAATCCTCCCGAGACTCTACCAGAAGGCACACTCGAGCAAAGCAAAGCAAACCAAGCAAAGCCAACCAAGCAAAGGTCCTCCAGTGTAAGACGCGAGGCCTCTAGGCACTCCCCGTGGCCTCTCACTTTCCATCTACTCCGTATATCCTATGCTGGTCGCAATGAGCACGTTCCGGGGGATTTGCCCAGGAAAGGGCAACAACAACGACATTCGGCATTTGGCATCGTCGACCTTCGACACGTGTGCGTATCCCAACACGCTAGCATTGAGCAAGTCGCGAGGGGCGATTTTCCCGTTGGCCGGCACCGGGGCCTGAGTGATCGCAATAATGGAGTTTTCCAAGTTCGAGCTGTTGGGCTCGTCGAGTCGCACGAGAAACTTGTCCAATGAGCTATCCTCCTTTTTCGCCTCGGACTCCCCATCGTCCTCGGCCGTGTACGAGTCACCTGCCGGGAGAAACGCCATTTGCGACGCGTATTCCGACAGCTTGACCGTCTTGTATATGGTGTAATTCTTCATGTCGACATCGGTCTTGTAGGGCGACAACCGGGTCTTGAAGTTGCCGTTGAAGTACTCCTTGATCGTGTCCTCTTGGGCCTTTCTGACGAACGAGTCGTCGACCTCAGCCACTGCACTGTTGCGGGCCATTTTTACCACGTCTAGTGTCTGCCGGGCGATCTTGTGTGCAAACTTTCTCTTGAGGTCCACGGCAAGCCGGTCGCTGCCCGTGACCAAGATGATGTTGATGTCGAAATCCGCCACGATATTTTCCACCACCGCCGCGTCCTTCATGGACAAGCTGGGCGTGTCCACTATGAGCCCGCCCGTGCGGATCTGGTCATCCTGGCTGGCCCGCGATAGGCAGGCAATGCCGAGCTGTGCCACCTGGTGCTTGTACAAGTCCACGTTTTCCGAAAACTCGTAGAACCCGAAGCTTTTCACAAGCGGCTGTTTCGGGTTGTGGTACGTGGCGCCCGACGTGGTGGAGCCGCCCCATCCGTTGACACTCTCGAGGTCGAAAGCATCACTGATGGGCGTCGCCGTGAGCGACCCCGGCACGGAAAAGACCCCGGTTTTCGGGTCTAGGTTGACAAAGAGCGGCACGCGGTCCATCTTCACTGCGTACGCCGCCAAGGTCTTGGCAAGCGCCGTTTTGCCGGATTGCGAGCTGCCCAATACAAGCACACGGGGGCCGTTTCTGTCCGTGCTGGCCGCGGCCTCGTGGCGCATGACCTCGAGGGCAAAGTGCGCGTTTGTGTACTGCAGCGCAGGGCTGTCGTCGCTGAGATACTCGGAGATTTTGGCGTCTTCGTTGGAGATATTGAGCTCCTCTTTGTTTGGCCCCACTTCGTACTGGAGGCGGCAGCCCGCCGCGAGCGGCGCGTAGATGGCGTATTTGCAGCCGGTGAGCCGGACCTCCACGTCGTTGGGGAGCTCCGTGCCGAAGATCTCCGCCACGCCCTCGATGATTTTCACCTTCATTACCAGCTTGAACGGGCACTCGAAACGCCACTCGGCACGCGCCGGAATGGTGACCTCGACGGCCAGCGTGGGTTCTTCGAACGCCGCGGAGGCTGCGAATCCGGGAATTGACATACCGATGTTTTGTGTGTGGAGAAATCCGTGGGGTACCAAAGACTGGACCCACGGCCTTGTTCACTGCTGGAGATGGTGGGCCTGCTATGTGCAGGACCCACGGACCTCTTGCTACGGAGGCGATGGGTGTGGCTCCCGGCCGGGCTGTTTTTTTTTTAATGGTGAGCTCCGATCGAGTCTTGGGAGTCAAATATCTGGGACTGGATAGCTGATGTGTTTTGTGCTGTATGAGCATCGGGCTTGCTGGCTTGTAATGCGTGTTCGCTGTTTTATTGGAGGCGCTCAGCTGTAGACTTGACTTCAAGAGATTGGCCACTTTTCTATTTTCGGCTGCATCCAAACAAGTATGGGTACGCCTCTCAATTTTTCAAACACGGAGCTACCACAGAGCTTCGCTAGATGGTTCACCGCTTGCAACAGTGGGTAAGAGTATCTGGGTGCGAAATTCATAATTCTCGCGTACGCCAGCTCCCCAAGGTTGGCACTTTCATCGCACACGGACCTCTTTGAGTAATTTGATATATTTCGATCTGGGCCTGCTTGAGCTATTGAAGAAACGTTTGCTTTATGTTCTATGAAATTGGCAGCTGAGAGAGTAGCTCTGGTGCCTCTCCTGTAATGGTGGTTCCTGAGACAACCTTGGAAAGAGCAGTTCATGCTATGAGGTTTGACACCTCGAATAAAGAAGTATATATGATAATGACTAGTATTTTCCTAGGACCCATATATCTACTGTAAGGCTTGGGCGCTGTCACAGTGTATATGGAGTCTCCCCAACGATCCCGGCATATGTCCACTGTCCCCCTAGTTGAGCTCTGTTGGGAGGCTCTTTGGCGCATACCTCATTCATTAATGACAATCTATATCGATCCGTATATCTATGCTTTTACGAAAGATTCTTTTTTTTTCAATATTCGTGAACATATTTATCCTCTAACTACTCCTGGTGCTCAGACCTCAGACCTACTCCACCGACTTTTCTGGCCCACTTCCCCGAGTTAGAGTGATCAAGCATGGCTTCTATCAAAAAGATGCAGCTTTCAGACGCATGCTCAACTTCTACCACTAATTCTCGAGACGGTATTGAGCATCGCAGCTGCAGTCTGTAAAATTATCCACTGGTCGTCGATTCAAAACATTACAAAAGTTGAGGTGTGTAATAAATAGTGCTATTCCGTATCGGCTTGTACGAGCAGGATCAGGAAGCACACATGGGTGAGCATTCAAAACAGGATCAATATCAAGCGAGTCACCAAAGAACCTCTCCATGTACGGTACCAACTTTCTCGGTATTCCTGGTGTCAGAACATGACTATTGCGCTAATTGTGTAGTTTCCCGGAGTGGACAAAACACAGATTGTCCATACCCAGTGACTTCCTTCCAACCCGCTTTTGCTGACTGTGAAAGAACAAGGCAACTACATTTTCAAGATTAGGAAGTTTTCGGCAGCATTACGCTGCAGGCAGAAGATGTTTCTGGGTTGAAACCGAAACATGCAGCTCTGCTAGTTCTCAATTGACGCATGCATGCTCTCTTTCACCAGACTGCCGACTAGCCCCCAAGGCGCCTGATTGAAACTGTGGTCTTCTCCCCTCTATTAAACCAACAGAGACTTCCACCACGAACCAGTCAGTGGCATTAGTAAAGTCTCTCGTAGCAGCAGGGTCCTGTCTCCGTCATGAAAACACTCTCAGATCCCCGAAAAATTGAGCTTCTTCGGCTTGAATTTCCTCTGCTCCTCCAGCAACACCTCGACCTTCCGCTCGCCCGTGCGGTGGTTGATCAATTCCATGTGTGTCGAATAGTCAACCGCGGACTTGTCGGAAGAAAAGGGGTTGAATTGCCTGTGGCCACGTGACAGTTGCGGGGCGTCAGCCGCTGCATCCTTGGACTCCAAAAACGGATTGGCAAGTCTGGCAATAGACGTGGCCTCCGCGTCCGATTCGTCCTCGTCGGAGGAAAAACTGGCACGGAACGCGTTCCCATGCCAGCTGTGCACTTTTTCTTCAGTTATAAGCTGTTTTCCAGGGGTCTCGGGCACTTGTTTGCGGGGCCGGCCCCGTTTGCTCGGGCTGTCTGGAAGGTCCTGTTCAAAGTCCAAGTTGTTGTTGATTTCGAAGATTTCCGCCAGCCCAAACACACCAGAAAGCTTGGGCTGCGCCGTGGCTGTGCTCGCGTGTTTCCGGCCACTACCCACGAGCCCGTGGTTCGGCAAAAGAGCATTGAATGATTCTGTGGGAGGCAGAATGCGCTCGAAACTCAACTTTTTCCGTTTGGACCGCGGCGACCGCCGCGGCGTGAAGTCGGGCGACGGCGGGAAGAGCGTGGTTCCGTGTGCCGGGCCTGCAAGGGCATCCGGGGTCAGCAATCCAGGCTTCTTACGGGTAGTGGCGGGGGTCTGGAGCTGCACGTGACCTGGCCTTGGGTAGGATTCTGGAGTCACGTCTGGAAGCTGGAACTTGGGCACGGGTTTATTCCCAAAGCTCTTGCGGGTGCTCGAGGGCGGTGTTTGCGGCACGCCTCTGGGAGTAGTGTGGCCCACCATGGTGTTTTATGAGGGGTGGCCGGGTCTATGGAGTTATGTATGGGAGAATGGTGAGGTCCGATGTGATGGCCCTGTGGATCCGTGCACCGTGAATCTGATAGTAAAGGCAGGCAGAGGATCGGGTGGCCAAGCGGGAATGTTTTATTGCCCGGGGATTTTTTTTATTTTCCGGTTGGACTGATGAGCCTGGGTTTGTATTAAAGGCAAGTTTGAGCAAACTGGGAAAAAAATTGTGAACGTGCAACGCAGGCTCGGGCTGTTATGGGTGGCTGGCTAATTCCTATATCCAGCGACGCGCGTCTTCTTTACGCGTGCTAGAACAGTAATAGTATTTTATATAGTAATTATATATTGTATTCTCTTATATTTCTTTATTTACAGCTGCATACAAACCAGTATTTCAAGTTGATATCAAGACTCAATTAGTTACTACCAGCCTGGCCAATCATACGCTGTTTTGGTACATTCCTGGTATGAGCTCCCAAATTAACACGGAAGCAGACCTGAGAAGCGAGACGGCCATAGGCTGGCTGCACCAGGGCTACGTGGGGCCGGAAGAAAAGAAAGCTGTGGTCACGTGACATCCAGCACATGCCCACATCCACGTGACAAGACCCCGGTGCTTCCAGCGTGCCGTTGACTACATCAAAGATCGGTGGCTTTCGATATCTAGGAAATCGTCACCACGGGCCACCTGCAATTTGGCCGTTGCGACAATTGCCAGCACTTCGCCAGGCAGCGTCTACCTGCAGAACCCAATTTTGTAACTGACAGGAGGGGGAGCAAAGAGCAGTTTCCATGTAATACAATTTGATGAAAGCCTAAATTTTTCCTCGGCACATCCCGGCCCCCACCGACTTATAGTGATTGCATCAACTTATACTGATTCTGCCTTCTGTCTGTTTTTGGGCCCTCATTCTGGCGCGCCCTAATTAGTAGCTCCAAGCCTCCATGGCATGCTCGGCTGGGTACCAATATACGACACGATGACTCACGATAAACCGGGCATTTAAAAAATACAGCAAATCTGAAAGACTAGGCCCTGATAAAATTCAAACCACTTCAAAACGTCAGCGCCTCTCCTGCCTGTGCTGTAAGTCTAGCCAGTACGGCTGAAGTCGGTGCCCTAATTTCTCAGAGTATTTTTTTTTTCTCTTGCCAGCTGGTGCTCGCCAATCCTGGCCACTGTTCTAAACACTACATACTCTTGTTTGGAATCTCACAAACACGCGGAACACATCCAAACGCCCTTTTTTAGCCTGCTACTTTCGTGCGTTCAAGTAAACGGGAACCACGAAATCCAGCCCGCTTTCCAGCCGCGTCTTTTGCCCGGAAACTGCCGCGTTTTCCTCGTCTTCATTCTGCATTCTCCGCCAGGACTGAGGGTGTGCCATCTGCTTCTTTTCTTGGTGCCTAAACACTTCTAGATCGGGATTCAGACACTCCGTTGAAATCTCCGTTGAATCTTCCATTGCCTGTTTCGGTGCATTGTGACTGCTACCACTGCACAAAACAATCCTCCGGCCACACTCGAGTCATCTTTCTTTTCTGTGAATTGACCTGTCCCCCTTCGAATTCTGAGGGCGTCACACTCGATATCAAACAGCTCCGCTCCGTTCTTTTTTTTCTCATGGGCCTGTTTGCATCGTTTTTTTGCTGCGGCGCGGACACGTCCAGTGATTCCGAAGATAAACATCACAAGCCGTCGTCTGCCCGTAGCTCTCCGGCCAGCAGAACGGGCGGCAAACATCAGAACACCAAAATGACACAAAAGACGGCGGTTTCTGAAGCGGCTCACAAGAGTGCTGCAAAAGTGGTGTCCCCGGGCGCCGCAAAAGTAGTGCCTGACGACGACAACTCCGTCAACGAGAGCGACACGCTTTCTGTGCCCAACGACGAGCCCAGCAAGCTAAATCCCGCCAAGCCGCAAAACGCCGCAGCTGCAGAAACGCCCGCCGAGCCCACAAATCCGGTGCATTCCGACATCGTGGCCAGCGTGCCTGAAAACCCGGCCGACGCCGAGCCCGCGGCCGAAGCAGCTCTTCATAACCATGAGGCCCCGGCGTTTGACTTGTCGGCCATACAGGAGAACCAGGCGTTCAACCCAGAAACAGGCTTTCTCTTGGGTAAGAAGGACACCAAGCGGTTCGGCAACAAGAAATGCCTAGTTCTTGATTTGGACGAGACGCTTGTGCACTCGTCGTTCAAGTACTTGCGCACGGCAGACTTTGTAATTCCCGTGGAGATTGAAGACCAGGTGCACCATGTGTACGTGATCAAAAGGCCCGGCGTGGACGAGTTCCTAAGGAAAGTGGGGCAATGGTATGAGGTGGTGGTGTTTACTGCTTCTGTGGCCAAGTACGGCGACCCGCTCTTGAACAAATTGGACATCCACCACGCCGTGCACCAGCGCTTGTTCCGGGATTCATGTTTCAGCTACCAGGGCAATTTCATCAAAAACTTGTCGCAGCTCGGGCGCCCGTTGGAGGACCTGATCATCATTGATAACTCCCCGGCGCTGTACATCTTTCACCCACAGCACTCTGTGCCAATTTCCAGTTGGTTTAGTGACACGCACGACAACGAGTTACTTGACTTGTTACCGCTTTTGGAGGACTTGTCGCGGCCCAATGTGGACGATGTGAGCTTGGTGTTGGACATAACCATATAATCGCAGATAAGTGCATAAGCGGGACTTATGTGGTGGATGCAGCCGCGGCGGGTGGGCCGGGCGCCTCTTAAAATTTATACATGTACAACACGTCTTTCTATAGAATAATTAATTGCCCTAATACAATCTTTACACATATACTTTCAAGGGGGTGGCTGGCGTTCTCGAAGGATGCATATCAACCGGATTTTTGAGCAGACCAGAATCGTTTATTTGATCTGATGACTATGTAGTAAGGTCTATGATGATGGTTAGGATATGGTAGTTGAGTAGCGTCTAGGAAGTTTGGACAGCATTTTGAAAAAGCCTGAGACTTTTTGGTTTGACCACTTACAGACACATCTTGGAGATTCGGGTTACAGTTGCAAGTCCGCTTATGTACTTTGTGTGGACATGATGAACTGAAGAAAATGGTGGCTATTGCGTCCACGTAATACATAATCATTAGATGCAAGCTTATCACTCAAAAAAAATCAATAGATACTATATCTTGTTCAACTAAGGTTTTTAAATAGTATGATGACATGCGCCGAGAACAATAAATGAATTCAACCAGATCAATAGCGTCTGCCTGAGCCCAACGATAAGTATGCATTGCTTAAACGCGTATCTCGTAGAGTTCTTGCTTTTTTGGCATTTGAATATATGTTTTATGTGCTGGAGAAGATGAATATACAAAACCTTGTTTTTTTTTTCAATCGTAGAAAGGCTATGGAGCAGATTCATTTATTTAGATATAGTATGACATACTTGCCTATGATATGACAGGGCATCCATAGCTGTTGTGAAGATTGAACTCTTTCACCTCAGAATGATTAGGCTCACATTGACCTAGTTTGAAGCAAAACTCAGTAAATCCTACAAAAGCACAGCTGTGTTGAGAGCAATGAGGACCTAGAGTATGTAAAAGATTTCCTATAAAGTAATACTGAGTCTTGTTTAGGCTTAAGTTAGTTCAGAAGCAACATTAATGTGAGGCCCGTGGTCAGAGAACGAGCCAAAACTTACTTGGAGAGACATTCACACTCAATTTACGAATTCCAAAACATTACTGATATGGTGTTTTTTTAAAAGATTTGTCTCCATAGAAAGACGACCACAGAACATGAGAATTCTTCGAAATGCTTTTCATATCTGACATTCTAGATAGCGTCGCTCTCATCTTGAGTAAGCAAAATATTTTATCTAAGAAAGATGTTTTAAAAAAGCATCAGATTTACTAAACAGCGTCGCTTCGTGCATTTACTGTTCTCTTTAGCAAATAGTTTTTGAGAATGTGCAGTTTAGTGAACTCGTAAGAACTCCATTTACAGTGGCTTTGATTCCACAATCCCGCACTTGAAAATATTGGGAGCTTTCAGCTGCCTCTGATTTGGTTTGAATTCCGAACTTAAGATACAACATAAAATCAACATTTTTACCTCATTATCGGCAGCTTTCCCGGCTTTTCCTCGACCTGATTTCAACTCGAGTAGCGGTGCAGGTGCGCTCTGCAGAAGTTTTACTGACAACTAATGCTTGGAGCTGGAAAGATCAACGCGTAGTTTTGCATAGTGGTCATGGGAGTCAGAATATGTGTAAACTGCCTAGTATCGCTAGAGAACTTAAATTACGAGAATTTTCAAAATCTCAAGATAGAGAGGTTCTCTTCGAAAAACAAGCTGTTTAGATGCGTGCTTACTGGCTAATTAGACGAGAATTGAGACCACCTCAAGCAGCGGTAATCTATGGGTCACAACCGGTAGCTATATTCGTTGACCCGCAGAGGGTGAAACAAGATATCTGAATACCTTCCACTACTGACTTCGCCAAAACCTGGGAAGTGGAGGATAGTGAGAAAATACTTACGCAGTTCCGAGTTTAGGAGCCTCTTAAGACAGGGTTTCAGAGTCATCTCGAGCAAATCAGTCCAGGGTTTTAGTGGCGCTGGTCACGGAGACATGGGCTCGTCTTTGGAAGCATTTGTATACGCGGGCCCCGTGTACACAAAGCTGCATGATTGGGTTTGGAAGACCCAGAAGACTCAAAAATCTGGAGCTCAAATGTACGGTCTCAAGACTTGCGTCCAGTAACATTTAGCCAGTGTAAGCAGGTAGTCTGGATTGAGCTCTGTGGGACCAACACAGTTGATATTGGAGCATACCCCTAGCACATGAATATTGCCCGTTCCAGCTGCCATTTCTTTGCCGGATTCCGGGCAGCCAAATATGCTAGCATCAGAAGTGCAAGTGGACTTTTTTGGGCCGGTAGGTGGAACCTATATTCCCGCTACTGATCATCTTGTTTGCGCTTCTTGACCTGGTAGTAGGTCAATCATTTGAGCCATTCTCGCCGGTATCAACAAAAAAAAAAGTAGCCTAGCTCAGTGAATTACAGAAAAAAGCACTAGAGTTTTGGACTTTGGGCCCGGGACACGGTTCGGGATCCCTGGGAAAACGTGGGTGGGCCTCGACCAGCATGCCGGGCGTTTTTTCGCACCCAGTGGTGCAATTTCGCACCCACCCAGAACTCCAGCAAGACAGGTCAAAGATATTCAGGATATCACGAAGTGAACCGAAAAGTCAAAATAGCTGGGCCAAGTGAGCCAGAGAGACAAAGATGCGAGACAGCCAAATCAAACCGCAAAGGCCCAATAGTTTACTTAGATTAAGTAAACCTGAAAGGCAAATCAACCGAGCCAGACCAAGTACACCTGAAGGACAAAATAACTGAGCTATACCAGAAAGCCACACCAAATCAGATAAACCCACAGCAAAATCAGATAAAGTCACAACCAAATCGGATGAACCCACATCCAAATCGGATAAGCCCACAGCCAAAAAAATTATCTAGTCCGGGCCGCAACATATGGTGTCTGTACAACACCTTCGGCAGGAGGCCCACCCAAGACTGGCTACGTGTGCTTTCCCGGCTGTTACTCGCCACGATCTGAGTAACATATCCGAATTACATAGAAAAGACAATGTCAGGGAATGTCCGAGACCAGACACAACTGTCTCCGTATTCAAAATGTTCTATTGCAGTCTGCAAGCGTGAAATGCACATGGAAAATATAGTCCTTCTGGAGCCCGGGTCAGTGTCGGGACAATGCTAGTTGGCGCGTGCTGGCTAAATTGGGGTAGTGTTTAGGTCGAAGAAATATGGACAAATAGTGAGACGGCAGGGACCACGTGGGACTTGGCGTATAGAAGAAAAAGGCAAACTGGGGCTCAGAGTTGAGTTGAAAAAGAAGGTCTTTTCGTTTTTGGGAGAGCGTGGCTTGTGACCAGCCATCCAAACACCTCTCTCTTCTTCTTCGGTACACCTTGCTGCCAGTGTTTTTGGCTCTGGCAGGGTTTACGATGACTGTGGAAAAAAACCACTCACCCGAGTTGAATGAGCCGCAGCAACCTTGCAAAGACTCATTCATCAAGTTGATGAGACACCCGCGATATTGTCCACTTGCTGGCAGACGACAACACGTCTGAATATTTCTTTTACTACCAGTCGTGGCTCTACCTTGGATATTTCCTACTAACCAACCGCAGCCCTGCTTTGGGTAGCTTCTACCTACCAATCGCAGCTCTTCTTTGCATCTTTCTTTCTACTAACAAAATCACAGCGGTGCCTGATGTTTCTCCTACAAGCAAACCGCAGCTTTCTCCAGGTTTTCCCTTTTTACTCCAAGCCACTTGCACCCGCGGTCCCTGGAGCTGACCACACCAGCTAGCCACCCAAAACACTTCAAGTGCACGCATATTACGAACGGTGCCCTCTACTCAATAAAGAGCCCCGCCGCAGCCAGGGCCCGCGCGCGGTCCGGCACACAGCGCGCAGCTCATCCCCAAAAAACCCAGACCCTCTGCACTGGTCTCTCAGCACCACCTTCTTTCAGCACCAGGCGTCTTCTAAACGGCCCGAAACAACCAGCACGTCGCCCGCCACAGCCCCCCACCCACGGCACCACCATCCGCCGACCTGCCGCGCACCGCCCCCGTTTTCCCGGCGTTTTTCCGTCTCGTTTGCGCCGATTTCCCCGGTCCCCGGCGTTTTTGTTAGCCGCCGACCCCCTTTTGCTTAGCCGCCGACCCCCTTTTTCCTAGCCGCCGACCTCTCCCCCCGCCATGAAAGTCAAGACCATCAGCAGGTCTGCAGACACGTATGTGCCCGCCAGAAACACCCAGGAACTGGCCTTGCCGCGCAACTTGAACCCCGCACTCCATCCCTTTGAAAGGGCCCGCGAATACACCCGCGCCGTCACGGCCACAAAGCTCGAGCGCATGTTCGCACAGCCCTTTGTGGGCCAGATGGGCGACGGCCATCGCGACGGCATCTACTGCATCTCCAAGAACTTCCAGACGACCAACCAGATCGCATCTGGGTCCGGCGACGGCGTGGTCAAGTACTGGAACATGAGCTCACGTGACGAGGCGTTGAGTTTCCGGGCCCACTACGGCATGGTCACGGGGCTCGCCATCACGCCGCGCCGCGGCATGCTCTCGTGCGGCGACGACAAGACCATCAAGTTGTGGTCGTTGCAGAGCGCGGATTTCGGCGAGGCTGTGGACGACTTGGACGTGTACCGCCAGCAGGGCAACACGTCCGGGCTCCTCAAGACGTTTGCCGGCGAGCACGCGTTCAGCGGGTTGGACCACCACTTTTCCGAGGACGTGTTTGTGACCGGCGGCGCGGCCATCCAGTTGTGGAACACCAGCCGCTCCAGCGCCGTGGCCAACCTCCTGTGGGGCGCGGACAACGTGACCGGCGTGCGCTTCAACAAGACCGAGACCAACGTGGTGGCCAGCTGCGGCCTGGACAACTCCATCGTGTTGTACGACATCCGCACCAGCACGCCCGTGCAGAAGGTGGTGACCGCCTTGCGCGCCAACGATATCGCCTGGAACCCCATGGAGGCCTACCACTTTGCCTCCGGCCACGATGACCACAATGCGTACTTGTGGGACATGCGCGACTTGACCAAGTCGCTCAACGTGTACAAGGACCACGTGAGCGCCGTCACCTCCGTGGACTTTTGCCCCACGGGCAAGGAGCTCGTCACGGGCTCCTACGACAAGACCATCCGCATTTACCGTGCCCGCGAGGGCCACTCGCGCGACATCTACCACACCAAGCGCATGCAGCGCGTGTTCGCTGTGGCCTACACCACGGACAGCCGCTACATTGTCAGCGGCTCCGACGACGCCAACGTGCGCTTGTGGCGCGCCAACGCGTCCGAGCGCTCCAACGTCAAGTCCGGCCGCGAGCGCTCCAAGCTCAACTACGACAACAAGTTGAAGGAGCGCTACAAGTACATGCCGGAGGTCAGGCGCATTGCACGCCACCGCCACTTGCCGGGCGTGGTCAAGAAGGCCCAGGAGATCAAGCGCGTGGAGGTGGACAGCTTGAAGCGCCGCGAGGAGAACGATCGCCGCAACCGCAAGGACGGCAGCCGCCCGCGCGTGCCGGAGCGCCAGAAGCACATCCGCGGCACCGCCTGGAAGGACTAGGCGCCCGGATGTTTTGTATGTGTATATGGGAATCAATGGTAAGTCTTTTTAGTGCGCGGCCCTGGGCCGCCAGGGAGACTTGGTTGCCAACGGGATGCGGTCGGGGCTAGAGAGTTGCAGGCTGCGAATAATGATGAGCTCTGTTTGACGGAAACGATATGCTGGAGGCTGTCGTCCTTGGTTGCTGTGTGGTATTGATAATGGCTTTCAGAATCTCTCGCTAAATGAGGGCCAACGGGTTTCTAAAAGCTAGTACTGAATGCTATGAGGCATCTTAAGCAGCAGAATATTGTTGAACGGGTCTTTCCTACCAGCGTCGAAAGATCGACTCAGTGTGGACCTGCCGGTGCTTCCTTCTTTCTTCACTATTTTGACGCGTGTATTTCATGCCGTCATTCCCCAGAAACATATGCAGAAGTCACGAGGTGGAGTGGGATGAAAAATCACGCCTGCAACTCGCCATGGCTTCAAGTCAACTTGGTGATCACAAGAACGGATTAACGTGTCTTGGTACACCAAAAATTGCCGACTACGCTGATCTACTTGGAATCCTGGACTCGCCAATTCTAGTCTTTCTCGCAGCACTAGCAGTTTCGTATCTGTTGCATCCACTAGACGCATACTGAATGGCCAGCAGTACATGGTTTGTAGAATGATGATAAATGCGTCGTCATGCCTTCTCTGTTGAAACTACAGAAACACGGAAACCATCATTCGTTGTGAGTGACACGACTGCGGTTTCTGTGGTTTTCTTCTGGATAGATCGGGTACAACTCTGCACACTTCTTGAAGTCCGTATCTTTCTGGAACTGAAGGAGTCAATTCTACCAAACTTTCCGCCATGAATCAAGGCCTTGCCATATCTTTTCCCTCAGAGTATGTTTGTGTCCATGGGTGGCATACGACCGACGAGTAGTGGTATCGCCAGGCCAAGCACCCGTATGTTATCTCGCATATTACATGATGGGCGACCATATTCTTTTTTGTATACCATTAACATCTCCGAAAAAAATGATATGCAACTGCTCAGACAGAAGTCATCCTGTTGTTTACCTCTACTGCAAACCCAGTGTTGTGCTTCCATGATGCGTAGCACGAATTTCTTGAACTAGAATACAGGCACCAACCCATGAACTACTGATTGTTCTTAATAATCGCCGCCATATGGTCTTGGTCCACATCTTGACTCGTCATAGCGAGTGTTCCGATTGCAAAAAAAGATTGCAGCAACACAATTTCGCATATGATCTCCCACTACACTACTCAGTGTGGCTCCATGCACCTTGACTAGAGTTGTTTGGACGGGAAACAATACTTCCTGCGTGTTTCTTTTTACTAGAAGACGGTAGATTCCTTCTAAATTTTGCCATGAGTCAAGATCAGCTTTGGGATGGTTTTTATAAGCAAGGAAAGTGTGATCGATGCGCTGGTTATTCTATATTGTCTTGCCAATGAAACCTCTTGCGGTTCGCAACCGATTTTTTTTTTACTAAGATAATTTATATAGTCTAATAGTACCATTTATTTGTTTGTATGAATTGCTTAAATCCAGAAAGTTTCATGACCTTATACTCGACAATATTTTATTAAAAGGATTTTTTTAGCCGGAATTGTGTTTTTCTGGCATATCGGGTTTAGCATATGCTCCTCATAGTCTACTAAACCTGAGTTCGGGTCTCGGGCCATACAAAAAAAGAAAGGTGTGTACGAGGTAGAGCTCGTCAGGTCCGTAAACCGGCGGGGCGTTTCATGCACCCGAAGATGCTTCGTACACGTCCGGGGGTGTCAAGGTTTCCCATGATATATATATCGCCCCTTTCCCCGGCAGATGGTATCCTTCGATACATGTGTTTAATAAAATTAAATTCATCTTGTCTCCCTTCGACAAGTATCAAAAGGGAGCAGTGCAAGCTTGATTTAGGGTAAATATCTGGAAGCTGAAAAAATGACAGCTGCAGACGTCGCTTTCATGTCCAGAAACTTACATTAGATAAACAGATGTATAACTTTTAGAATTACCCCTTGAGGGTTTTTACTGGGATTATTTCCCAAATACAGTCCTGCTTTCGGTATTTTAAATGAGCTGGCATAAAAGAGATTGACGGTACAATTGTTTTTGTCAATTCAAACCCGGTGTTTCCATATCCTGTGCATTACATGTCTTCCACCGTACTACATAAAATAGCCATATTGATACAGAATAACATGCAAGAATTGATTGATACAGAACCGAATTCAGCTCAAGATTTTGTAGCCTTGAGTTTTTTCAGATAACAGTTTAGCCACAAGGCCATAGAATCGGAGTGCTACTGGGAAGTGTAGCGTTGAGGCCAGACTGAAACACTAATTGCTCGGATTTAAAAATGAGCAGTCAAAATTACTTGTCAAGTCAAGTCTGGGACATATGGGAGCGTTGGTTTATCTTCATAAATTTGGCGCTCAAATATATATCACGAGCTAAACTTTAGAAGTTCACGCATAGCCTTCCATAAAATCATGGTGAATGACCTTTTGAGAACTGGTGAGTTAAATGAAAGTATGCTCTAGGTCTTGTTTGAAGAAACACTGGGGATATGTGGTTCAACTGGGTGCACAGTCATCGAAAGGTATATAGAACACGGATATCAAAACATTAGCGATATTTTTTAGCCACTGAAGCTGAAAACCCGTACTATTAGGCTAAGGAGGTTGAACGGATTTTCCATTAGTCATAAAGACAATTAATTTTTCAAACCTGTCTACAAAGGCAAGAAATCAGTCATGGCTACCCTTGTAGATACCGATATCGTTGAAATAAAATCCTCTTTATTATAATGTTGAGCAGATAGATTGGTTCCCAAACTATGTCTTTATATGGTGTGAGGTTTTAAACTTTGGTTGCGTTAAAATTATCTTCGGCACCCATGTACCTGAAGAAGTGCTCGCCTTATCAGAAACATCATTCGAAGATATACACATCCTCAAAAATCGTGTTCAAGTAGTAACTATTTCAGTGGATTTAAGATCAGTGGGGCGAACATCACATCTTTGCGTTCTCAATAGATATACTTTCTTTGGCACATCAAACGTGATCTTGAGAAACTCGCGTTGAGAACGAACATTCAAATGGCTCATTTCATTTTGAGCAAAATATTTGGCGATAGTCACATCATCTAGGAAGTCTTTAAGATCGAGTTCTTTTTTCTGATGACATGTCTCAAGGCTGCGATATTATTGTTCATAATTTGTTTCCTTGTAAGGTATGCCATTCACATTGTGGCACATGTCAGTCGAGTCCAGTAATATTTTATTCAACCAACCGAAACGAAACACATGATACACCCAAAATCAGCCATATAGACAGGTCAATCAATCATTGATATGTAGTGGAATACAGTCTGCTTTCAAATTCAATCTCTCTGAAGCGCCGAAGCAAGAGTGTAGCGGGATGGCTCAAGAGAACAAGATATCTAATGTTTTGCCTTCCTAGATACGCTTTTAAATGATATATTTGAAGGCTTGTGCGGGCTTAGAAAGCAAGACAGGGAGGTCTTCAGAGCCTGAGGCGAACATCAGAAACCAGTAACCAAATCCAACGGAATTTTTCATCAAGTCGTTCGACACCTACAGGGTATAATTTTTACCCGTCCTGTGGACCATCTAAACATGTCCTTTTCGAGAGTATGTGAGATAAAGATAAAAAATCCAGGAACAGAACATCAGCTTGCTACACCTCTAAACATGATTATTGTTAACTTAAATGATGTTTTCTATAAATTCTTGATCTGGACTGGTTTGGAAAAACTCAAATAATGTCTTGGGAGTTTGTCAATGTTAGTTTATAGTATTGCAACCCATGGCTTTTCGAGAACAATGTGCTATCAGGCCAACCTCTTTTGAGTCGAGGAGGCCCCTGCGGGTGCTATTCCACAAATTGATGTTGCATGACTTAGCGTTTGTCAAATTTTTGCCATATGAATAGAAGAGGCACTTGCACGTACACTCTAGATTTCATCGTCTCCTTTTGCGCTACTCTGACATACGCTACAGTTTCCATTCTTGGAAGATGATACCCATCATCATAATATTGGGACATGCAAACGGCGAAGTCACAATTGAGTGGTTGCTCTAGAAATCTATAATCCTTCACATAGCTCAAAACTTTTTTTTCTGGGGCGAAACACTTTCAGCCCGTTATGTTTCCTGTTTCTTCGCAAGCCCACCACCTTCTGATGCGCCCCTAGAGGCCCGTTCATACTTCCAATGCCTGTATGCAAAGTTGTTCAGAAACGCCCATACTATCAACAACGATCCACATATTAGAGTTTACAGAACGCCCAGAGAAAAATCTAATCACTATCAAATAAAAGGAGATATCTTGTGCTTAGAAGCTCATATTTAGCATCCATTTCTGAAGAATCCGCTGTTGCTCTCTCCGGGCTGTTTGGGTTATAGGAAGGTACTCTCGTATGATTTTAAATTACAGCAATAAGAAAGTAACGACATCAACAATCACACTTTTGCCAAGAAGGTATTTTTGGAAGCAAATAAACTGCGCCTAGCTATGTTCCTAACTATACAATAAAACACTCCTTGGATTTGGTAATTTTCCCTTGCGCGCCCTTGGAATATTAGCGACACGCAGACACTTGAAAGTAGAGTTTTCTCCGCAAGCCTGAGCACAACCCATTTTTTCTTTTCATTGTCCAGTTGTGATCGTGTGATTCTCATAACTTTATCAGAATTAATAAGAAATAAACATGGATTTCGACCTAAATTTGGTGTGCGCATCACGCAGAAAATCTTGTATTTGGAAATTTCAGTTTGTGAATACCGTGTGTATTCGTGTTATTGTAGCAACTGAGACTAGCAAAACCAGCCATTTCCTTGAACATTGCGTCTTTAGATCTATTGTCTAATATCTCTTTCATCATGCAGGACGGGCCACTACAAACCCTTTGTAAATTCCAGCTCAAGGATACTGCAACTAAGCCTTGAAGGGTACCCCTTTCAAAAGAGTGAATAAGAGCTGATAAGAGCAACTCGGGTCTTACCGGGTCATCGTGACTGGGTGTTGTAGAAAGAAACGATCGGTGGACTTTCTGTCCAGAGATGGCCATACAGTCAAGAGTGATATATGTATTCACAAAACCCTTTGTACAGCAGTATAAAATGACAGCTACTTTCGTCTCACAAGCTCAAATTTTATCCCTACCAAATTACTTATTTTACATCGGCATGAAATTTATCTCTACTTTTTCGGTCCTTGCGATGACTCTTTCCAAGCTTGTACTGAGCTTTGGATTTTTCTACATGGTAGACAATGACGACAAAGAGATTCTGATTATTTCCATGAATAAAGGAAAAATCATTGCGAGCAACAATCCAGATGCACTTCCAGTTATCTTCGACGAGGATGGGTTTGAATTCAATGGCTCGTACTTGAGCTATGAAGATGGTGAATTTTCGTTACAAAGGGCCCCCGACTCTGATCTCAAGATCAGTGCGGACGATCGTTATCCATACTTGACCTACAAAGATGACTATGTCTTCTACTATTGTGACAACAAAATGGTCAGCCAGACAGATAGTTGCTCCGGGGCGCAAGAGGCTAGGATTGTCTATTTCGGCTGGTAAATGTCCAGTCATCTTCCTTAGTGCGGGTATAAGTCTGTTCATATACCTGCTTATAATATTCAATAAAAAGCAAAAAGCGAATCTATGGTGTGGGGTGAATGTCGTGTGAACACGTAGCTCATGTAGAACCAGATATTCATTATGGGAGATGTGCGTATAAACCGTGTGCTGGCCGGATTACAAGGCTCTACGAATCTCACTGTTGAAGTCTACCCTACGTGAAGCACGCATTGAAAGTATATTCCTGCTAAGGTTCGTATAGCAACTAGGGGTGGTGAAAACATGTGAACTAGTGGTGATATCAGAAGAGCCGACGATCGGAGAAAAGTCTGTCTCGATGTCTCCTAAGGCGCCTTTCATCAGAACATAGGGGTCTTCCACTTAGGGGGATGGAAGTGTCCTGACCAGGCGTTATCATTTGATAACATAAGAATCGATTAAGATGCAGATCTATGAAGAGGAGTTTCTCTTAAAGAAGGAAGAGAGGAGACATGAAAAGTTTTGAGGTCAAATATAGCTGACCGCTGCGGGAGTGGTTTCGCCTTAACAACGTGTCCCAACCACTATCTCAACACTCCCCCAGTCAATTATTGGGCAGGTTTGATATGATAAACCGTGTCTTAGTTTATTCGCTTGGATTTCGCGCCTTCTATTGATAAAACTTTTCAATACAGTATATCAGGTAATTGGGAAGCGAAAGCAAGGAGGCGCTAAGAACCTCGAACTCATCAGCTTCCTCCACTGCCTTAAAGCTTGAGTAATATAGTAGCACTTCTTTCAAATCTGCACCCCTCCTGGTAATACACGTGCGCGCCCATATTTTTGTCTTCCTAGTTCAACATTGCGAAGCACAATTTATTCTTGACGTTTTATGATACGGCTTCAAATTAAAGAATTGCCCATTAAAATTCAGAAACGCTTCAAAAGTGAGTGGCCCTGATTCAATCTCGCATCTGTGGTTGACAACGCATAGGTATGCAATTTCGCCAACCCTTGGTTGAAATGTATCGGGCAAGGTTTTAAGTATTTTCAAATCATGCGGAATTCATTCAATTTCCAAATGGGATCAGAATGCTTCAAACCATAAACACCAGCCTTGGCCTCAGACATACCAGGCATGTTTTCTTTTCATCCTTTTTGTTTCTTCAAATACGCACCACCGAACATTTTTCGCAGTCCGGTTTCTGGCCACAGACAATACACAATTTCCATGCAAGCAGAAATAGTTAACCTTATTTATAAGAACTACACGACAGGTGTGGTCCAGAATACTCGGTGTCGCGACATCGATTCACTCCGAAGAATAGCTTCACCTCGGTAAGGTTTCTGAAAACTCGGTTGTTTGCAACATTCGAGGCCTTTAGCATTTGCAGTTATCAGACCAAAACATCGGTAAATAAAAAAAAGGCATAAAGGGGACAATATCTGATTAAAGTTGTAGAAATAAAAAGAGGAGAGTCCCACGATTGCACAAGTCTTGCTTCTTTATGCCAAGATTTTCTGATGGAATGTTCTTGGTTTTTTTCTGTTTAATTCCAAAATTCAACTCGATCCTCATCTAAAATAGTAAATGGAATGTAAATCAATTTCTTATTGCAATGAGCCAAAATTAGTCTGAGTAAGCCAATCTATACTGGAAGATTAGACTCTTTTGGTAAAAAGCTGCTGCTCTTTTTAAATTCAAATTTTGAAGCACCATTCTTTTTTGAATTTCGAAGATTGCCAAGGCATTAAAAAGACCTGATACGGATGAAATAATCGGGGACTTCCAAAAATGTGTGAAAGTAGTTCAAGCAATTATAAAGTCTTTAAATCTGCATATACAAGTATGTTATGCCTGGGACTTCTACCCGATGTCTATCACAGGAAAAACAACAAATCAGTGCACAATGGCAAAGATATGATTGACGTCTACCACAAGCAATAAAAACAATTGAAAAAAGAATGCCACTTCTGCTCTTGGTATTCGTGCTGAATAAATCCTCGAGATAATTCTATCAAAGGTTGATGCACAAATTATTGTTTAGAGGTTTCTGCGATAACGTTTTAGCTTGTATTTACTCTAATAGTCAATAGAACTTGGTCACAAAATAATCGAGACTATAAAATAGAGCGAGCATGCCATTCAAGCAACGTCTAAGCACCATATTAGCAATTTTTACCCAAAAATTCATCACAAAAACATTCTGTTAACAGCAAGATGAAACTCGAACGCAATTCTGTCTTTCTTGCCTTGACCCTTCTCGGAACTGTAACCAGCCGTGCAGTTTTTTTCACAGTAAATTCAGACGACCAAAGTATTATACTGGTCATTGAAGAAGAGGATTCGAGAATAATCTCAAGCCAAAGAAGCGGAGCGGTTAAAACCCATTTTTATGGTGAGAAACTTGAGTGCAAGGGCAATTACTTGAGTGTTGAAAATGAGATGCTAGCCTTATCCAAGACACCAAAGAATTACCTCACCACCATATTAGACAAGGATGACAGGTTTCCGCATTTGGAGGCCAAGGGCGACGGAGTCTTTTATGTCTGTGAAGACAGACTGATTCACCTAAAGGATGGATGCCCGGGTGCGCAAGAAGTGAAGATTTTTTATTATGAGTGGTAAGCTAATCTTGAGCTGATTTTCTTGCTTCTGAAAAAAGAATTCTCCTATTTCCAGCAAAATGCGTGAGGTCAATCAGCTACGTAGGCCAATACGGCTTCACCAAAAAGGACTTGCGGTATTAACTAATCAAATAAATTAAACGAGTATGATAAAGAAAAACTGTCAGAAACTCAAGTTCCCTCAAACAAGAAGCAAACCTATCCTTAAATAAGCTTGCTTTAAGCCTGAAGTTTGGAAGATTGGAATTTGGGCTCTCATGCAAAACGTATTAAGATGTAGGCTTTCTCCCCATGGATGTTATCACCATGATATCAACACAAGCTCTTTGAATTTTATTGAAATTGTTCCTGATATATGTGTTTCAGCTATGGATAAAGACATATTAAGTATAGCCAAAAAAAAAAAAATAGTATGTATACTATATCAGCATCCAAAGTACGTTCTGTTTAACTATAATCTGTGGGACCAGCTAAGCGGTCTGCATTGCCTGCTCCTGTGATCCCAAGAAATAATCTTCAGAATAATGCCATCATGCTAGGATTCAATAGAAACAAACTGGTCTTCTTTCTGAAATGATGAGGAATATCAAATGAGCAAAAGTCAAGGGTAGTCGCCGAACTGCTTTACTATGGTCGCAAGATTGCTAACTATGGCAGCAGCTTTCAGGCCTGGTGGAAAAAGTTCATTCTGCGCTTCAAAACTCAAGACTGCCTGAACTATCTAGTAAACGCAAAATCGTGAACCCTTCGTATTGTTGGTGGTATCTGAGAGGGATCGCGCCCCACCCAGAGACGGAACTAATTACGTGTCAGTTCTGATTTTCAAACGACAAATTATATAACTGATACGAGCCGCAACACCAGAGAAGACCTGGCGTCACCAAATCCCAGGCTCAAAGTGGCCCATCAAGTCTAGTCTCGCCATTACTCGCGCCCATGTCCAAAGGATGAAACGAAACAGAGCATACGACGCATGGCTTGGTGAATAGGAGATATAAGAAAATAAAAAGAAAAAAATTTTAGATGTTCTGATGCATTCAAAACTAGGGGATGAAAAACATTGGATTGGTCTCGGCTTCTGTTCTCGCCATGACATCACGGGCTTGCCAACGCAGAGTCCCAGCCGTGGGAAGGCAAATTAACTCCGATATCCAAAACCGTTTTCTTCCTGCCCGAAAGCTGACTTTTCAGTACTGAAATATTTCCTTCTTGTTTTCTGAACATAAGCTCCAGCTGAGCTTCACCGTATACGAACAATTCCAAACTTTGCACCCACCCTTACCGTTTCCATATTTCGCGCGCGGCTCATTAATCCTGGCTGATCAGAAATCTGCCCGAAGTAGTATATCCGCATATTCTGCCAAAGAAAAAAGCGCTTTACCCTGCAAAAGTTGTGCGCCCTTATGAGACCAGGTACTAGATACTGAAGCTCTTTTCTCACGCCTCCATAAATTGGAATCAATTCCCTGTCACTTTCAAAGATATAAACTACTTTCTCCAGTTTTCATAAGCAATTTGAGTAATCGAGATTCCGGTTTTCAGGCGCTCTTGAAATTTGCATTAGCTTCTTTAGCCGCCCTTAAATCATCTCGGACGCTTTCATAGCGAAACCCCACTCCCACGCCAACGCTATAAAACCCCAAATATCTAACGAGAAAAAACTTTCTGAGCACTGAATCAAGAAGGCTTCAGGACATTTTGAAATCTTTCAGCATTCCTTCAACTTTGTCTCTTTGCGTCCCAAGCACCGGCGAGCCGCCCTACCCCTGGCACCAGAGACCCGTACACCAGCACGTCGATTATTTGAGGCCAACTGCAAATCCCTCGCCGCCCTTTTCCGCGGCCCGTTGCACTCTCTGCACTCCCAGTTACTCTGCCCGGGCTAGGGCCAACCAGCGTGAGCCCCACCACAGGGCCGTTCAACATACACCTCTGCACCGCTTATGCAAAGCACCCATACCACCCCAGACACCCGGTACACCCTGCACAAAAACAAAAACAAAAACAACGAAGCAAGCCCCACGCCCCATCGTTCCTAAACGTCATTAGCACCCACTCTCCATACATCCTCCACGCATGCCCGACAGACACAAACTCAAGCTTTTCGGGCACTTCAAGCCGGACACTCTGCACGACGAGCCACTTGACAAAGCAGTGTCCAACCTGCTGCAGCATGGCAGTGGCCGTCGCTTCCTCGGCTTCCACATTGGCCGCCATGAGTCGCAAGACTCTTTGGCATCGCCCACGCTCACGAACTCGCTGGATCACCGCGGCGGGGCCACCACCCCACCCGTCCAGCCATCCGCCGGCACAGCAGTTCACTCGCCGGGAATTTTGTCCCAGCACCACTCGCAGCAACAAGACAAACGGCCGGCCGCTGCGGCCCATGATGAATCACTAGCGGTGAACAAGTCCGTGAGCATGAGCGAGATTAAGCGGCTCTTCAAGCCCACTAGAAAAACGCTGAAGACACAGGCCAGCACGTCTCACGACCACCACAGTGGATTGGGAAGCCCCGGTGGTGCAGCAGATCTGAACATGCACAGTAGAGAGCCTCTGCTGGCCTCGTTGGCAGCACTCATCCAGAACACACTGTCGCAACTCCTCCAGCAACTGCAGCACCAAACGACGAAGAAGGGCAAGGACGCACCGTATGTGGAGCCATTCACCCATGATGAGCTGCCCCTTGTCAAGAAGTACGGAAAGGTACATAAGGAGCTTGGCTCGGGCGCGGGCGGCTCCGTTCGTTTGATTATCCGGCCCCTGGATGGTAAGACCTTTGCCGTCAAGGAGTTCCGACCCCGCAGAAACACTGAGTCTTTCAAAGACTATACCCGGAAGTGCACGGCGGAGTATTGTATCGGCTCTACATTGCGCCACGCCAATATCATTAAGACCATTGATATTCTCCACGAAAACAACCGCTACTATGAGGTCATGGAGTACGCGCCGATTGACTTTTTCGCCGTCGTCATGAGTGGTGAGATGTCCCGACAGGAGATAAACTGTTGCCTCAAACAGATCTTGGAAGGTATTAGCTACTTGCATTCTCTAGGTTTGGCCCACCGTGACCTTAAGCTAGATAATTGCGTTCTAACAAACGAAGGTATCTTGAAAATTATTGATTTCGGCAGCGCTGTAATTTTCAAATACCCATACGATCAGTATGGTCTGAAGCACGAGATCCACCATTGCCATGGCGTTGTTGGGCTGGATCCATATCTTGCACCAGAGGTGTTGACTAGTCTGAACTCGTATAACCCACAACCAGTTGATCTTTGGTCGATCGCCATTATCTACTGCTGTATGACGCTAAAGCGCTTCCCCTGGAAAATTCCCTCCCCTGAAAAGGACAACAGTTTCAGGTTGTATGCGATGGACGATGACAACTGGCATGATTACGACTTGTCTAATGCGTGCCACAAACTCTTATTAAGACAGCGCCACTTGAAAAATATAGTTGCGCGCCTGAACAAAAAAAAGAAACTCTTAAAGGCCAAAGAAGAGGGGGCCGACAGCCCGTCACCGCCCCCAGAAATACTTGCGAAGCACGCCCCGTCCCCAGGGCCGGACTCTGCCGCTACTCATGCTGGAGAAGATGCAGAGTTGGACGAAAAGCTAAAGGCGCTTGGTGCTGTTGATATATTAAGCATTGAACAATCTCAAGAAATTCTTGAAGAACTCAAGCAGATAGACAAACAGTTGGACGAATACGAGCGTATAAAGAACGAAATGAAAAACTCGTTTGCTCAGCAGCGCAACCGCGAACATCATACTCAACACGTCGACCTGGACCATGCAACGGCTGGAAAAGAAGATCCTGCTGGCAATATGAGAAGGAGCAAGTCTAATCACAAGCAGATTCACGGCCCATACAGGTTGATGCGCTTGCTTCCACATGTATCGCGTCCCATCATTCACAAGATGCTACAAATAGACCCTCTTAAGCGAGCTACTATTGAGGAGATTCTTGAAGACGACTGGATTAAGGGCATCAAGTGTTGCACATTGATCCCTGGACGCAAGACTTCAAACAAAAGCATAGACGAAGATGGAGACCTCGTTTTTGAGCGTGGAAAACCGTCGCATGAACACACGGTTGTTTGTGAGGATGAAAAGAAAGAGTGATCATATTGTTCTACTGTGACAACTAGAAAAGCGGAGGTCGATTTGAAATGTGAAAGCCTCGTTGGAGTAAGAGGGCTCGAATAAGTCGAAGACTATAAAAGATCTACACAGGTGTCAAACCAAACACAGCCAAGTGACTTCCATGGCTTTTGTTTTGGTCTGTTGTGTCTGGTATTGCCTGAATTTGCAGCAATCTCGAAATTGGGCACGAATAGTATGCGGCGCTCTATGGCGGAAATCTGACAGTGCGCGAACATTATCGCGCTACTTGGACGAACCCCACGCCTTAAAGCTACCACGAAACACCATTAAGAATATTCTAAACGAAAACGAAGGAACACCCGCACCCTATTGACAAAATTGCTTAGAACAGAAAGCGTTCAAGAACTTCAGTAGAGAAACTATTCGTACTCCAAGATGCCACCGCCTTCGCCACTCAACGCGCAGCGATTGAGGACCACCCTTAAAATGGCTATCTCCAAACTCAAGTTTCTTCAGGAAAAGAAAACAGCGATAACAAAACAACAGCGCAGACAGATGGCTGATCTTTTGTCTGCCGGCAAGGAAACGAGTGCCAAGATTCGGGTGGAGAATATTATCCGGGACGACGTGTACATCGAGCTTTTAGAATACTGCGAGCTTTTCTGTGAGCTTCTTTTAGCTAGAAGCCAAATAGTCTTGGACATACTGCGGAGCGAAGTTGATGGCGGAATCCAGGATGCGGTCCTGCTGATTATATACTGCTGCAACTTCACAGAGGTGAAAGAAATGGTGACGCTAGGAGAGATTCTTAGATTGCGTTACGGACCAGAATACACACGAAAGGTCTTGGAGAACGAAGGTGGGTCGGTTGTTCCGCCAAAAATTGTTTCACGGTGTGATATTGAACCTCCCCTGGAGTCTTTGGTGAACCTATACTTGGGTGAAATTGCGAAAACCTTTGAAGTACCATTTTCCGGAGTGATTCCGGATGACTCTGAGCCTGAAAGTAACGACGACAGCGATCTGCCGGATGGAGGTGTGAAAGTATCAGTTGGAGAAGGAACAGAAGAGACAGATCCAGAATCAGCGCTTGTAGCAGGGAAGATCACACCCAAAACTGTGGCCAAGAGACTGGTTTCTAAGGCACAGGCAGAAAAAAGCGAGTTTGACAAGCTACAGGAGCGTTTTGCCGCTTTACGGAAATGATTAATGGGAAGAAAGTAAGACTATCATAATTCTGTTGTTGTAAATTCCAAGTATACAAGGAATTGAGTAGACAGTTTTTTCGAGGTTAAATTTTCTTCGAATTACACATCCTCTCTCCAGATCAGGCCCGAGGTATCCTGTGTCTATGCTCCCTAAAGTCTACAGTGTTCGACTTTCAAAATTGCCTTCAGAATTGTAATACGCTGCAGATAAATAGAGAAATATACACAAAGCTTCTTTCGAAGCAAACTTTAAAAATTGAATTAAAAAAAAAAATAGCAGCACCACAATTTCGCATATGGTCTCCCACTACACTACTCAGTGTGGCCCTATGCAGCTTAACTAACGTTGATCGGACGGGAAACAGTGACTGCATGGTATGGCCGCAACCGAAATGGCTTTATGATAAAAATATATATAGTTTAATGATAATATTATATCCGTTTTGCCGAAAGGAAATTGCATAACCTTTGTGTGTCATTTTTTGATGAGCTCAATTGTCTAAATGGGAGATTTTGGACCGTCCAGGCTGTGACTAGAGGACTGTCCAGGCCGTGACTAACGGAAGGGGACGGGCCGAGCTAAGACACTTGGTACGTAGCTGGGAGCTGTTTAAAGGTTTTTTATATATATTCGTTATATAGTTTTGCCCCTTCAATCAGATGAATCTACCAAGGAAAAAATTTGAAAACTTTTGTTACGAATCAAAAAAAGAAGAATTTATATATATTATTTATATATATTTTTTCCTCAAATCAGATGTATCAACCAAAAAGAAAAGTCTGTATTCAGATGAACCTATTAAAAGAATGTGCTGCTCGCGTTGTATCGCCTGAGCCAAAGTGGCGATCTCTATATGTTTTTTCTCATAGCTTTGGCCGTGGATTCTCACCAGTGAAACTCTATAATGGGATAATTTATCTAGAAAAAAAAAAAAAGAAACGGAGTTCCAGTCGCCTGGCTTTCGACACTCGCCACGTATATGGCCGCTGTAATATATAATTGTATAATCTTATTCTTCTAATCAAATGAATATATCGAAAATCGTCATTTTTTATATTACGAAGGTACATCTGACCATTTCAATAGTACAGAACAGCTTGGCATTACTCTTGCATTAAGATGACACGCTATACAAAAGATTTACTATTCTTTTGGTAGAAAGGATAGTATGTACTTATATGGGTGTTTTTCAAGGCTATAGTATTGTTAAGGTTTTCCATTTGATCAGGTGACTCTACCAAAAATACAAGTCCTTTGGGTCCGCTCAAGAAATTTGAGTTGAAGCGAATACTACAGGCGACTGATCCTAGGAGTCGAAAACGTAGTACACAATATAGAGAGAGGCGTAAGAAGAAGACCGACCGAGCTGTAATTAACGGAAGGAGACGAGCCGAGGTTTGGCACTAAGGTATTTGCGAACTCTTTAAAGATTTTCGTACAACATTTTGTAGTATTAATTCTTCAGTCAGATACTTGTAACAAAGAAAATGATTCAGGTCTTCTTGATGAAGGAATAAAAACTTAAGTCCTGAGTTTGTTTCATTGCTGAACAGAAGTTTGTAAGGAAAAAAAAGCTTTATAATGTCTATCTGATGGTGGCATTTGATGAAAAAATATATAAGACTTTGGGTCCATGACGTGTAGGAAGCTAAACACAGATAATTGTTGAATGACCTCGAAAATGTGATGCTTTCCTAATGTATTGGGTGGTTTGTACCTCTATTTTGGCTCACCCAAGGGGACTCAATCACTAAATGCTCCACCTGATGATTGCAGAACCGTACGTGCTGATAGACCAATACTCTGATGAGCGAAAGTTTATAGAATTGTTTGTCCATCTCAGAAATCCATTATCGAGAAAGGCTCTAACAAGAAACAGGTTTGTGAATTTGTTGAAAATGGGGACCTAGATGTGGGACGTTCAAGACCTGTGAATTTGAAAATGAAATGAAAACCTTGAGCTATACATCGGCACCATTGTCAAGTGCCACGTCATACAAATATAGAAGAAGCGGAATAAGTATTTGCCATACACCAAACAAAAGGATGTAAAATCAGAGCGAAAGTTCCGGGAAAATTCTGTCTGTCTTGAAAGGTGACTACAGGGCAACCCAAACCACGGGAGCTTTCGATAAGTTTATCGCTTGGTGCTTCGTAAGATTTTTTGAAGCTAATGTATTGACTGGCTACTCAAAGATAAAAAGGCCGAAAGAATAGTAACAAAGCCAAACACCTTGTAAATTCTGATGCTAATGCAGCGACGCAGAAATGCATACAATGTCTGCAATTATGAAAGCCTTTGAAGAGACTAGAATGACCCCCTTCTCACCCAAAGATTCAGAACATTTGAGAAGAGGCTTGCTCATGAACATGTATCTCGCTCAATCATATGCCGTATATTTTGAACCAGCCATGAATGGTGAGATTTCAGACCGCATGTACCACCGCTTTCGTTGTTTATCATGTTCTTGCGTTTCAGGTCAGACGATACCGATATGCTTCTGTGGCCTTACAAATCAATCCAAAACTGAAAAAAGCAAAAGAATGGGATTAAAAGAAAAAAAAAAAGGAAATATTCTTTTTGAACAGAGGAAGAATATTTTTAAACAAATGAAGTAAACAAAAAAAGGCTAATCTGCTGTCTAAACGTCCTGCACGAAGCAGTCCTGATTCGTACTGTTTCGTAGTGTCTAATTGACACAGGAAGGTACATCGTTACGAGCAACTTGAAAAAAGCAGCCGAAAAAGTCTCAATGATTAGCTAGCCCCATAAGTCTACTACTCCCTGGATCTACTTCCGGCTTCTTGAGTAGGTATCCGCGAAAAGGTATGGGGACGTGGCACTCATTTAACTGAACCCAGACAAACGGAAGTGGAAACAAAATACTTTGCAGTGCACACAGGACACCAAAATCACTCCCAGTGTGTTTTTCGAAACACCTGCGTGATCATAACCCCAAGAATTTAAAAACCATTTCGCAATTTTCTGATGTCGTGAAACTGAAGGTGCTCTACGACTATTGGGGATACATGCAGGCAGGCGGGTTAGTGTGCTGGGAACGACCCGCCAGGGTTGCGAATACTAGGGTCCGCGCCTAATAAGAAAGTCGATCTTTAACTGGGTAAGGTCCGACCTCAATTACTGCACAAAGTATGGAGGGCATAGCGGGACCCCCGGAATAGTGAACTGGATTCATGGTAAATATCTACTTTGGCACGTTTTTGAGGTGGCAGTCCACATTGGCGGATGTTTGGAGCAACCTACAAGATGTGTGCATCATTTCACCTCCAAGAGAAAGCAGGCTCCCTCTTGTATAGTTATTGACATTGGGGGCCTGGAACCATGATCGAGAGAACTGGCTGGAGCCATGTCGGGAGGACACTGGCGCTTGTAAACAAAGCGGCCATCACGTGACCGGTATCACGTGATCAAAGCGTCACGTGCGTGGCATCACCTGACCCCGGGCCAACGGTGCCGCCACTTTGTTTGCACCGAGTGGGCAAGCCCTGTGACCATACATTGGGAGAGTGACAAGCACAGTATCGGGCTGAATCGTCATGCCCGATTTGCCAGCCGAAGACATCTTGGCTATATTCGCCAGGCGTGCCCACGTAGGCACCAGCAAATACTACGAATTGGTAAGCGCACGTGACCACAACACGGAACGGCCGGCCAGCGAAAGCAGCGTTTCGAACCGAAAAAAATGGCGCCGTTGCAGAAAGTCGATTCTGCCGCATTTTTGAAGGCGCTCCTTGGCAAGCTCGTTCTTGTCCGACGTGTGGATCTGTCCTGCTAATCATCCTTCATAGTGCGCGTCCGTCACCAGATCTGTCTTGCACGCACTGCTCACTTTGACAATACGTGCGTCCCGTACGCGAAACCATAGCATCGCGAGGCACAAAACACCGCACCTTTAGGCGCACAGCTTCTAACCAAAACACCGGGAAGTCAGAACGCCGTGAACTCAAATCACCGGGAGGTCGAATCACACCGGGAAGTCAAGTCACTGGTAAGTCAAATCACCGGGAGGTCAAAGCACCGGGAACTCAAATCAGGGAACTCAAATCAGGGAACTCAAATCAGGGAACTCAGAACACCGGAACACCGGGCACTCAAACCACCGCACCCGCAACTCCAGCACAGGCCGATAATGAGCTCCATCTTGACCGCGCGCCAGACGCTGGAGCTCCACAAGGCCATAGTACAATATCTTGCGCCGGTCTTGGACGCTGACGCCGACACGCTCGGCTCGGTGTGCCGCGCCTTGGACGCCACGCCCACGGACGCGCCTGTGGCTCACTACCTCGAGAAAAAGTGGCTGACGGTGTTGCGGCTCCAAAAGCGCATTCTCGACTTGGAGAACGAGGTGGCCAGCTACAAGCTGCTCATCGAGACGGCCAACCTGGCGCCCAACGGCTCGCCTCTAGTCTCGCGAGACAAGATCAATTGGCTCCCTAGCGCCGTCAAGGCCACATACCCGACGCAGAGCGCGCAGATCGTCAACACCGTGGCCGTGCACCCACAATTGCCCTTGTTGGCCGCCGGCTGCGCGGACGGCGCCATGCTCGCGTGGGACTTGGCTGCCGACGACGTGCTGCTCCCGCTGCGGCTGTGGAATGCCCACTCACGCAGCTTGCACTGCCTCCGCTGGTCCGACGTGCCCATCGACCTCTCGGGCCCCGGCCGAGCGGCGCCTGCGCCAAGCCTGGCTCCTGCGGCAAGCGCTAAGTCCGCGTCCTACGTGCTTGCCTCGTGCTCGTCGGACCTCACGGTGAAGATCTGGCTGGGCGACGCGTTCACACATATGCGCACGCTCACGGGCCACGAGCACACGGTCTCCAGCGTAGCTTTCTCGCCGTCTAGCCCGCTGTTTCTCTACTCGGTCTCGCGTGACAAGGCTGTCAAGGTGTGGGACTTGGCCTCGGGGCACTGCGTCTCTACTTTTGTCGGCCACAGCGACTGGGTGCGCGACCTCGACGTGGCCGCCGTCAACTCCCGCCTCCTGCTCGCCGCGGTGCACAAGTCTGCAGCATTAGGCGACTTCATCTTGACGTGCTCCAACGACCAGTCCGTCAGGCTCTCGCACCAGCTGGGCACTGGGCTCTCCATGCTTTTGGGCCACACCCACGTCGTGGAGACCGTGCGGTTCTTGCCCATGCTCGCCAACAAGCACATCGACAAGTACCTCCTACTGAACATGGACCGTTTCCCGTACCTTCTGGACAACATCGTCGAGAACCCCGTCTACACGGAGTCTTTGGGCTTCAAATACTGTGTTTCCGCGGGCAGGGACAACGTGCTCAAGCTATGGCTTCTCCCGCCGCCTGTGCTCCTACCGCACCGCCTGCCGCTGCCCTCGGTGCAGAACAACTCGCAAGGCTGGCACATACTCGATCTTTTGGGACACCAGCTGTGGGTCAAGTCCGTGGAAACCCATCCAAACGGCCGGTTCATCATCTCGGGAGCCGACGACAAGCTGGTCCGTGTTTGGGATCTTGCTACTCTTGTAGAGCAGGGCCGAGTTGCATGCGTCAAGACTCTCACGGCGCATGAAGGCTTCGTCAATGCCGTGCATTTCGCCCGCTTCAAAATGAGTGCCACGGGCGACACGCGCGAAGACCGCTTGAAGCTTATTGAGAAGTCGATGCGCTGTCTCTTTGTCAGTGCCGGCACAGACAACACGGTGCGTCTATGGCAATAGCATTCACGATGCCTCGATATTCTGTTGGATACCGCTGCACGTTTCATGTGCGCAGAGGCATACTGCCCTGTGTTAATTCTATGGAATACATCTTGCATTCAAAACACATCATAATAGGAGATTATACTATAAACAGCACCCGCGCATTCGTCCAGACTATAATGCACTGAGCAAAGCATGCATGTTTAGTAAGCGCACACCCGCTGTTATCCCTTCCCAAACAGATCAACTCTTTTTAATGAGCTCGGGCGCACGCTGCGCCCACTCTGTCCAAGAGCCGTCATACACGCGAACAGGAATATCGGCAGAAACTTTGTGTATGGCCATCTGAAGAATAACAGCGGTGACACCCGTGCCACACATGACAAGGATGCCATCCCTCAGCAAGGGCAGCGTCAAGTCAAGCGCATACTCTTCTTGGAAAAGCTGGATGAGCTCCTCACGCGATTTATAATGGCCCTTGGCATTCAACACTTTGGGGAAGGGGAGCGACATTGATCCTGGAACATGTCCTGACGACAAACCTTTTCTAGGCTCTGGGTCCTCCCCGGTGAAGCGGCCCTTGGCCCGTGCGTCAAAGGCATAATACTTATCTGCCAATTTCCCGGCAACAACCAAGTCCCTGAGCTCCTCAAACTCCATTACTTGTGCTTTGTACTGGCGGGAGAACAGCTCCTGGGGAACCCCTTCGTATGTGCTTGGCAGCAGCATTTTCAGCTTCTTGTTCTCCAGCAACTTCCTCTGTTCTACACCGAAATCCTCCTTGAATTGCTTGTAGTGGTCAAGCAAATAAACATTCTCATGGCCAAACAAAGAGAGGGTCCATGCTGCCCGGGGGCCCGAGAAGATGCCCGACCGGTCATAGACAAGCACGTGATCTGCCTTGCGGATACCCAACTGAGCCATTGCTGAATTGAAAACACTCTGCAGAGGTAACATGTGTGGGTAGGGGCTCTCTGAGCTGCACACCTTGTCCAAATCAAAAAATACGGATCCTGGGATACGGTCCTCGTTCTGGAATTGCTCCCGAGCATTGTGGGGTGAATTGGGCATGTACCATGTGGCATCCACCGGAACCACCCGAGCAGGTCCTGCAAGAAGCTTGGATGCCGTGTTAGGCGAAACGATCTTAGCGAGCGGCGACGTATTCAGAGCCATAGTTGAGCAAAACGATGGGGTTTGTGTCTCGGATCTGGGGCCACGATCGCAGGTATAAGGAGATCGCCACTATGCAGGGCACGTGACTTGCATTGAACTCAGTCGCACCGCCGGAGCTGGCGTCCAATCGTATGAATTCGTTCGGGCCGGATGTGGAATTATTACATCGCTTTTGACCTTTCCTTCTAATTGGCTCAATTTTGTTTGGCGGGCGACTCTCGGAAAGGATAAGTAAGGCAATATGATTGAATGTATCTCAGAAGAGAGCTCGTTGTATGCGCTGTGATCTGAATCAGTTTTGGTTGCAATGTAGCTTATACGAGTTTCCTATCCATAATCAGCCAAATTCACACTCCGATAGTTTTTAGCTTCAAAAATCACTAAGAGGTAAAGTTGACACTAGCCCAATGAGATTTATCATGTACTCAATTATTTGTCTCCTTGTCGAAGATACGTGAAGAATTCAATATTACGTTATTTTGGTGTAGAGGTATGGGACGATTTGCTAATCTATTTGGTAGTAGCAGCAATAGTCGTGTTGTCAGCTACCTTCTATAGACTTCTGATGTTTTTCATTGGACTTTCGGATTTCTTCTTCCTGAGTCAACCGTGATCACACCACGTTCAAGCCTCAATTATCATCAATCGTTTTGCATCTTCCATTCCAGAATTTCAAATACCTTGGGTTTTTGTTAGGTGGTCAAAGCTCAAGGGGAAAAGAAGCCAGATGTTCTTTCCATATATTAGCTAAAGCAGAAGTACCTTGAAGAGCGCGTCGTCTAGTATAGTACTGCCAAGCTATCATAGATTATAAAGGTTGCTGGGATATCATTATGCTCTACATCTTGTTAGAGCTAAAAATATTTATGAAAATGTAATATTTGCTTAACAATGAGCCTTGAAGTATCGAGAACAGACTGCCCACTCTATACCCAAAAGCGTTGCCCCCGTAAATTGACAAAACGAGTCTGCGATTTTTGATTTTTGAATCAAATTGATCTGAGTTCCAAAACCAAACGTGCTGTTTATGTATCTGAGAAGCCTTGTATCGTCCATGATGCTCCTTAGCCTGAGCACGTTGAGAGATTCTTGGAAACATGCCAAGGCTGCCAGGGAACAAAATAGCGGGTTTGGCTATTCAGAGCTTGAGCTATATCAATTTGGGCTCAGAAAACCAGCTGAGTGGTTTCATTTACATAAAGCTGTCTTAATGCTCGAGAGAAGCTGTACGGTATTGTGAGAAGGTTTTTGGCTTTCGAAGACGTTCGGCACCAAAGAAATGGGAATGATTGTTGCATCTGTAAGGTCTCTGGTATCAGCTTGACACTGATGGTCCTTGTAAGCGCATATATAGCTATATGCACTGAGTTCCGTCAGATATCATTCTAGACAACTCATAGAATATTCTCTCGAGTTCTAAAGGTTCCGTTCACGTGACCTCTGGATAAAGTATATGAAGGTGGAATAGAGCTCCTGTAGAGTTCTAGAGGAACCAGTGATCTTGTAATACATAACGCCTATGTCCCGTGAAGTCTCTAACAGCATCAGTAATAATTGATATTGATCAGGTAAGGAGTAGCCGTCAGCATTTTGAAAACCACTCCAATGAGAACAGCAGAAAATTTAAAGGGTAACAAAAAACTTGACGTGGGTCAAAAATTGCCTTTATAAGTTTGTATCCCGAGGGAGCAGTGTGTTCTATATTATGAATATTTTGTGATTCATTGCCAGGCCTCGCATCTTTTGCTTGAAGCAATGTACCCAAGTGGCTAATTATACCTATTTCATGTAGTCTCATTGCATTATTCATTGCAGAGATGTTCTGATAAATCCAGTACTTTAGCCATAAGATCGGTTCCGTTTTTGAACCTTGGTTCCTTCAGCCTATGCACTTTTGGCCGCTGCGAGAGAAAAGGCTAGTAGAAGAACCGTTTTGTTAGGAAGAATACCCACAATAAATCTTTATATTTAACATTAAAGTTAAATGATACTAGCTCTCAAAGGATAATATGATACTAATAAACTTAAACCTATAGCTGATTCTGCTCCTGCTAATATTATTATACATAATGAATTTATCCTTTTTTATGTCTTTATGACCCTTATAATAATTTTAGTAGTTTTCATAGTTCTGTCTTTATATATATATGATATCTTATATTATTTTAAATAAGATATATTTTAATAGCTTTCAATAATATAATATGTTGATCTGATTAATGAGCGGGAGATAATTAACTGAAATGAACCGAGACGAGCATAGATCTGTAATTTTATTTCGCCCGGGCTCCACATAATTCTCGCTTGAAATAGGCAAAGACTTTGCGGGAGAGTGGAAGAGTTGGGCACAGCAATGTTGCAGAGGTTTCTGTTAATTGGACCCAGTGACCGTATTTCACTTCATTTTCCCAGACAGAAAACCGAAGGTTCAACGTCGCAAATCCACACACGTCTCTGTTTGGCATTTGGAAGTGAGGCGGGATGTAAATGGCTGCCCTTTGTAGTCTTCTTTCACGAGCATCTAAACATTTAAGTGATTTGATTGCAGCAGCCGTTCTCTCCAATTAGCATTTTCCAAAATATACACCAATTCCTACTAACATATAGCATGATGCTGCCTATCTGTTCCGAACGAGCTTGGTGAATGGCGTCAGCTCCAGGACCCAGCAGTGACTGATTCTTGAGGCTGCATGAACGTTCTGACACGATGGCCTGGCGGCTTTGAGAGAGGTATGCTAGGAGATCCTAGAAAAGCACAGCACCGTTCGAAGCGATGTGTATAGAAATGACTTGTATTTACTACGCAGACAGCCCGCAGAGATGTCACCAGGCGGCGCCAGGCAGAGTGCCCGACGGATTGAATGGCATCCGACGAGATTTGATGATTTTCATGGAGGTCTTGATGGCCTCGTGAGCACAATATATTTGCTTTGTCTGTGCACATACCAGGGCCCAGCATCGTTTAGACCACGCAGCTCGGGCGTTTGAGACATCGTTAGAAATTTGCCCCAGATTCGACACCCCGCCGGTGTCCTAACGGGCGTGGCGGGTTGTTCGTGATTGCTGTGCTTTCGGCGGATCGAAGCCTCGCGCATGACGGTCTTGAATGTGGGCCTTGGAATCTGGATCTAGCCTTTTGTATGGTGGGCATGCCGCGGTATAGAGCCAAGCTTGCATTCCAGTGGGCATGGTTGTGGGTGGGCTTGGTGGTGGGTGGCATATTGGTGAGTCGGCATGGTGGCCGTCGAGCATACACCCAAAGCAGGCAAGGGCTCGGCTGGCGATTTTCACCCACGCCGTCTTTCCCATGAGGGCGCCTCCAGAAGCATGGAAGAGCCAGCTCCAAGCCGGCGCCCGAAAACCGAGGCCCTGGCCATACGACACGCCGAGATAGGCCACAACCCCGGGCCGCCCGCACCACGCCCGGCTACAAGCCCGCGGTGTCGGTCTTCATGAACTCGCGGAGCGCCATGGTCGCGTAGCAGCTGACGCCTAAGCGCATGCGCAAGACCACCGCCGTTCTTGGCGCGTCCGGCCCGGCGCAGCCCGCCACCCTGGCAAGTGTCTGGCCGGCCTTTGCCGCAGTCAAGATCTCGAGGTCCGTGCGCACCAACGCGTCCGTGTCATCGTGGTACCGGACGATGTCGAAGGACACGTCGTGCGCACGGCCCATGAGCGGGCGGTAGGAGCCCGCGAGCGAGAACTCCTTGACGCGGCGCGCCATCTTGTGCGGGTCGAGCCCGTCCTTGGCCATGGCGGCCTCGTACACGGCCATGAGCTGCGGGTTGGCGGGGTACACGACGTCGTAGCCGGGCGACGGGAGCACCACGTCGTAGATGGAGTACCGGCCCGAGGCCACGTCCTCCGGCGTGAGCGCACGGGCCTTGGGCGCCAGGCAGCCGGCCACGTCCTCGGCAAACGGCACGCCGTCGACCATCTCCGGGGCCACGGCGCCGTCCAGGGCCCCGGCCTCGGCCATGACCAAGTCGCCGGCCTGCACCTGGAGCCCGAAGAGCTCGATGCGCTTGGACGCCACGAGGTTCCACACGTACGACTGGTACGCGTGCACGTAGATGAGCCGCAAGTTGCGGGGGATCTGCATGAGCGCCCGAAAGTACAGGTTCGGCGAGTAGCCCGTGGCGCCCCGCAGCTCCTTGGCCAAGAGGTTGAGGATGGCCAGCTCCGCCGTGCACCGGCGCGGGATCAAGCGGGCCGCCTGCGCCGCGTCGCCGGTGGCGGCCCACACGCGGCGGGCGTCCACAGAGTCCGGCACCACGCGGTCCTGCTCCGCCAAAATGAGCTCCGCCGCGCCGCGCCAGTCGTCCTTGAGGAGGTGGATGCCCAACACGTGCGTGGAGATGGAGAACGTGCCGAAGCGCTGCAAGCCGTAGTAGTTGATGAAGCCGCGGAGGCGGAGCGAGTCGAACAGCGCCCGCACCAAGCCGGCGAGGTCCGCGCCCGCGTCGCGCGGCCGCACGTTCTTGATGGCGATGACGAACTCGTTGCCCTGGAGATCGCCCAAGTCCAACGGCGAGTTCTCGTAGCGGAAGCTGCCCAACACGGAGCCGCGCAAGCCGTTGTTGAGCGCACACACCCGCGCCACCTTGCCGTTGTGGACGCTGAACCGCTGGCACGTCACGCCGCGCCGGTCCTTGGTGCCGGAGTACTTGACGCTCTTGTTGGGCACGCGCAAGAACTTGGTGATGAGCGACGCCACCTCCATGGTCTCGCGGTTCTCCTTGTACACGGTGAAGTGCAAGTACGGCTTGTGGGGACCCAAGCCGTAGTTGACCACGCCATCCGCGTCCACGTGGTTGTTGTTGGCCCGCCGCGTGGGCGCGCCCTTCTTGGCGAGCGCGATGCGGATCGTGTTCTGCGGCGACGTGATGGTCTCCAACTTGCCCTGGAACGCCACCCGCAACAACTGGTGCAACTGCGTGCGCCGCGCCTTGTCACCAAAGACGGACGCCGTTTCCATGTTGCCGCCGTTGCCGAAGAGCGCCTCGATCTGCTGGAGCTCCGCCGCGGACACGTGCTCCAAAAGCCGGCCGTGGTCCTCCTCCGAGAGCGTGTACTTGGGGGCGGCGTCGTTGTCCTGCTGGGCGTCGGCGTCCTGCAGGGCGTCGGCGTCTTTTGTGAGCTGCCTCTCGGCGTCTTTTTTGAGCTGCCTCTCGGCCTTGGCCTTTTCCAACTCGGCGCCGCTGAGGTTCTGGAGCTCGGCTCGGTCCTCCTGTCTTTTCTCGACGCGCCGGTCTTTCTTCAGCGCGCCCAAGTCAACGCCCAAGTCGGTGAGGTGCACGACGTTGCCGGCCAAGTCGATCTCAAAGACCTGGAAGTCCGAGTAGCGCTGCTTGATGGTACCGTAGAAGCCGCCGCCGTGCTTGTAGCCCTCGTTGATATACTGGGTGATGCCCACGTCAGACTCCTTGACCTGTTTCAGGACGTCGGCCTGGACGCGTTTTGGCGCGGGGGCCACGGCCTCGCCCGCGGTTCGTTTGGCGGTATTCTCCATGGCGATAGGCAGGAGAAGAGAGTGGAGCGTGTTTTTGAGGCGTGCGAGTCAGCGGGTGCTCATGTGCGCTGTCGGATTCTTTTTGTTTTTACGGGGCTAGGCGATGAGACGGCGCTTTTTTTCGGGGGGATGCTGCAGGCGCGCGGCGGGCTCTCTGGCGGCCGGCTCTGGGTAGCGCGGGAGTTCCGGGGTGCGGTGGGTTCCGGGGTGCGGTGGGTTCCGGGGGATACTAGATGAGTTCGGCGGATGCTTGGTCTGCTCCGGGAATGAATGTGGGATATTTTGGGAGTAAGTGTAGGTTTTTCTTGAAATGAATGTAGGTTGTCTGGAAATGAATGTAGGATATTTTGGAAGTAAGTGTAGGTTTTTCTTGAAATGAATGTTGGTTGTCTGGAAATGAATGTAGGATATTTTGGGAGTAAGTGTAGGTTTTTCTTGAAATGAATGTTGGTTGTCTGGAATTGAATGTAGGTTGTTCTTGGAATGAATGTAGGCTGTTCTGGAAATGAATGTAGGCTGTTCTTGAAATGAATATAGGATGATCTGGAAATGTATGCGGTCATTACCAGCGATATTTGGTCAGTTCGAACTCTGGAAATATGGATGTGGGGGCCAATGCTGGCAGTCAGACCAAGCCGGCTCATATTATTCGGACATCCCACTCAGAAAGGGGCAGCGGGAAGTTGCTTCACTACCTCATGACCATGGAAAGCTCGATTATATATGCTAGCTTTTGTTGTGAGCAGCCGACTGTGGTTATCCAATTTCAGCACCAACTCGGACGCCGCCCCTAAACACTCAGAACGTATCTGGCGCCAACGCACGGGATTTCTCTCTGACGCCTCCTGTTGTTTTGACATTAGAGAACTAGTAAGGCGGTCAGCAGCACATACTCTGTAGAAAGCCACAGGAAACGATATGCCTGCTTATCCTCACCTTCTTTGTGTAATACTCTCAACTCTCGAGCCACTGCACATCCACATGTTCTGTGGCGGCAAAAAATTGCTCGATGTCTCAATTTCCTGCCCGAGCACCTGATGCACCAGGCTTTTCCACCCACAGCCCATTTCGCTTCCCCTTATGGGTCTAACAGGTATTACTGAGCAACTAGAGCTTATCCTTTTCTCAAAGGGAGCTCAATCACTTGAGCGTTGTCACTCACATCAAACTTTGGCACTCGCACCAAACGGTTTTATTCACACCAAGCAGTCGTATTTGCACCAAAATTCCTCATTTCAACAGATCGGTCTCATTCAAGCCTTCTCATTCAAACGTTCTCATTCACACCAAACATGCTCATTCACACCAAACGCTCTCATTCACACCAAACGCTCTCATTCACACCAAACGCCCTCATTCACATCAAACGCTCTCACTAAAATTGCGTTCGCTATTCTTCATTCACATCAAGCTCACACTCAAACATTCTCATCAACACAGCCTCACTCCCAAACTCCCTTTCTCTTTCATGCCCATCTTTCTCCACGCGCCCCAGAGTGCCCTGCCAGATTCGCACCCGGGCCGCCAGCCGCACTTTTTTTGGCCCTGCGACCGCGCCGCATTGGGTGCAAAAAAACACCCACTTGCTAATCTTGTTGCTATGTTCAAAGCCGCCATGAGAGGCTCCGAAGACGACTGGTGGTTCAAGTTCCAGAACGACAAGCCAGGCATTCCCCAAGCCCAGGTCCCGGGCGAAAACCGCGCCGACGACCAGAGCAAACGCACCTTGGTCAAGCGATTTCTTCATTCGCTGATGTACAAAGTCAAGGAGAGGGTGGACCCGCCCCGCAACTTCTCGTTGAACACTTTGAAGGCGTCTGCGTCAGTTTCAGGCACCATGCTGAAACAGCTGGACCAGTCGCTGCTGATTTCCCGGTCCCAGCTTACAAAGTCGCTCCGCTCATGTGCCTCCTCGGCCCGCAACTCGCTTTGGGAGCGGCCTGCCACAAACACCGCCAGCCGGCGCATCTTGTGTGTTGCCGGCTTGCCGGCCACAACCAGCATGGCCACCACCATGTCACTCGTTTGCGGCGGCGGCTTGGAAAAGGTCGTCTTCCACGACGGCCACAGTCCCACGGTCGAGGTCCATTTTCTTAGCCCAGAGAGCGCCCACAAGTTCCACGAGTACAGCGAGCGCCTGCCGCTTTTGGCCATCAATGGCTACCCGCTCAGTGTCACGTGGGCCAAGCCCACGCGCGGGCTCCCCGCTGGCCATGCGCCGCTTGCATCGTACGTGGCCGAGGAGGTGGAGGGGTACCGGGCATCACGTGTCATCGTGTTGACCCGGCCCGTGCCCAAAAGGCAGACCGATACCGCGGCTTCCCGGGGCTACCCGGACGCACGCGACAACTACTCGGCGGACCTAAATATCGAGAAGGTCAAGTGGGACTTTGTGCAGTTTGGCGGCATTGTGGAGGTCATGCCCATGATCCTGTCGAAGCTCAGCATCAGCATCCAGTACACGGACATCCGCAGCGCCATTCTTGCCATGCACACCCTATCACAGAAGAGCTCGTTGCTTTACTCCAAGTACAGTCTTTGGTCGGCCAAGTATGTGCGTGACGTGACCAACCGGCCATGCCTCACAGTGTGAAAAGCTCTTGAGGGTACTCTCGGTTTGCTTCGGAGAGCTTGCTTACACCACTTGTGTTGACAAGTCTGATCTTGGGCTTGGCTCGACTATCAAAGGCTGGAAAACTCAAGAAACGGCCCATCCAGGAGAAACGCTCCTCATTCGCCAGGTCACCCCGAACCGACAACTGACCCCTCGTGCTGTGGACCAGGCTCCATGGTGCTCTCTGCATTTTCTGGAAGCAAAAACAAGAAGCCTTATCTACTCTGTACTGACGTCCATATTTATAAACTCTACATGTGTTTCCAGCATCTCATGACTGCCGGCCTTGTTTGGCTTGCGTTTAGCAGCGAAGTAAGTGGGTTGCAACATGCCTGCATAGCCTCCGTCACGTGCCGTAGGCTCGCATCTCTCTACTTGCTCGTTTTGCCTAAAGTGGCCGGAGTATAAACAACGCGGCTAGATACGCACAAGGCCAAGCCGGGCTGCGGCTACTATGGATGCTTCCGAGTGCACCAAATCAATAGAGAGTTTATTATGAAGCACGACCTGGGGGATTCTTAGCGTCTGCCAAAGAAGCGTATGTCTGCACGTTCACTGCCGCGTCTCTCGAGCCAACGCACCCACTTTCTGCATCACACTCTTCGCTTGCGCTAGACGTGCATAGTGAGTTCCGCACTTAGACACATGCAAACACCCATCCGCTCGTATCAACATACATCCTGCGACGACACTTTATCAACAGAGCACCCCACATTCTCTTCAAACAAGCAAGCGGCTCTTCTTCGCTGACGTAAACCTGCTTTCAGCCAAGTGCAGCCACAAGTGTCTGTGAATACCCCTCTCTCTCTTACTCTAGGGCATCACCGCACAACCCAGGACATCTCGTTTCATTATTTGAGCCACCCCATTGCACGGGCTTCTGTTCTAAGGTTGCCCCCCCTGTTTATCTCAGATTTACAATTGCAACAAAAAGAACTCGAATGCGCCCCAGTTCGTCTCTCTCCTCCTCAACCGGAGGCTCGACTCCACTGTTGGGTCGCAGGCAGTCCATTGCCGATTTAAAAAGACCACCGTCATCACGCGGCTTCCAGTCACATTCACCGAAATACCTGGGAACACGGTCCCGGCCAGGCTCCTCTCTAGGCAGCCGCCCGCTGACTCCGGTACAGCGCCAGGAGGCGTACACAGGCACGGTCAAAGTGAGCATCCGGCCGAATCCATGCTCCAATTCATCTCTGACCAAAACCCCGAATTGGCTCATCGACGAGCACTCGAATGCCATCACCAACAGCGCAGACGCCACGTCATATGTTTTCGACAACGTCTTTCCCGCATGTAGCAGCGTGTCGAACCGCAGCGTGTACGACAAATCGTGTGCGCACCTCGTGCACAGCTTCCTCAACGACGGGTTCAACTGCACGCTCTTTGCCTACGGCATGACTGGATCCGGCAAGACGTATTCCATGCGAGGCGAGGAGCATGACCCCGGGTTCGTGCGTCTTGCCATCGACGACATCTTCGAGAAAATGGGCGCCGAAAGCGCGTCCAAGAAACACGTGCTCGCGGTGTCATACCTCGAGATCTACAACGAGAAAATCATCGACTTGCTCGGCCAGGTGCCGCTAGCACAGCTGGACCTCAAGATCCGCGACGACCCGGAGTATGGCACCAAAATCGTCGGCATCCACTCGCCCACGGTGGCGGACAAGCAGCAGCTCCTTCAGCTCATCAAGACAGGCGACGCCAAACGCAAAACAAGTGCAACAGACTACAATGCCCGCTCGTCGCGCTCGCATGCCATTTTGCAGCTCCGCTTGCATACTGTGGACAAGGTGGCCCGCAACGAAGTGCGCTGCACGCTTTCGCTCTGTGATTTGGCGGGTTCCGAAAGGGCCACTTCCAGTGCAGAAAGGCGAAAAGAGGGGGCGTTCATCAACAAGTCGTTGCTTGCGCTTTCGACGGTCATCAACAAGTTGTCGCTCCTCCTGACGTCCGCCTACATCTCGGGCATGGAACACATTCCGTATCGAGACTCGAAGCTCACGAGGCTCCTCCAGCCGGCGCTCTCTGGCCTGTCTCTAATTCTGATCTTATGCACGGTGCACCTAGGAGCCAGTCTGAGTGCGGCGGACCAGCAGATCGTCACGGAAACCAACAATACCCTTCGTTTCGCCGCACGTGCCAAGGATATAGTGTTGGACGTGTCGAAGAACAAGAAACTGGCGCTTTCCTCGCAGGATTCGGCCCGCATCATTGACGAGCTCCGGCAGACAGTGGATGCACAGAAACAACAGATCCACCATCTCAAGCTGGGCCAGCAGTTTGCGTGTGCTTCTCTGCCCTTGGGGAGCATGGACGAAATTCCCATTGACCGCATAGCCATGGCGGACCTCGAGGCCCAAATCAAGGTGCAAAACGAGCGGATCGAGCACTTGAACCGCTTGAACGACTTGCAGAAAACAGAGACGATATTGCTACGAAACGACGCGTTGAACGACATACTAGGCGTGGACATCGAGAAGGGCTCGCCGCAGATGATGATGTCCAATTTGGAGGAGTTCTATAACCGCGTGAACTACGAGATGGAGGAGCACAAGGCGTATATCTCTCATTTGGAAAAGCAGCTCCGCTCGGCGCACCTGAAACTCGCCAGTTACAACAAGCCTTCCGTGGCACAGGCCCCCTCGGAGCCTCATTTGCAGGAGCTTTTGAAAGAGCAAGAGGAGGAGATCTGGCAGCTCAGGGAGACCATCAAGGACAAGGACCACATCATCCACAGTCTCACGAAAACCTCGAAGTTGCGCCGGTTGGTGGACTCGAGCTCCACAGCGTCGTCTGAGTTCTTGAAGCGCCCCAGTCTCTCTGCGCCTGTGCGGGCGTTGGCCAATAAGGAGAACAATGCGCCCCAAGACTCGGACCGCAACATGAGCCCTGCCAGAGCAGCTCTCCACTGATGGTACGTGGGGATTTGGTATATTGTTTATTTGGTAATGTCACAGGAGTTCTGGACTGGCCTGGAGTCAACAGGCCCCGGTGTAGGTTTGAGTCGAAGATCTCCATGGAATGGAGTGTCTTGCGAGCCGGGATTCCCCAATGTAGGACCAGCTCGTGGTTTGGAGGGCACGCCCGCGAGGAGCCGAGGCAGAGCACGGCATGCGTCACGGAGCGCACCGGGCTCGGGATGCGTATAAGCAAAGAAAGCCGCCTGGCAGGATATCTCACGAAGAGGCCCGCGACGCTAGGGCTACGCCCACGAGTTTGTCGGTCTAGCCTGCCCGCTCTGGAGATGGGCGCGCTTCGACAGCAGCGGCTTCAGCGGGCTGCTGTGCGTGTCGTCGTACATCTTCCGTTTTAGTCTGAGCAGCGACTTGAAGTTGCCGCCGTACCCGGCAATGGAGCCCTTTTCGACGCCGCGCGCAGCGCCGGTCTGGGGGGCCGGTTCAGGCACGATGGCGGGCCGGAGCTTCTCGTCGTTGGGGTCGAGGCGGATGACCTGGACAAGGCCGTCCGCGTCGCCGGCCCGCTCGCCGCCGCGGAAGAGCCCCGTGGCGTCGTTGATTGCCAAGGTGAAGCTCAACAGCTGGTGGATGGACTCGTCGACGAACAAGTCGATGCGGTCGCCGTTGAACAACTGCACCTTCTTGCACTTGCCCACGCGCACGCCGTTGACGTGGCAGGAGTTGGTGCTGAAGTCGAGGAGCCAGAGGTCCTCGAGGCAGTGGGCCGGGCTCTCGAAGATGGACGCGCCGGCCATGGGGTGGCGCCTGCGGTGGATGAGGCAGTGGATCTTGGACATGCGGTCGTCGTTGACGAACGTGTCGCAGGCCTCGTTGCGCCCGATGGCATACGGGTTGACGCCCTGGCGGACATAGATGGGCTCGCCGCTGAACGAGTTGGGGAGTGGCGCCAACGTGATGAACAAGTCGCGCGGCCGGCCCGCCAGCGGGGCCTCTGCGAGCGGCACGTGCACGCTGAGCGAGCCCATGTGCTCGGAGAGCGCGGCGGGCGGGGCATCTCTGAGGGCGTCTTTCTGTGCGTCTTTCTGGGCGTTTTTCGGGGCGTCTTTCGGGGCGTCTCCCTCGGCGTTTTCCCGGGAGTCTCCCCAGGCGGATCTGGGCGGGGCCTGCGTGCTGGCGCCGCCGTTCGGCGCCGCCGCCGGCCGCAGCAGCGACGCGTGGAGCGGCTGCAGCTGCGGGAGCGGCGCCACGCGCCGCGGCACCTTGAACTCTTGGCCGCGGCGGGCGTTCCGGTGCGCCGGCGCGCGGTCCAACGGGCGCAGCATGAGGTCGTCGTCCAAGTGGCTGGACGCGGAGATGTGGATGCCGTGCTCGATCCGGCGCGACTGCTGCAGCGTCAGCTGCGAGAGGCTGAGCGGCGGCAGGCCCAGGCCCGCGGCGTGTTCCGGGGCGTGGGCCGCGGCGAGCCACGGGTGGCGGAGCGCCTCGGCCGCGGACGGGCGGCGCGCCGGGTCCACGGCCAAGCAGCAGCGGAGGAAGTCGAGGGCCTGCTGCGAGACGTCGTAGGCCGCGAGCGGCGACGCGAGGAAGTCGCCCAGCTTGATCTTCAGGAACATCTGGGCCTGCGTCTTGCCGTTGAACGGGAGGTGCGACGTGAGGAGCACGTACACGAGGCAGCCGAGCAGCCAGATGTCCACCAAGCAGCTGTAGTTGGCCGCGGCCGCGGGCAGCAGCTGCGGGTCGGGCTTGCCCGTGAGGACCTCCGGCGCCACGTAGGCCAAGGTGCCGCAGAAGGTCTTCATGAGCGACGCGCCGTCGCTGATCTTGGCGAGCCCGAAGTCCGTGATCTTGACCACGATCGGGTCGTCCTGCAGAATCAAGATGTTGTCCGGCTTCAAGTCGCGGTGCGAGATGCCGAGCCGGTGCACGTACGCGATGCCCTCCAAGACCTGGCGCGCAATCACCTGCGTGGCCGCCTCGCCCACGGCGCCGTTGGCCGCCACGAAGTCCATGAGGTCGCCGCCGGGCACGAGCTCCATGACCAAGTAGTAGTTCTCCGCGTCCTCGTAGAAGCTGTGCAAGCGCACGATGTGGGGGTGGTCGAGCTGCCGGAGGATCGCGAGCTCGCGGTCCACGCCCGCCATGGCGCCGCGCCCGCCCGCCGCGAGCGCCCGCCGCCGGCTGATGATCTTGGCCGCGTACGCGTCGCCGGTGCGCCGCTCAATGACCTTTTTGACCGTGGCGAACGCGCCCTGCCCGAGCGTCTCGCTGCGCACAATGAAGTCGCGGTGGATGCCGTCGGGCGGCGCCTCGGGCTCGCGCGCCCGGCTCTGCGGGTTGTACCGGTCGCCGAAAAGCACCACGAACTTGACCACGTCCTGCGCCACGCCCACGCCCACGCTGATCTCGTCGCCCTGCGACACGATGTAGTTCAGGCCCTTGACGAGCCGGCCGCCGTTGAGGTACGTGCCGTTGGTGGACGTGTCCTGGATCCACACCGTGTCGTCAGCCAAGCTGAGCCAGAGCAGAAAGTGCCGGTTCGAGAGCCGCGAGCACGTGTGGAGCACCACGTCACACTCGCCGTTGCGCCCAAACACCCACGTCTTGCGCTGCGCGTGCGCGCGCGTGCGCGTGGCCGCGTTTGTGTTCAAGTCGATGCTGCCGTACTGGCCGGTGGCGCAGATCAAGCGGCAGATATGGGCCTCGTCCTGGGGCTCCTGAGGCGGCGTGCCTGCGGCCTGCTGCGTGGGCTGCGTGGGCTGCGTGGAGTCCATGGGGGTTTCTTTTGGGGGGGCTGGCGGCGGGTGGGGGCGGCGGGCGTGTTTGGGGGGTGTTGCCCGGCGGGTGGGGCGACTTGTGGGGGGGTTGTTTGGTGGCTTTTGGGGCTCTGGGTGCTGGAGTTGAGGTGAGTTTGGACGGGGACGCGCCGCGCCGCGCTGTGTGCAGGCGCCGCCGCCGCCGGATGTAGTAGGCATGATTTAGTGATCGGGATAGATGGGGAGGGCTCGAGCTTCTTGGTCCATTCCAGGAACAAGTGGGTGCTGGTGCTCTATTAGGGAACTTGTAGTGCACCCGGGCCAGGCTCACCATGTGCTGCCCGCAGCGTGTCCGAGATCTCTGACCGAAGGGATTGGTTCGTGTATGGAGTGGATACGGAGGGAATGGGTGGTTTCGTGAATTTCAGTCTAAACTAATGGATTGAGTTGTTTCGTGTTTTTGGTATATGCTGAGGGAATGGGTTGGTTCGTCTTTTTGGTAGATACTAAGAGGGATGGATGGTAACGTGTATTTCAGTCTATACTACTGGATTGACTTGTTTCGTTCGTTTACGATATACTGAAGGAATTATGTCCGAGATCTCTGACAAATGGCATTGGTTCGTGTTTTTGGTGGATACTGAAAGGAATGGCTTGTATCGTGCATTTAGTATATACTCTTGGGAATGGATGGTTTGTGTTTTTGGTAGATACTGAGAGTAATGGATTGTTCCTTTTTTTGGTAGATACGGAGGGAACGGATTGCTTCGTGTATTTACTCTATACTACTGGATTGAGTTGTTTCGTGTTTTTAGTATGTATCGACGGAATGTGTTGCGTGCTTTTATTATATGCTGAGGGAATGGGTTGATTCGTGTATTTCAGTCTATACTACTGGATTGACTTGTTTCGTTCGTTTACGATATACCGACAGAAATATGTCTGATATCTCTGAATGGATTATTTAGTGTCTTTGGTATATACGGAGGGAATGGGTTGATTCGTGTTTTTATTATAAGGGATTGGATTGTTTTGAGTATTGAGTATATAATGAAGGGAAGAGATTTTATTTGTGTATTTCGTATATGCCGAGGAAATGGAGTCTTTCGTGTATTGAGTAGATACTGAGGGGGATGAATTGTTTTGAGCATTGAGTATATAATGAAGGGAAGGGATTTTATTTGTGTATTTCAGTCTATACTACTGGATTGGGTTGCTTCGTGCTTTTAGTGTATAGTGAAGGAATGGATTGATTCGTGCTTTTAGTATATAATGAGGGGAATGGATTTATTCGTGCATTGAGTATATACTGAAGGGAATGGATTGGTTCGTGTATTTAGAATATACTCAGGAAATCGATTGTTTCGTGTTTCTAGAAGCTACTGAGGGGAATGGATTGGTTCATGCATTTAGTATATACTTAGGGGAATAGATTGTTTCATGTAGTGAGTATATGCTGAAGAATTGGAATGTTTTGTTTCGTGTATTTGGTATATACTGAAGGAAATATTTTGTTTTTTTGCATTCAGTTTATACTGACGGGAATGGATTAATTCGTGTTCTAGTATATACTGAGGGGAATAGATTGTTTCGTTTATTTCGTATATACCGAAGGGGAGGGATTTTCTTGTACCGAAGAGAATGAATTGTTTCGTGTATTTAGTAAACACTGAAGGGAATGGATTGTTGCATGCATCTCTGTATATACTCTTTCTTTGGTAGAATCATTTGATTAAAGAAGCAAAACTATCTAAATAATATATAAAAATCTTCAAACAGCTCCCAACTACGTACCAAGTGTCTTATCTCGGCCCGGTCCCTCCCGTTAGTCACGGCCTGGACGGTCCACTGGGGCCGTTTCTTTTTACGTATTGATTCTACGTCATCGACTCCTAGGATAGGTCTCCTGTTGTAGTCGCTTCAACTCCGCTGGTTATAGCGGACTTAAGGAGTCACCTTCCTGCGACTCGCCCCCTTTTAGTGTATACCTTGAAATTTGTGGCGACGAACCAATTCAGTTTTGTTAAGTTCTCCAATGAGTTGTCTGCTGGGGCCAACATTGAGTTCAAGCTCATGGGCTTGGAAATTTCTAGATTTGGCCCCCAGTATTTGGATGTTTCGCAGTTGTTGTAGATATGGCTTAGAAAAGCGTCTGTGGCTTCTCCGTTCTTGGGAATATGGTTTGTGCAAAGATGACGTTGGAAATCCAGTGTGTGCTTGGTAGGGTCTTGAGAAACATATGATGCATAATTGAAGTGATGGATGACGAAAGGTCAAATCGCTTTGTCCATTCTGCCTTATACAAGGCTTTCCAAAAGTGTTTCCACCTCTTAGTCCGACGGACCGCGGAGAATGGATTATTTTGTGCATTTCAGAATAAATTGAAAGAAATAGCTTATTAATGTACCTCCGTATATACGGGAGGGAATAGATTATTTCATGTATCTCGGTCTATACTTAAGGGAATAGATTGTTCCGTGCATTTAGTATATACCGAAGGGAATAGATTATTGCGTGTATCTCGGTATATACCGAAGGGAACAGATTATTGCGTACATTTCAGAATACACTACTCGGCGCTGCTAGCGACGACTCTAGACCCTCAGATAACAAGTCATTTCCGCATGAGATTGTCGTGATGGGCTTTTCATGATCCCGCATCCGGTGACTTACCGAAGCATGCGCCCCGTCAAGTCCCCTCATTATCTACGTATCCTGTCAAAGGGTGCCAGACCCAAAAGTGGCGGAAGCTGCGCCTGCCTGGCTCAGGCCGTAGATAAAGTTGGTGGTTGGAGGGATTATTTACGAAGACGGTTTTGGGCCGGTGTAATATTATTTAGTGTCATAATGACTTTTGGCACAACACAGGTGATACCAAGAAAGCTAGATTCGCATACATCTTGTAGTAGAGCACTAAAACTTTCTTCCAAAGAGGTACTGGAATTTCCCATGAGGCCTAATCTATAAACGCTAAATCTGGTTGACGTCATAGAGTCAGTTTCATTCTAAGCTGAAATGAATTTCCTTTTTGATACGCACCCATCTCAGTCTGCAATGCAATCTTTTAGCCCGATCTTCAACTATTTGTTCACACTATAAGTTTCCCAACTGTATCCTCGTGCTAATTAAGTCTTACAGCTTTCCTGGAAGTACCGCATGGTACCGCAAAATGTGCTTAGTTTCACTGAAACTGATACTCGACCAATACAAAAATGGCAAATTTGTCTGAACCCACAAGTAGTCGCCGGAAACGACAACAGGACTTCTGCCATCCTTTGCAATAATCGCATATCCTGCATTTATAACACTTTTTGCAAATTAAGTGGGTGGTACGCGTTCAGCTTTGACCTGTATTATTTTCTCCTTCCACTGTATGCGAAAAAATACTTTTTTCCAAAACAGTAAATGTGAATTTTCACCGATGCGCGTAATGATTGGCGTTAATACATGGTTTACCTCCGGATGAATATTGGATAAATTGAGGATGATCACATCGATGTCTACGGTGAAGACGTGATAAATCGCGTTCGTTTTTTCAAACTAACAGAGAGAATACTGCTTATCGTTGAGCTCTCTTGAGCAATTTGGACCAAGTAGAGCATTCATGAAGTTTCAAGTCGGGATCGAACTTGTAGCCAGAAGTGTATCTAATAAAACATGTATCAACTGTAAAATCGTGTATTAGATATGTCGAAGCTGTTGGGCCGGTGTGTGTTTGATAGAGCAAGTATATACTGTCAATTCGTGTATTAGATATCGAGGAGCTGTTGTGGCTGGTGGTGCATCAAAAGCTGTTTCGGCCGGTGGTTTAACAAATATGTCGAGGCTGTTTAGCCAGTAATGTATCAATGTGTAGGGTCTGTTTATGCAGTGGCGGACCAAATAGAGCATGTATATACTGCTTGAGCCAGTGTTGTCACCAATATTTAGAAGCTGTTCGGGCCAGTGGTGAAAAAAAGAGAGCATTTATGAACTTTCAAATTGGGAATCAAGGGGCTGTTGGGGCTATTTGTGTATCTAATAAAGTACTTATGAACTGTCAAGTCGTGAATCAAATATGTAGGAGCTGTTTGGGCCAAGTGGCAGATCAAGTAGATCACTTCGTCCAGGATATACAAATCGATGTATCTGATATTGCTGTGGGAGGTGTTGAGCATGAAATACCTGGTTTCTTTCATTCTACATCACTATTGATTGGCGGCTTACAAATAGGTGTGGCACCCATATATCAATCTTGATCGAGTCTTTAAATTTTTCAACCCAGTGTCAAGACTGTAGCTTTCTGCATCCTGAACAGAAAGTTGGTTACCACAGTCAATATAGGTAGCTGGAGCACTCTGACATTCATATCACAAGTATTCGAATTTACAAATTGACGTGGGCTATCACAAGCAGCCAGTGGGAATGAAACAAAATAACGCATGGAAAATTAACTACAGATATTATCTACCTTATCTTATTCACTGTCATCATACACACAAATAATGAAAATCTTGCTCTATTTCATAGCAAAGCTAATGAAGAATAAAAACAATTGAAATACATGTCAGATTGATTTTATAATAATAAAATCATTTCTCTGTTTTGTATCTTTTCAAGTAATCAAGTAATGTGAAATAGGATCCGTAAATTTTTGTAATATTTAAATATACATGAAAAGATGTCTTCAATGTATGTTGAATATTCTTGATAACATAATTAGTTCCATCTTAATGTTGAAGAGTACTAGGCTTTGAAGTCAGGCTTGAATCAACATTCAAAAAACTTAAATTCTCAAGTTAAACTTTACATATCTAGAAGTGAATTTTTGAGCAAAGAGAACATAATCTTTATTGAAAGAGTTGTAACAAAACCTAACTTATGCTATCCGCTGGTAAACAGATGTCAGAAAAACAAGAACGAGCTGTCCCAAAAAGTATATGTAAACAAGATAATTTCAATAAAAAGTTATGAAGCTGTCTCGAACCCTAGATCTAAAGCTGAGAAGTGGAAAGCAGGTAGCCGTTCTGGGTGGTGTGCCATGATCTCGCTGGTTTTCTGTTTGGATTTCTCTTTATTTTGGGTAGTACCTTGTTTGATGTGTTTGTTTGCTTTCGCGTCGTGCTCCGGGTGGTGCACTTGGAGCTTATTTTGGTAACTGCATTGGTGTGCGTTATAATTTTCAATTCTTTTTCTTTGTTAGTTTGTGTTTCGTCAGGCTGTGTTATGACTTGCCAGCTCATGTCGATTGGTGGCTCTGCAGCCATGATCGTGGCTTGCTTCATGGTGCACTACAATGCGTATGTAGCTCAGTTCTTGGATACTTTCGTGGATCTCCGACAGACTTCAAAAAGTGGTGTCAGAAGTCTCATACTCTTGTCTACCTTCCGCATAACATGATAAAATTTCCGTCCTCCCTTACCAAACATGGTGGTAATCTCACGACTTATGTCTCAAATATTTATGAGATTCATTACCTGTACCTCCGAGCTGCTTGCTTCTAGTTTTGCTTGTAAAATCTTTTCGACTATGAGACAAGCCATCCCTATAGTCTGATTTGGCTGGATTTCTTTCAATATCAACTTTTACAATCCGCTCAATTGGTTCTGACATACAGCCATGCTTCATATCAATGACACGTGTCAGATACTGAATCTAAGGATCATCAGAGAGATGGTGTGATTTAGCTAGAAGCTCTTTTGTTTGTAAGCTTTGAGATTCTGGACTTTGATGTTGAAAAGGCCGGGAGTACAAACTGTGAACACTGAGAGACAACTTTTTGGAGACCGCCTACTGCTGTTTTAGTCCTGAACCTAAATCATTAGCATCCCGGTGAATGCGTCAAACTGTTATTCCATTTTAAAGAGGCACTCTTGCTCTCTTACTTCGACTCAATCGATGGCTTGACGAGGGACTTCTATGGTATGTAATTTAGTAGCTTGGCATAGTCTTCTAAAGATTTGTGCTTTTACATGGATGGAAATATCCCGATCAGACTAAATTCCATTTTTGCGTGAGGGATTTGAATACGTGAAGGTATTCTTCAATCTGGAATGCATATCTAAAGCTTGATATTTTTGGCCGAATCACACGGAGGGACGTGGATTTTCCTTATTTTCTCGAAATCAGACTTTGAATATGGCTGGGCAACCTTCCTAGACACTAGGTCATTCAACCGGAGAGTATTTACGAGCCTGTGTACTAAAATCAACTGGATCACTCGAATCTCGACGTGTGTCTGACTAGCGTGGAAAGTGATCCTATAATAAATAGAGAAAATATTTTTCTTCGTGTTTGTCCAATACATCAGAAGCTTGAAGTTTGTTGCAAGCGCCCTGTCAATTTGACCACGCAGCATTACGCAATCATGACATGGTTTTTAAAGTTGTCAAGCAGACACCTGATATTGGATAAATTCTAGAGAATGAAGCATATTCAGAATGTCGGTGATGTGCTGAAACATCCAAAAGGGACTAAGTAAGGACGCGCAGCATAAACATCTTGCAGTGTATTTGCTTATAGAGTAAATCCATATTGGACAAATTTGATGATACCACAAAAATTAAGGGAGAGAAAAAGTACTGTTCATATACTTTACCTCTTAACAGCAAGAGCTTCTACATCTCGAGAAAAGAAGATATTCTGTAGACACATATTCACACCGGGGAAACATACTCAGATCATTGGAGCTCATTTCTCGCAGCTTTTAATCAAGCGTAACACACTTATCTTCTTCCGACGATAAACATGTGCTCGCATCTCATGAGGACGATCAGCAAAAAACCGAGAATGTCCAAGATGATTTATTATTTTATGCATAATGTTGATAGGAGAAAGAATGTTGTAACATGCGACGTTGGTTTGATCATTGGGCCTGTCACGTTTTGCCAAATAGCAATCCCTGTGCAAGATCTCTAAAAATTCAAATCAGGACAACTACGTGCGTATATGCACATGAATCGTCTTACAAAGGAAAGTGTTCAGTTACGGGCAAATGAAAATGCTTTAAGAAGTCAAGCCCGATTGAATAAAAGAGTGATTCTACTAAGGGCAAAGCCACATACGCATGACCATGACTCCAAGGTAGAGATATGAAGTAAAATGGGATTTGTCCTGGTTCAGCACTTCGAAATAATCTCACAAAAAATACAGCTACTAACCAACGATGATTTGATAGATATGATCTTTCTTTCCCTGCCTGAGAAAAATTGAGGTTTTGAGTTTGAATTAAATCAATCCCAAATTTCATCAAGTGGCTGTCAAACTATATTGTATTACTTTGGAAAAATGTGCCTAAATATGACCGCAGAAACTATTCATACTGTCTATTCAAGGCTAGAGATTGGATATCCAAACCATAAGCTGATGTTTTTATTTTCTGTCTAGCTATAGGAATGTGACATGATATAAAAGAGATTGAAATCAAATTGAGTTGACTCTGTATGCCCGTGCGCGAGCATCATTTGTGCTTGATATGTTGGTGTCCATGGGCCGTCACAAAGCTCGCTAAATTCTCACCCATACTACAGCTTTGTAAGCAAACGAAAAAAAAATTGATGCAGCCAAATAAATATACTAGTGAGGATTCTCATCTCAGTTTCACATCAAAGTCTCATTAACTGTTTTCAGATGCGTAATTTCATTCAAATTGCACACCCACGTTTCTTGACAAAGGAGAACTGATATACTGCAATTATATATTTTCACACAGGTCTTAGACAGTGCGTTTTTTGTGTAGCTAAGAGCTCAAAATATTTACAAGAGTACCTCGGAAGACGCCAGACAAAATACCCCATCGGGCCAACGGTAAAAATTTTCAAAGAAAACAAGCAAAAGTTAGTATCGCCCATCGAAAGCCCAGAAGTGAATCTTCATCATCTGAGCTTTAAGGTCACTATTTTAGGGATTGTCAATCATGTATATGCATCCTGGTCATATTTTCGAGAACTATTGATAGTGATAACTGCAACACAGAGGCAACAATTCTCATCTCTTCTGGATGACTAAACCATTGTGATTGTCAGGCAATTCTGCATCTCAAACTACGCAAAATGGTCATACACACCAAACTTCACGTGTCAATTTACCGCTTGTGATCAGAGACAATTGGCATTTATCCGGCACTTGTGGCGAACATGCAATCTACGCAATCCAATAACCAACACACGCTCATAACCCATACATACAAGCCATACATGTTCTTGCAGGTCGGTAGAGTCCGGCTATAGACCTTGCAAGGCCGGCTACAGAGGTAGTCTCGGAAATGAGAGTCTAGAGTATAATTTGTCCATAGGTATCAGGAGCGAACTTCTGTGTTTGTGGGCTCTTGTATCATTGAGTGTCTTCTACACAGAAGCTGGTATTTTCCGAGCTTAATTTTCTCAATGATCCAACAGTTTCTACAAGAATCAAAAATGCAATTAGCGCTGAATTTATACATGAAGCTATTCCCATTCTGATGTGAATGAAAAGTGGTTAAGAAATAAAGCCTGCCTTTAGTATTTGGATCTGGCTGAAACGGCCAATGATGACACAGGGGCGAGGTTATCAAAGGTGTTTTTGTCATCAATGTAGTCCAACTTATTCAACTCGTCTTCCTTGTCATTGTAGTGTCTAAAGAAGATCCAGAATAAGCAACCAGCACAGAAACAAGCCACTGCCAAACCAGTGAAAGCCCAGACGAATTTGGGGTTTTCCGAAGTTGGCGAAAGAGCAATTCCAAGGGCAGAGCCGAAGGCATTCGTCACCAAGAACAATGACATGATGAAGGCCTTCATGGACACTGGGGCCTTGGTATACGCATATTCCAAACCGGTGATGGAAGCCAAAATTTCGGAAATAGCAATGAAGAAGTATGCTGGAGTCTGGGTGGCCACGTGCACACGGTTGGGAGTGTTTGAGTATTCTGGAGCACATCCCATTGGGTCATCATAACATGGACCAGCTTGGTAAATGTAATGTTGCAAAACAGCGGCGTAAACCATGGCTGCAGCGCCGAACATGAATCCCCAGAAAATCTTGGTGATGGCCTTAAAAGGTGTGAATCTCCGGATGAATGGGTACACGAATCTCTCAAAGATTGGGATGAAAATGATGATTGTCAACGAGTCGATTGCCTGCAAGATATCGTTGGGTAAGCCGTGCAATTCCATCTGACCAGCCTGTGTGATAAAGTTGTTCAACATTTGTCCGTAAACCACCCAGTAAATGGGGTAGAAAACGAACACCTTGCATGCGTAAAAAGCTCTGATCACTTCGTCCACAAACTTCTCAGTCCATGGGAAATTAGCTTCTGGGTGAATAGAAGGCCTGGCAGCATCGAAATTGAATTTGTTGGTTATGGCAAGCCAGGACACCTTGAAAGATTTGGCAATGACTTTGTCAGACACGGGTACCTTGACATACTGATTTTTACCGACAAACAAGACAACAAGTGCAATCACAAAGAAACAGAGGGGTAATAAGAAAGCCGCCCAGAAGTCCACATGAGCCTCCAACTCCGTGGTGGCGATGACCGACAAAGAGCCAATGTTGATCATAAGGTAGAAGAACATGAAGACATTTTGAATGGTAATGTTGGGGTCCTGGATGACTCTCTCGCCACTAGGTAATACCTTGATTACAGGCATTGTCTTTGGAATTTGATCAGCAATTAATGGGGACACATTTGACTTGACTCCACCTGTTCCAAGACCGATAATGATAATTGACGCAATGAATCCACCCAAGGACACACTGTGAGAAGCCACAGATGGCAACGAGGTAATAAACAAAAGGAAAATACCGATGATATAGATCACACAGAAAACACAGATTGTTTTATACTTACCCCAGTATGTGTCTGAAACCCAGGCGCCGAAGATGGGGGTAATGTAACACCAAAACTGCCAGAAATAGGAAAGTGCAGTTGCTCCCTGACTCTTCAAATTCAAAACACCTTTGGGCGTGTCATTAGGGCCATTTTGCATGTAGTTTTGGAAAGGCGTAGATAATCCATAGTAGGCAAAACGCTCAGCCAATTCGACAATAGCCACGAGCCAACATGAGATTGGGATTCTTTCGGAGACATGTCTCAACCTTTTCATTTCCTCCTCTGTTGGCTCTCTGCCCTCATCATTGCTAGCCAAAGCCTCTAATTCAGAGTGTTCTAATTCTGAATGCCCCAATTCCGAGTTTTTAACATACTCTTGTTTTTTTATAGAGTCGACATCGCTGTGCAACACCTTCTCATCAGACGTAGACATAACAGTAAATTTATAGACCTAGTTCGTAAGCCGGATTGTATCCAAACTAGTCCAAAGCAAGCCTGTGCAAAAAAAGTGAACGAGCGTGCAACTGAACCAGGGTAACAAGCGTGATAAATAGTGTCCAGCCGTAAACCCAGTCAAGATTTAAGCGACTGGGCGGCAATAGTTGCATACAGCACTATTGCATATACAGCAATAGACTAGTATCATACCATATGATTGGAAAAGGGATGATGTTGGTGTACAGTATTACGGCATTTCCAACAAGCGGAGATTCTTTCTCCGCTTTTGCCGCGGCCGAACCCGCAATTTTCCGGCAATAATGCATGGGACCCCCTATGCAATAGCTGCACCGCCGCGTGAAAAAGAGAGATTTGCAGTATTTTACAATATACAGGTCTGAGACTGCCGTACGATCGTGCGGCATGAAAAGATATAGTGCAACGCCGCGCCCGGCCTAAATGCCGCAAAGCATACAACAGGAAATGCCTCTCCGTCGGTTCTTTGTGCGTCACGCATTCGATTCCGCAAACGACAGATAGCCTGCTTTGTCAATGACCTGATTGGTCATGAATTGCTACAGTCTAGCTGCTGCAACGGTTTCTGATTTAGGAGGATGTTACCAAGGAACTAAGTGTCGTGCGACTCTTCGCTTACATTATGTGGGGTTCCCAAAATCTGCATACTGATCCAGATTTTAATTTGAGAGCAACTTCAAATCTTATCTTCATCTTATCTTACTATCTTGAATTGCTACGAGGTGCATGTTTTGACGGATTATATCACCATCAGTAAAAGATAAGAGACCGAGACTTTGCTTGCTTGTCAACTTATTTATACGCATGACACGAGGTATTATTGTGTGCACGAGGCGTGATGCCGGTGCATAAAAAATTCGGTCAAAATTACACACAGGAAGTCTGACATGTTTGACGATGTAAAAACAATTCTCCGGTGCCGGGAGTCGAACCCGGGTTTGCTCGGTGAAAGCGAACCGTGATAGCCGTTACACTACACCGGAATTTCATACCGAATATTATGAAACAGCCTGGAGCTGTCTCTTAAACTACGAGTAGATCGGTTTATAGATAGTTCAGCCTTAGTGGATAGGCCTAGTCTATCTGTCGTATTCTCGATGTCTCAAAAGTGTTATCCTTCTTCAGGGATGTCTCAGCCTCACGCTCCTTTATAGTTCGGAACCCTTCTATACAGTAGGTGAGGGGTAACCCCGATCAGGAATGTTTAGACTCTTCGTCCTTCGTATTATACAGGATGCCCAGAATCTATAATCTTGCTCATGTCGTATCATAACACCGAAGAATAATGTGGCTCAATTATACCAAGGACAACAAACAATAGTTGTTTCCGTTTCCATGCAGAAAGACGGTTCATAAGTAGCTGAATGATGGGATGTGTGAACATTTGCCAAGCAAACACGACTGTCAGCTGTTATTTTGGTACAGACACTTGGGATGTAGCTGGGAGTTGTTTAAATGTTTTATATTTATAATATTTATATAGTTTTGCCCCTTTAATCAGATGAATCTATCAAAACAAAAGCCATCTGAGTTGAAGCGACTACTAAAGGAGACCTATCCTAGAAGTCGATGACGTAATATCCAATACGTCAACAGATACAGGCCAAGAGGACCATCCAGGCCGTGACTAATAGAAGGGGGTGGGCCGAGTTTCGACACTTGGGAAATATCGGAAAGCTATTCAAGGGGTCCATCACGTTAAGTTTTTTTCCTTTGAGCAGATGATCTCCAGAAAATATCGCAGCCAAAAGGCCGAGGGGAACTGAGATTCGTAAGACTTCAGGAAAGCAATATCAGGATTCTTTCGGTGAGTTTCTCCTTCCTGAGGATTTGAGACTGGGATCTGCAGTTTGGATACTCGATTCGGCGGCTTACTATATTATTGCATTTCAGTAAGGGACTTCGGGTACATATGCGTGGTTATACTCCTATGAATTGCGGAATTCCTAAATAACATAAGAATGCACAATGTCTTTCTATATTCTATCTTTTAAAACCCATAGTCATGGCCATGGGGATAAGAAGAGTAGAAGAGGTTCGAAGTGGGAAATTATAATATGCTCACAAAGACCATCAAATTTAAGCTGATGATAGAGATCTCACAATGTTCAAGTTATTATCCCTTTTACATTGTAAGAAGCCTCACGCCAGAGGAGCAATATAGGACTAGGATTGTTGAAAAAGCAATAGGTTTAGCTCCTGGTTGCGTACATGGATTTACTTTGATACGTTGGTGGTGACCTTTTACTATTTTCTTTTTGTATGAGCTGGCTGCGAACAAATTCGTATAAAGGAGCTGCTTGTATATGACATAATATGGTTCTCTTTCCTAATGCAGTGAGTTTGATATGAGAAGAAATCTAAATATTCATTTGCTCGGTAGGTTGTTCGCGTTGCCACCCGTCAGCCGGTCGAGTCCAGATCGATGAAAGTTGTATCTCACACTATATGTTGTAGGCGGGAAGTTTTCATACTTTTAAGACTGCATGTGACTATACGTCCGTGTTATGCTTTGCCAAGCAGATAAATAAAAGTAAAAGATCCTTAGCATTAAGCTATTCCAGTAGTCTGGCCGATAATCATTTTAGAATAAATAGAGAATATACAGGCTCTTCTAAGTATACTCATCCGGACAAGCAATTTGCCTCTGAATTCAGCGGACGTATATTGAGTGAGGCAAGAAACAGCTTTTATGGAACTATGCCACTGTCTACTATTGACGTTTTGTCTGATTATTTACGTTTTGTCTATTTATTTCTTGAACAATCTGACTGGACTATTACCACTGACGGCAAACATCCTGTTTCTATCGAGATCTTTGTTCATGGAATGATTTGAATCAGGTCTTACAATTCATACTCCAAGGTACCTCATTTATTCACAAGCACAAGAGAGGTCATGGTGTCTGGAACTCTGGACAACATATTGTAGGTACAGAAAGATGAGAAATGTTGGTCAAGTCCTCGAACGTTATGCATAATCGTAGGATGTTACAACAGAGCTGTAAGCAAGACACATAATTGTACTGAGGGTTTTTAATTGGAAAGCCCAGAAGTATAGACTTATCTGTTGAATTAGCAGAAAATCAGGGAACACCTTTGACAAATTTGAGCCCCGATCACAGCCTGTGTTGGTGGACAGTTCCGGGCATGAAGGCTACATAATTGTATAAATTTTCTCGACCTTCTCTGGTTTGGTTGGACTGCTGAATCTTTAGCCGAATATCTTGAGTTGAGCAATATCGGACTTTCATCATGAGTCTCTTTTGTTCACGGTCTTTCAGGAATCCAGGAAAAAATCTCAAGAGGTGCTTTCTTTTGGCAACCACCAAAGAGACATATGAGATAACACGTTGTCAATGGTGGTGTAAATGTGATTTTGAGTAACCTGAGATCGTACAAGTGATGAAATGATTCGATCATGAGCTGAGATACAGATGTGAGCCTTGTTTAGCAAAAAGCTTAGCTTTCTTTGTAAAAAAGGGATATCCGAGAAGCGTTTCGACCGCACATGGACTAGGTGTCGTATCTTGGGTAGCGGTACATAAAACACAGAATATCACATGCCTCGCCCCGCCCCATCAATGGTTCAAAGCACGAAGCGGACCGTGGGAATTTAGCAATTCTAGCACACGGTCTCTGTGAGAAATTCCGGATACGTGATTGATTGAAAAATACATATTCTCGTGGTCGACAGTAAACCGTGGTTGCACAGCAGCATTTTCAAGACTGCAGTCAGCTACGATGTTCCACCTAGTTCTTCCAGTTACTCACCACACACACAAACAAAAAAGAAACAAGAAGCAAGAAGCAAATAACACAAGAAATGAGAAATAGGGAAACCGAACCAAACCAAGTATCCGCCCGTAGCACTTGCCAGATTGGCCTGTCCAATATTTCTGGCTCGTTGTTAGAATTCTGTTCTGCATGCAGCGGGCATTGGACTGTATACGGTGGCAGTGGGAATCCCACAGGTATTCCTCTAGAGGGTATAAGATCGGAGTTTCTTGTAGCCAGAAGGGATAGGTGAGCCAAATGAGCTTTCCATAGGTGTGCTGAAGAAAAGAAAAGGAAGGGACCAGGCTTTTACGTCCTGGGAAGGAGAATACAAGTTGTGGCACTGCACATAGTCTTTTTCGTAGGCAGACCCGGTCCGACCTAGGAATGGTTGTCCGAGCTGGGAATGGCTGGCCGAGCTGGGAATAGCTGACCGAGCTGGAAAAGGTCCAGGCGCACATTTGATTTGATGTGAAAAAAGCCTATGAGAGGGGTGCAATAAAAAAAAGATTCTCTCAAGATTAGCCGCTCCATTGGCTTCGCACAATGCAGTCGCTCGGCCGGTCTGTTTTTCAGGGCTGCGAATCTCACCTTTCATCAGATGCCAGATACTCGGGTTGTAAATACTGAGATTTAGATAGTCAGGCTCGGATAATCAGGTCTCATATACCCAGGCTCAGGCTCCATACGCTGAGACTCAGATAGTCAGGCTCTAGATTGTGAAGCTTATACAAGCAGGCTCTAGATAGTCAGGTTTTGGAAATCCAGGCCCAGATACTCGGGTTATAAATACAGAGACCCGGATACTCTGGTTCCAGATACTCAGGTTCCAAACACTGAGATTCGGATACTCAGGGTCAGATATTCAGACTCAAATCCCCAGGTTTTAAATACTGAGGCTAAGATTCTCAGACTCAGATCAGGCTCTAAGCGCTGAACCCAGATACTCAGGATCAGATACTCAAACTCTTATACTGAGACTCTATATACTGAGACCCAAACCCTCAGACTCAGATCGATTTCAAACACTGAGACCCAGACAGACTCAGATCAGGTTCCAAACACTCTATCTCTGATTCTCAGACCCAGATCCTCAGACTCTGGTACTCAAACTCTTCTTCTATAACACAGACCCTAAAAGATTCTTCAGATGCGTGCTCTTGCCCGCGGCGCCCGGCTCCGCCCCGCCAGCACCGTCTTCCAGAGACCCTTCCACGGGTCCGGCCGCCTAAACGAGCCCAAGCTCAACACGGTGGCGGCCGACAAAACAAGGAACATCGGCATCATCGCGCACATCGATGCCGGCAAGACCACCACCACCGAGCGCATGCTCTTCTACAGTGGCAAGACGCTGCGCATCGGCAACGTGGACCAGGGCGACACCGTCACCGACTACTTGCCCTCGGAGCGCGAGCGGGGCATCACCATCCAGCTGGCGGCCATCTCCATCCCCTGGAACAACCACAAAATCAACATCATCGACACGCCCGGCCACGCGGACTTCACGTTCGAGGTCACGCGCGCGTTGCGCGTGCTCGACGGCGCAGTGACCATCTTGGACGCCGTGGCCGGCGTGGAGGCGCAGACCGAGAAGGTGTGGCGCCAGGCGCACGCGTTGCGCATCCCCCGCATCGCCTACGTCAACAAGATGGACCGCCCGGGCGCCGGCTTCAGCCGCACGGTCAAGGAGCTCGTGGCCAAGCTCCAGACGCGCGCCGTGTGCCTCAGCTTGCCGTACTTCCAGCGCGGCGACGATGGCGACTTGGTGTTCCGCGGCACGCTTGACGTGCTCCACAAAAAGCTCTTGCTCTGGGACGCCGCGGACGCGTCGGGCAGAACCGTGCGGGCCGTGGACCTCGACGCGGCGGACGCGCAGCTCGCGCCGCTCCACGACATGGTGCGGAGGAGCCGCGAGTGCATGGTGGAGACCTTGGGCGACATGGACGACGCCGTGATCGAGGAGTTCCTCGAGTGCGGCGAGGACTACATGGCCGTGTCTGCGGGCACGCTCGGGCGGGCCATCCGGAGCGCCACGCTCGCCTGCCACGTGACGCCCGTGTTGTGCGGCTCCAGCTTCCGCAACGTCGGCGTGCAGCCGCTCATGGACGCGGTGCTTGCGTACTTGGCGTCGCCGTTGCAGGCCGCGCTCCCGGAGGTCACGTCCACGACGGCCCGCCTGTTGGGCAAGCGCAGGCGGCAGGCCGAGCTCGTCACGCGCCACGTGCCGGTGCCCATGGCCATGGACGCGCGCCGCGGGCTCGTGCTCAACAACAGCCCCAACTTGACCGTGGCGCTTGCCTTCAAGGTCATGACGCACCCGGGCCGCGGCGTCTTGACGTTCTTCCGCGTGTACAGCGGCAAGCTCGCGTCCAACTCCACCGTGGTCAACACGCGCACGGGGCACCGCGTGCACTTCAAGAAGTTGATGTTGATGCACGGCGACGTGCCCGAGGAGGTGCTGGCCATTCTGGCGGGCAACATCGGCGTGGTGGCGGGCACCCACGACGAGATCGTCACGGGCGACACCTTGGTGTCGCACGGCGTGTCGGGCTCCAAGGGCTTCTCGGACTTGGAGGCCAACCTCAAGTTGCTCCCGATCGACGTCCCGCCGCCGCTCTTCAACTCCAGCATCGAGCCTGCCACGGCCGGCGACGCGCGCCACATGAACGACTGCATTGCCATGCTCTTGCGCGAGGACCCGTCCTTGCTGGTGTACGTGGACGACGACTTGGGCCAGACCGTCTTGAGCGGCATGGGCGAGCTCCACCTCGAGATTGTGCGCGACCGCTTGGTCAACGACATGAAGGCCAAGGTGCGCTTGGCCAAGGTCGCCGTCTCCTACAAGGAGAGCATCGCCAAGCCCTCCGCCAAAACCGTGCACGTTGCGGCTGCAGACAACCCGGAGGTCTACGTGGAAATCGCCTTGGACTCGTTCGAGGGCGACGCTGCGGAATCGCCCTTTGCGGACGAGGACGGCGCCGTCTGCCTCGACCAGGACAACAACATCATCATTCTCGATGCGGCCGCGACCTCCGAGCCCATGCTCCGGGCCTTGGACGAGCGCAGGTGGAAGTGCGAGCTCTCGTTGGAGGACCTCCAGGACAAACTCTTGACTGGCTGCGCCACGGGCCTCCAAATAGGCGGGCCTCTTTTCGGCCTCCCGTTGCACTCGTGCGTGGTCCGCGTAGTCAAGTGGAACTTTCCCGTGGCCGAGAATACGGACTCTGCCTCCGAGCTCCTCGAGGTCGGCAGGCGTGTCGTGTGCAAGGGCGTGGAGCAGCTTCACGAGAAGCACGACTCGTTGTGTTTGCTCGAGCCCATCATGATGACCAAGATATCCGTGGGCTCGGACGTCTTGGGTGATGTCGTGCATGACTTGAACAGCAGGTGTCTGGCCACGATTGTTTCGATCGAGGATGAGGGCATGGACACTTTGGAGAATCAGAGCTGGGCCAGCTCGGAAGCCGAGAAAATCTATCTTCCGCCGGACTACACCATGAAATCTGCAGACCGCCAGATCAGCAACAGGAAGCTTATTGTGGCAGAGACGCCTTTGCGTGAGATGGTGGGCTACTTATCGAGGTTGAGGTCCATGACACAGGGCCGGGGCTCGTTTGACATGTCGTACAAGGGCATGAACCGGGTCACCAAATCCCGCATGGTATCTTTGAAGAGCGAGTTTTCGTGAGTCGCCGGGCAGAACTGCCGCCTGGCCAGCTAGCAAGTTCTCCATCCGCCTATCTCCTGCTTCGAGGAAAAGTTGGACGTCAGTGTAACAAAACTGTACTATGGCGTGCCTCGAAGGTCAAAATCATCTATTCTACTCATGGCTTACCTGCATGAGCATAATTAGATTGCCTGAGCACGGTTTGTAGTGGAACAGATTGTCCGACAACAATGTTCAACGAATGTGTAAGGACGTGGAAGATTCGCAAGACTGTCCGATAAAAGTGTATATATTCGTGCTCGGGGTGCTTCATCCGAGTTTTGGGCATGTCTAGTTTCAACACCTGTTCTAATGTGGTGGGATACTTTTTTGGCCGGCCAGCAGCAAAAGACTCAAACGTCTTTATTGTATATAGCCAAAGTCTGAAAGAAAGGCATTCTGTATATTGGTGACAACCAGGACGATCTTGAAAGTCGCAAGCGGGTGGAAGCTGCGGTAGTATGGCACAATGCTTTCAAGAGCAGCAAGTTTTATGAGGCATTTCATTTAAAAACTATTCATTCACATATCTGCCTTTAAGGTTATCAATAAATCTTCAAGGGACATGAGATTTATATAAATATACAGCCACAATTAATAGTACTTGTTCATACTCTCAAATATATTGAGCATTTGTTTGAGAAATTGTTGAAGTCGCACGCTTTTTATGGAATCTCTACAACCTCATTACAAAATTTATTTGTGAATTTCATAAGGGTTTGTATTCATAGCACGAGGAACCGTATTGAAAGCCCAGAAAAGTGGCAGCTGAAAACTTTTTTCGACTTTTTTAGGGTCAGAAGCTAATATCACCCTCATGGGATACGCTCGATTGTCTCAAATATCTTAGGGTTAATCTTGAAGACTCATCTAATTTTGGTGAGTTATAGATTAATATAGTCACAAGAGGGCATATGTTTACAATCTCAGCCAGAAGTGTTTGAGCTGATTTTTCAAAATATCAAGAATGAGCGCATTACAAACAAGTATGGGTATCACTGTCGCACCCACAAAATTACGTGGACCAACTAGATGGCACGCCCGCAGATAATGGAGCTTTATAATATCCCGAACGACTTGAAAATTTTTGTCGGGATTTGATATTGCGTGTTAAGTAGATGGGCATTTGAAATGAGGATCATTGGTCATGCAAAGTCGAAAGTGATGAGAAACAGGCCGGCGTTTTGACCCATTATACCCATCAAGCACATGATACTCATTGAGCCCAGAAGGTCTTTGGTTTCGAAGGAATTTGTAGGCCAGAATAAACGCAATGTGCATTAAACCCAGAATACTTATTGACCATCAACAGTTGGACATACAACAATTAGACATACAACAGTTGGACATACAACAGTTACACATACAAAGTTAGACATACAACAGCTAGACATACAAACTTACTAGACCTACAACAATATTCAAACCTACAGCGCTTACTAGACAACATTAAACCTACATCACGTACAAAACCTAGAACACCATGACACCAGAATCCACAGTAAACTTAGAACGCCTGTGAAACGCAGAATACCGTCTAGAAGAGCCCTTCTAGCCTACTCATCACAAAACAAATTCCCAAGCCCATAAACCCGAGAGCACCCACTAAAACTAAAATACCCATCAAACCCGTCCCACGACACTGGAACGAGAACACATAATATGACATGCCGAGCATCTCACCACATTCCACCTCACCACATCTCCATCTCGCCATATGTTAGCGCATAAGCGAGTCACATGACCAATCTGTGGCTGCAACAATGGCAAAGGTGAGAAAGCCACGTGTTTGTTCCTCGAGGAAGGTATAAATAGAGGCAGAGGTCGAGGTAGAAAAAAGCTTTCTCCTAGGATTCAGTGACCGCTCCAAGCTGGGTCCGTAGTGATTAGTTACTTAAATACAAATCAAAAATAGAACCGAAGCCGCGTTCTGATACCATATAAATGCGCCCAGAGAGCGGCGCACGGCACCGGGCAGCACGCGCATCACGTGACCGCCCCCGCACCGCGGGCCCTGCACACACCGCACACCACCTCTCAGCACCAGAGCTCGACTGGAGCTTCCAGGGCATATCAGGCCGTAGACCAAAACACCACAAAATGCCAGAAACACCAGCAGCGGCGGCAGGGCGCGATCACGTGACGCCCGCCGAGCCGCACGTGCCCGTTGGCGGCCCGCCCCGCGCCGCGTCGCCGGCGTCGGCCGCGTCGTCGTTCGTCCCCATTGACTCTGTGCAAGATGCTATCCAGCTTATAGACGAGCACAAAAATTTCAACTCCGACATCTTGGACTACATCTCGCAGGCAGCGAGTCCCGGGGCCGGCCGCGCGGCCGCGGACCACCGGATCATCTCCGTGTTCGGCTCGCAGTCCACCGGCAAATCCACGCTTTTGAATGCGTTGTTCAACACCAATTTCGGCGTCATGGACGAGGTCAATCGGCAGCAGACCACCAAGGGCATCTGGCTCGCCGTGAGCCCCGGCGTCAACAACAGCGTGGAAGACGCGGGTCACGTGGCGCGGGACAGCATCATCGTCATGGATGTGGAAGGAACCGACGGCAGGGAACGAGGCGAGGACCAGGACTTCGAGCGCAAGGCCGCGCTTTTCGCCATGGCCACCAGCGAGGTGTTGATTGTCAACTTGTGGGAAACGCAGGTCGGGCTCTACCAGGGCGCCAACATGGGCTTGTTGAAGACGGTGTTCGAAGTCAACTTGTCTCTATTTGGAACCGCCAAGTTGCACCGTGCCAGCAGCAGCAGCGAGCACAAGGTGCTCTTGCTTTTCGTGATCCGCGACCATTTGGGCGTGACGCCCAAGGAGTCGCTTGCCGCCACCATCACGCAGGATTTGTTGAAGATCTGGGAGAACTTGAACAAGCCCAGCGACGTGGCCCACTTGGCGTTCGCCGATTTCTTCGACTTGGACTTCCACACCTTGGGCCACAAGGTGTTGCAGCACGACAAGTTCATGCTGGACGTCCGGCTGTTGGGCAACCGCTTCATTGACTCCGCGGACGACGCGTTCTTGTTCAAGCCCTTCTACCACCATGATATTCCCATCGAGGGCTGGACCATGTATGCGGAAAACTGCTGGGACCAGATCGACAGCAACAAGGACTTGGACTTGCCCACGCAGCAGATCTTGGTGGCCAAGTTCAAGTGCGACGAGATCGTGGCCGCATGCTACTCCGACTTCCTAGTTGGATTTGACGTTGCCAAGGCCGACGCCACGCGCTCCCTGGAACCCGCCGCGCCGGACTACCAGAAAACCGGCCTGGATCTTGCGGCCTTGAAGGACATCACTCTTGCTGCCTTTGATCTACAGGCGTCCAAGTACAATACCTCTGTGTACGAACAAAGACGTGCCATCTTGGACGAGAAGGTCAACGCCAAGCTTTCCGAGATCCTTTCCGTATACTCCAAGCAGTTGTTGAGCTCAAGCCTCAAGACCTTTGCGGTAGCCTTGGCCAAAAAGCCACGGACTGGCACGTTCGTGGACCATGTGTCCGCGTCGACAGATGCCTTACGAACGCTGTTTGCCAAGAACTTAGCTTCGCTCTCCTTGAACGGCCAATTGACCACAAATGACTACGCCGACTCTCTTGAGGTCGAGTTGGCGAAACTCATTGCGAAGCAGCAGCTTGTCGAGCTTAACACCATTGTGAGCAAGCATCTCAAGAAACTCACGAGCGGGTTAAAAATAGCCATTTCACAGGAGATTTCCAGCCCTTCACAGTCGACTTGGGACCAAGTCATGGAGAAATTTGACATGGCTGCGGCGCTTTTCTTGGAAAAGTACACTTCCGACAGCGGCATGGTGGATTTCGGCGTTGGCGCGGAAGACGACATGAACAAGCTTACATTGCGTGTCTTTGAATTCCAGTCATGGCAAACCTTGCACACGGTGATCCATAAGCACATCTCCAAAGACAATTTACTCACAATCCTCAAGGACAGATTTGATGATAAATTCAGATACGATCAGAATGGGCTCCCACGTCTTTACCAAAATGGAAAAGAGTTGGATGCTGCATTTGGTGAGGCAAAGGGTCACGCGATGAAAGTCTTTCCAATTCTTACTATCGCCAGATTGTCCAATGGTGCCGAAATCATGCCCAAGTACGATGTTTTCGACAAGACTTTGAAACAAAAGTATGACCGCGTAAAGCCCATTGAGGACGGCTTGACTTTGGACGAAAGAGCCCATGAAGACTCGGACAGTGACGACGACGAGAATAATGAAAAGAACTCTTTTGCTGAGATTCTTTCGGAGAGCGAGAAGAGTGAGGTTGCGCTCAAGTTCAAGCGGGAGATCGATGCGAAATTCGTCGAAACAAAGCGGTCGATCATCCAACACGTCACCCAAATTCCTTACTACATTTATTTGTTGATTGTGGCGCTCGGCTGGAATGAGTTTATGGCGGTGATCAGGAACCCATTCTTCTTCACGTTGCTCCTCGTGTTGGGAGCGGCTGTTTATGTGATGTACCAGACCAATCTTTTGGGCCCGGCCTTGCTAGTTGCCCAGCGAATGGTTGATGAGGCGGTGCTTGTGGGGAAACAAAAATTACGGGAGTTTGTGGTGGAGGACCAAGAGACACACGCTAAAAATTTGAGGAAAATGGGCGAAAGCCCGGAAAGCGTGGAGCTCAAAGACTTGGAACCGCAGCTGGGCGAAGAAGAGTAGATGCGGAGGAAATGGGTGGTCTGAATAGTGCGGGAGCCCCAGTGCGTGTGGCAGATACCATGACTCTGTGAAAGACGGGTTGATGCCATGAAAGGCAGTTCTGGCAGTCGCGGGGCGATCACGTATCTGCAAAGCCATGACACCAGCTTGTTGAAGGGCTTGGGGTGGTTGCAACGCCTTCAAGGAGAAATGGCCTCATACGTGAATGTTTTATTCAAGGATGGTACTGCAACGTGACCTATCTGGGCAGGGAAATGAAGGCCTGGTGCTGGGCGTGTTCATGGGGCCTCAGAGGAGTTTGTTTTTTGTGTGACTGGCGTATACACTTTAGATCTCCTACACCTGCTGGACAGCCCGGGTGCTATCAAACAAAGGCTAGCTTGAATACACTGCTGTTTCACTCCGATGGGGTCGGAATGTATTTGGAGCTACAATGCAACTGGGATCATGCGTGGTTCAAACCATCATTCGGGAAAGTACAACGCAAAATGCCAAGAATAAGGAAACTGTCGTGGCGGCCACGTTTTTCCAGAAAAAACAAAAGAGGTTGCAGGAAAGGGAAAAACGGCGGGACCAGAGCTCGTCCGTATCCAGAAGACGTGGCACGTCTCGCTTGGCCCATACATTTGGGGCCACGTCCGGCACACAGCGCGCTGATTGCAACATGGCTGCCTGAGATGCGCGCCAGTGCAACCTGGTATTTTTCCATCTGGCACATTGCCACCATGGCTCGCGGCCCCGGCTGCGTGTCGGGATATATACCGAGATATGGATCCGGCATCTCGAGTCTGCTGGAAAAACAGAAGATCCACTGGCCACCACAAGACATCCGAGTGCATTGGAAAAGGACGATTTTTGGAGCAGACGAAAAGGCCGTGGTATTCTGAGCACGAAACTGACGAGAACAGCGCAAACAGAGAACGCACCCACCCTCAGCTCCGCGGACGCTTATCGCATACCAGCCGATTCCAGCAGCGCAAACCAGTTTTGGCATCAGCCAGGAAGCGCATATTCGGAACCCCGTCTTGCAGAGATCGAGCCAAAGTGAGGAAAAAGATAAAAGCAAAACAAAAAAACATAAAAGCAAAACAAAATAACATAAAAGCAAAACAAAAAAACATAAAAGCAAAACAAAAAAACATAAAAGCAAAACAAAAAAAACAAAAAAGCAAAACAGAAAGCGGACCCACGACGTGTTTGTTTGGAGAAGTCAACAAGTGTTCTTTGGCAATTGGTGCTCATTGATCGTGTCGCACCAGAGGACCCAGGAATAACTGGCTCACAGCGTATCGAGAAATCGAGCAATTGCGAGCTGACAACTAGAGCTCAAAAGCGACAAAAAAAAAACAGGGAGTCGCGGCCGATAAATAAGAGCGAAGACCTGAAAAGCCGAAGGCAAAAAAAAAAAAAAAACTGAATTCGGGAAGCGTCCTCGGATCCGGTGCTTAATTCGCCCTGCCCACCGGCCTGTTTTCGCCCTGCCCTCCGGCCCGGCGCCAGCCTACCCCAGATTCCAGCTGCCCGCGCGCACAACAAACAGGCGCTCCTGCACACGGCGCCCGCCTCCAACTCGCCCGGACCCTCCATGTGCACCGAGGCCCCCCCAAACGCCAGCTGCAGCCTGTTGTCTGCGCTGGCCCCCTCGCTGCCCATGTCGCTGTTGCCGCTGTCCGCACTGCCGACGTCGCTGCACGTGACCCTCTCGCTGGTGGCGGCCGCGGCTGCCGAATTCCGCCGCGGCTCCGCTCGCTCTCTCTTGCCCTTCTACGCATCGCAAGTCTGCGACGCGTTTGAGGAGGCCTTATCCGGCTCGTCGCCCATCACCATGCTCCCGAACTACGAGATCTCGCCGCGCGGCGACGAAAGCGGCGACTTCCTCGTGGTCGATTTGGGCGGGTCCACGCTCCGCGTGGCGGTCATCAGCATCGCCCCCGAAAGCGGGCCGCGGCATCTCCGGAAGAGCCGGCACTCGAGGCAGCAGCGCATTTCGCTCGTGGTTTCCCGCAGCTGGCCCGTGGAAAACGGCCACAAGCTCGTCAACCGGGCGTTCTTCTCGTGGATCGCGGCCAAGATTGCCGAGACGCTTGCGGCGCAGACAGCCGTGCGGACCGACGTGCCCATCACCACCGGCATCACGTGGTCGTTCCCCCTCCGCTCCACGCTGTACAACACGGCCACCATTCTCCACTTGGCCAAGGGCTTCCTGGCGGCAGACGACATTGTCGGCTGCGAGTTGAAGGCCTTGCTCGAGGCCACGGTAAGCGCCAACCACGCCATTTGCTTGGACGTGCAGCTGATCACCAACGACTCGCTTGCGGTGTTTTCGGCCGCGCGCTTTCTCGACCAGTCCACACGCTTGGCCTTGGTGCTCGGCACGGGCTTCAACTTGTGCTGCCAGCTCCGGGCGCTGGCACGAATCGCGCCCTCCAAGCTCTTGAGTGACGAGCACCACGTCTTGTTCAACACGGAAACGTCTCTTTTCGGCAACTCCTTGGTGCCTGCGCTCGCCACCAAGTACGACTGCTACATCGACCCGCGCTTCGCGGACAGCCTGCTGTTCGCGCCGCACATGGCCGTGGACCCGGCGACAAACGCCATTTTCCAGCCTTTCGAGCTCTTGACGTCCGGCCGCTACTTGCCGGAATTGGTCCGCTTGGTGTTGCTGGACGCCGTGGCGCAGAACGAGATTTTCGCCGCGCAGAAAAACTTTGCCGTGCTCGCCACGCCGTACCAGGGCGTGACGGGCGAGCTCATGTGCCTCGTTGCCGAGGGCACCGACGACAGCTTCTTGGCTGAGCGCATCGAGGCCTGCTTTCGCTGGCCGCGCCTGCTGGTGACGTTGGCGGACGTGGCGGACTTCAAGCTTGTAGTCCAGAGCATCGTGCACCGCGCAGCGTATGTCGTGGCGGTGGCCATCGTGGCTTATGTCGAGCTCCTAGCACGCCACAACGGGCCGTTTGACACCGACGTGATTTCCATCGGCTACGTCGGCTCGGTCATGGAGTATTTCGGCTCGCTCCGCACGGCCGTGTTGGACTTCGTCAACGGCTGCCCGCTGGTGGCAAGTCATGGGGTGCAGGTCAAGCTAGAGTTTGTGCATGAAAGCTCGCTTGTGGGGACTGCCATTGCCGCAGCCAGCCAGTGTGCCCGCCTAAAATAGGGGCGGCGTGGCCCCTGGTCGCTCCAAGACCCGAAAGGCCGGCAGCTGTTTGCATCATTTATGAGTGGCGGTTATTGGGAGTGTCTTGCACTCTTTTCGAATCCGTGCTCCTCTTTTAGACACATTTTAGCTGGGGCAGTATCCATCAATATACCTGTCTTCGCCAGAGAGATAGCGCAGTTTCCCTTGTTTGTCTTTTCATATCAGGCAATGGCTTTCGCTTCAGCGGCGCAGCGTAGGCGTAGAGAACCGAGCAAGTTGTTTTTGTTGTCTCGAAGCCTGGCGTGATTCCCGATCAAGTCCTGTCGGTGGCCCAGCAGAGAGGTGTATTCAGTGATGCCATGCAGAAAGTAGTGTCAGTAATATAGCAGATCGGCAAATCTCTCACTTGCTTGTCCCAGGATGTTTATGAAGTTGATTCACCAGATCAGATCAGACACCGCCGACAGGAAGTGGCAGCGAGGTTACATGTGTCATATTCCAGTGGCGTTTGAAATTCAACCAAGAACTTACGTTTCTTCTCGCCTCCATTGCCATTTCTACTGCAGAGTATTATTTCGCAATTCACAATCATTTCGAAAGTATAGCAGGAACTGCTATTTTGTACAGTGATGGTGTCTATTTCCTAAACCACGCATTCATGAGATTAGATTAAAGTTAAATGATGAATTACTGACGCAGCAGCTTAGTGACACAAAGGATTTCGTCCGCTTCAATTCACTCTCACTAAGAAAAGGTTCTATTTCTCAAAGGTTCAGTGTTTGTTTTTGTATCTTTCACTCTTCCTTATTACTTGCTAGTTGCATCGTTTCTTGCCCATCCAATAAGTAGTCAAGATACGTTTTTTCACGCAATATCTCCATGGCTAGACAAACTCATTTCTGTTTTCGGAAACTTTCAACTCTCCCGTTATGATCATCTAGACACCAGGTGGAGGGAGTATAAATCCCAGGTTCCGTCGACCGTCGAGCGTGCTCAACTCTAGATATCTTCAACAACCTAAAGTGCAGGTTTTCACCAGTCTGGTACCCTATTGTATTAGACGGGCCCGAAGTATTAGCCTTTGCCAAGACATCTCCGGCCGTTTTGAAAAATCCCTTCTACACACAATCTGTCTCACAAAGTGATGTAATAACCTATAGGTAATTCTTTAATGAGTCGCGCCAGCCAAAACGCCCACTGAGCCCTATCAACAAAGCTGATCTGGGGATCTAATGGCACCGACGCTTTCGTCCTCTTCAACAAAATCTCATAACTTGGGCGTGAGGCCGTACGCCGCCTGATCGCACACAAGCAACACATTGGCATGGCCGGAAAGAAACAGGGAAGGGAACCGAGGGTCGTTTTGGCGGCCATGGATGGTCTTCTCTAGAGCGTATCTTTTGCCGGCACCCAACACAATAATGGCAATCTCATCGGTGTTGTCCAAAATAGTGGAGATTCCCACCGAGAGCGCCTGTTTAGGCACCTTCGTCGGATCGTTTTGAAAGAAGCGGGCATTGGCGGCTATTGTCAGCTCCACCAAATCCACGCGTCTCGTGACGGAGTCACGGGTAGAACCCGCCTCGTTGAAGGCTAGATGGCCCTCGGGCCCCAATCCACCCAAGAAAAAATGGATCCGGCCATACAGCCTGATTTTCTCCTCGTAGCGCAAGCATTCCTGGTCAGGGTCCGCAGCAAGCCCGTCTAAAATATTGATGTTCTCTCGCTGGATGTCTACGTGGTTGAAGAGCTTGTCGTACATGAAGTACAGGTACAGCTGAGGGTGGGTAGGGTACAAGCCGAGATACTCGTCCATGTTGAAAGTGACCACGTGTTTGAACGACACACGCCCAGATCTATAGTACTCGACGAGCCGGGAGTAGATCCCCTCCGGCGAAGAGCCTGTCGGGAGGCCCAAAACAAAAGGCCGATCAGCCGATGGCGAGAAGTCATTAATTAGGTCCACTATGTACCGGGCAAGAAAGCCCGACGCGTCCTGCAGCGAAGAAAAGATCGCCTGTCTCATGGCTGTCCCTAACGATGAGAAATACCGTGGGGAGAACGAGGCACGCCGGTGTTTTAAGAACCCTGCCCTGTGAAGCCCGGGTGCTTTATTGGCCATTCTCCTGGATGCAAGCCGTGGCGGGGCTGGCGCAACGTTACATTTCGCGAGCCGCAGCGCAAAAGCGGCGTTGCATGCAGGCGCCGGTGACGGTTGCAACTGCAACTGAGCCCTGGTGCCGATAAGCATGTCACGTTTTCAGCTCACCAAGAAGACGGGGACTTGGGGTATAACTGTCCTGTTTCCTGCCGCGCGGTTTTGTTGGATTAACGCTCTGACGTTTCGGTAACTTAGTCTAGGTTTGAATTCCCCCTTTGCCTAATTCGGACCCTTCCAGTTTGGTAGCCCCAAGTACACTACTCTTGGGTACTTCCGACATCCCATCTTCATTGAAAATCCTTGGATTCAGTCACACACTAAATGTTGCGTCTCACCAATTGCCGCCTCTGTGACCACGGCAGACTAGTTTCCCGGGATCTATACATCGACCAGGCGACGGGCACAATTGTCCCTAAACCACCCAAATCGGTGCATGTTCAAACCGTTGATCTTGGCGGAGCCATCGTGGCACCTGGATACATCGATATCCAGAACAACGGCATCTACGGCCTCAACTTCCTGGCACTAAACTCGGAATCTTCGCCTGCGGAGGTGGCCCAGTTCAAGGCTTTCTACAGAGACTGCATGGCCAAGTACCTCGCCACAGGGGTCACGTCCTTGTGTCCGACTGTGACCTCAAACTTCCCCAGTGTGTACCGCAAAGTGCTCCCCGTGTACAAACGGACGCGGTCACGTGCCATGGCCGACTCTTTGGGTGCACATGTGGAAGGCCCCTTTATCAACAAGGCCAAGAAGGGGTGTCACCCCGCGGAGACCTTTGTGGACGGCCACACCAACAGCTTTGCCGCCATCTACGGCGCAGAGAACTTGCGAAGCAACGTGACCATTGTCACGGCCGCACCGGAGATCCCCGGCGTCATGGCGGAAATCCCACGGCTTTTGGACCACCCCAATATCGTGTTTTCCATAGGCCACACTACGCTGGATCTGGCCACGTGCCGCCAGGCGGTCGCCAGTGGGGCACTGATGGTCACCCACTTGTACAACGCCATGCCGCAGCCGCATCACAGAGATGCTGGGGTGGTGGGCTTGGTGACCGACCCGCAAACAAAGGGCAACACGCCGTTCTTCGGTCTCATCTGTGACGGCGTGCACGTGGCACCGTCGATGTGTGTTTTTGCGTATCGCGCCAACCCTGACAAATGCGTGCTTGTCACAGACGCCATGCATCTAATCGGCCTTGCTGACGGCACATACCAGTGGGACAAACAGCGGATTGTGAAGTCAGGCGCGTCGCTATATTTGGAGGGCACCACGACGTTGGCGGGTGCCGCCACGAATCTTGCAGACTGTGTGAAAAACTTGGCCAAATGGGCGGACATCACTTTGGCCCAAGCAGTGAAGACCGTGACCAACAATGCGGCTGACTCATTGGGCATTTGCCACAAAGGATACTTGGAAGACGGGTGCGACGCAGACTTGGTGATCTTGAACGATGCTGGCGACGTACTTCAGGTCTACAAGTTAGGAACGCCTTTGTCTGTTTCGTCGGGGTTGACGGCGCAGCTTTGAATGACTTGTTTCGATGGCTTCAGCCTAGTAGCTGATTATAGAGCTTACAGAACATGGCTGCTTTCATATATCGTACAACACTTTATGTATGAGCGTGTGATGCTGAGTATCTCCGTCTCACAGTTCAAAAAGATTGTTAGTGATTCACAGTTTTGCAACGTTGTTATTCTGTTCTTAGTTTCCCCAGCGTTCTATAGAAACCAGCTCGAAAGTTCAGACCATGCATTATTTCTTCTTTAATGATGAGATGACCGATGCTCTCAATTCTTTCTAACAAGCTCTTAACGTCGTGAATCCAGCTGTCCATTAATCAAGTCATTAATGTTTTCACTGTTTCTCTTTATTTGAGAACCCCCGCTGGGGTAGCGTGTCCCAACATGTCAAACTCGATCCATTTGGTTTGTTGATTTTGGCGGAAATCATTCCTTTATTGACCATCTCAATGACGCAGAATACTTATAGATATCATATTCAAAAAAAGATTGCAGCACCACAATTTCGCATATGGTCTCCCACTACACTACTCAGTGTGGCCCTATGCAGCTTAACTAACGTGCTTCCTGCATGGTATGGCCGCAACCGAAATTTCTTTTAAGCAGGTTAATAAGATCATTAAAAAGGAAAACAAGGTTTATTGCAAAGCTGCTTCAAACGTTTGGTGTTCAACCCTTTTGCACAAAATGCACTCGTTCCATATTTAAATGATTTTTTGCTGAACTTCAAATTTAAAGGTTTTTTACCAAGCCCATGAGCTTGAACTCAATGTTGGCCCCAGCCGACAACTCATTGGAGAACTTAACAAAATTAAATTGGTTCGTCACCACGATCTTCAAGGTCTACACCAGAAGGCGTGGCGAGTCGCAGGAAGTGGGATCCTTAAGTCCGCTACAACCAGCCGAGTTGAAGCGACTACTACAGGAGACCTATCCTAGGAGTCGATGACGTAATATCCAATACGTAAACAGATACGTGCCATGAGGACTGTCCAGGCCGTGACTAACGGAAGGGGACGGGCCGAGCTAAGACACTTGGTACGTAGCTGGGAGCTGTTTAAAGGTTTTTTATATATATTCGTTATATAGTTTTGCCCCTTTAATCAGATGAATCTAACCAAAAAAAAAAAAATATAAAAAAATAGTTTTGCCCCTTTGAACAGATGAATATCCCAAAATTAAAAACATCTGAGAGTGTGATGAGGATTTATATAGTTTGTAGCTTTTGCCCCTGTCTCCGGGCAGTGGTATTCTTCAATGCATATGTTTGTTTTGAAAAATCACTTATGTTAGCAAAATATCAGCGTTCAAGCTTTAATGCACTGAAGGGTGTATTAAAACTTCAGATACTTTCTTTGACAATCTAAGAAGTTCTTAAAGTCTTTAACAGGGTTCACTTGCTTAGAGACCAAGAGGAAAAGAGCAAATGTACGTCGTGCCGCCTTGTCATCACGGGCCCTAAAAAAGGCCTATTCTATGGGATGATGACATTTGGTTATTTTTATTCAAATGTATAACATTGGTTGGTTGTGGGCAAAAGGTGAACTCACACCTTCTCACTGGAGCCAATGTTGCGCTCTATATATCGTTTTTTCTTCATAGAATTACGTTAGTGATGAGGACCAGCTGTCCAAAGAGAATGAACAGGTACTGTTGGTTCTGTTTCATATTCAAAAACGGTGGTGCCTGAAAGAAGGCATCAAACATTCAATGGAAAAATTGATTCTGATTAAGTTGAAACGGCCGCATTTTGGCTGTAGGTGTATGTTACAGAGCATTTTGATGGTTCTAAATTTTCTACTTTAATGCTCTTGATGTTATATAAACCTAAGTACATTAAAGTAGCTCGAGAGTATGTATAAACGAGTCTCCTGAAGTACCTTCAAAGAATTCAGCGAATTTTGGATAATTTATCATGGAGCTTTATTTGGGTTTAGTACAAATTTTCGAATGATCTGACTGTGGACCTATTGAGTTAAAAAATGCTGTAGTGAAGCTTTGACCTCATGACAAAGTAATTCATTAGTAAGACATCACGAATATAGCGGGCATAATTTAAAGTTGTCCAAAGTTCGAGAGTGCCAAATGTAAGGCTTTTAAGAATTTAGGTTTGATTAGAGGTGTTTAGGATTCAGTAATAAATGTATTCGCTGAAAACAATTATGGGGGCAGGCTTCCAGGAGGCGATACAATTCATTCAAAACCTTAAATGTATGAATTTTGACTCAAACCCTAAAACTTTAAGCTTCTCGCCAATAAATAAATTTGAAGAAGGACTCTAATACAATGAAAGAGTATCAATACGAATTACAACAAAAACTTTCATACGGACATATCAATAATTTTCGTTGCGAGAGAGCTTTCCATTCAAAAGATTCAGTCCTATTCTGCAGCTTGTGTGACACTGCATGAAGCACCACTTGTAACTTTGATAATTGTGAAGATAATTCCGTATTGCTTACGATCCATATTCAAAATTGCTCTTGTGTTGAAAAGGTAGAGATACTACATCAGAAACACGAAGATCCGTTCGATTTTTCTAGACTTTTTTTTGATATATTTTTTTTTGATATAAAATAAGACAGAATTACGGCCTGTTTCAATCGCTATCCATCGGTCTATGAGCAATATCGATATAATTATAAAGACGGTGCTGTCCATTGATTGTCTCAGGTTCTGAGAGCTATTTCTATTTTTAGTGTGACGTTCTGAAAATCTTCTTCGCTTAAATCGGAAATAAGATAAGAGAGGGTTGTTCTCATGATGAGATTGACCCCAAGGAACCCTTCTGATCAGTCAGGGCTAGTCCCGTTGCTGTCGCCATAATGACACTTGGCTTAATCTGTTCTGATGATTTCTGCTTTTTCTATCTAACACCTTTCAACCAGCGTTGAAAACATCAGTTACTGTATTAGCAGGATTTCAACAAATGCTCGACTCCTGGATCCATGCTGGGGAGATTCCTGAAGCGATTTCAGAGTGCATTCTTGGATGGACACTAGATGATTCCCATCAATAGATTCACAAGCCATGTCCAACATATCGGTGGCTGCACTCTTCATCAGAGCGTCGTAGCTTTCCATATCCAATAAACAGCCAGTAATCACATTTCCAAGAGCAGAAAGCTCGTGATCTCCATGAACGTTTTTGTATGGTCTGCTTGGGTGTGGTTTATGATAGTCATTCTCATCAATGTCGGTCAAGATCAGAGACAGTTTCTTAAGAAAGAGGAGAGGATATTTTGGTGCGCTATGAATTTCCGTTCGGAAACAGCCACCCCAGTCCCAGAAACTTCATCCACTTTTGTGCCAGTCCTTTAGCAAGAATTTCTGCGCATTGTCCCCCGAACTTGCCATTCAGATCCAGATCAACATCTAGGCAGGCAGCAGAGCAGTGTCTTCTACTTTGCATTATATTTTCCGTTTAAAATAGAATTGCTGTCTGAGATCAAGTTTCCTCGCGTTCCGTTAATCTCTTCAATCTCAGTGCAGTCTACAACTTTGGCTGGCTTCATAAAGAAACCACCAGCCGAGGAGCCAAGGTTTGAGTAAGAATTGAATGAGAGAGTGGAAGAATCATATTCTTATCAAATATTCATTTTATTATAAAGCCGACTGGTCAAGTAATAATATTCCAAATTATTCATCCTGATAACGGTCAACTGGCCGATTCATTTCACTTGAGCAAGAGCTTACACGATGTTGGTTTTGTAACCTCCCTCCAATCTCTTGCATTGATGAGCTGTACGTTTCTGCTCCACACGCTTCCCCAACCACGTAAAGCTCAAAGCAAAAGTCGTTGTAAAGACACTTATGTTTTGCTCTTTCCAACTGGTTCAGATTCAAAGATTTCAGTTACGGTGACTAGCGCACGACATATAATAATTTAAGCTCATACAACCAGCTTTTTTCATATGCCTCACCTCTTCCAGGAAGATCATAAAAGCGTCGCTTTTAATAAACTTGATCTCTGGAAGAACCAACTTGTGCATTCTCTCCAAGCACCGACATGTTCGTTTAGCCTCCCCAAAACAATTCACGTCAAAGTTGCACTCATTAATTGTATGATAACCACGCCTAATGTAAAACAACCAAAATGCAAAGACAAAAATGGTGCACCCGGCAAACATTCAATATTAGAGACCTCATATATGGTCGTGACTCTGAATCACGTGCTCATCCCAGACACATCCCAATTACTCGACTTGACATGAGCAAGTTTATCCTGTACGATAATCCACCGGAAAATAATACACCTCCTGCCAGCACTTCCCAAAGTTCAGTTCAAAATAGATGTGCTTTCTCGTTTCCTACCTTGTCAATGATTAACGGAACAAAATATCAAAAATTACGCCCCAGGACATCGGTTGACCAGACTTGCCGAATTTCCCCGGATCTCAGGTCCCATGTACGGCCTGTATATAGTGGCAGATCTGCTACAGGTGAGCCGCAAGCTAAATGCACCCGTCATTGGTCAGATAGAACTTCAGCAGGATCATTTTCTCTTCCCGCCTCTTATATATATAGATATCACATCTGTAGAACATGTGGATTCGAGCATATGCCACTGCGGCACGTGACACCGTCAACCACGGCAAGCACGGTCTCCATCCATGGCCCAAAACCAAGAAACCAACGCCACATGAAATCTTCAACTTGCTGGAAAAGGACTGTCTGAACAGATTGGCTTACGATCGGGCTGTGCGGCGCACATACCAGAAGCTTGTCAAGCTCTACCACCCCGACATCTCTAAACTGCGCGAGATCGAGAATACGGACGGCTCGGTGCTTCTGGAGGACCAGAAAAAGAAGCGGTTCCACGAAGTCCAGAGCGCGTATGAAATCTTGAAATCCGCCCGGACCAGAACCGCGTATCACCGGGCCCAGACCACCACGTGGGGTGATTACAAACGTGGAAAAACGTCCAGCTTCGACGCCTATCGGATGGCCAATGCCCATCGCAAAAAGTACGCCTACGAAAACGACCCGAAATTCTGGCAGGCCGGCAACTGGGAAGACTACTACCAGATGCGATATGGCCGGTCTGCCCCCACGCGGGAGGAGTGGGAAAAAAACAAGTGGGGCATTTTGTGGAAGGTGCTTGCGGCTGCGTCCGTGGTGGTCACACTACAGGTCATGCTAGCGCTTGAAAAAACCAACGAATTCAACCGCCAGACACGGCTCATGAATTTGCGTGCTAATGCGGATCTAAGCGATGCGTACACAAACTACGATGAGGGCCTCACGCGGTTCCAGCGAATCCGGCGGTTTTTGCTATTCCGGAGACTGGGGCTCGGTGACCGGGATGCCGATGGCACTAAGGTGGCGGAAAATGAGATGTTGACAAAGTACGCGCAGGAACAGTTGAAAAGACCTGAGCTTCTGGAGGAGTACAGAGGTTCGTAGTAGATAGTTTCCAATGCTTAACGAAATCAACACTTTGCGACAAGCCTTCCGCTGAACCAAGCTCCCTGGAACAGCCGGTGGAATCTCATAGATGGAATTTTTGATGTTTTCCGGGGGCAATTTTGACTCTCCATTTGCACTTGGTGTTGTTCAAAACTGGATACGGGCATCTGCTGTGGTGATTGCCTAAGAAACGCGAACCTTATTCTTTTCTACTGTTTCCCAAGTTACTCAGTGTGCTGGGCCAGGTGGAAAGCATCCCTTTTTTTTATGGCTGGATTCATTATTCGTTTGGATGCAGTCTGTGAGCTAAAGCAACATATTTTGCAAATTTAGACTGGATTTGAATTCTAAAGGGTTGAAAAAAGACACGTTTCTGCTAAGTGGGGTTGAGCGAGCTCAAAGTGCATTGATTCGGGCACAGCTAGTACTGACAAGCTCACTTCAGAACTGGTAAATTTTTGCGGTAAATTCTCAATTCCTTATATGTTTGTCTGTTTTCATCAGCAAAAGACTTTTAGCTGAATTTTCGTGTCCCCTAAAATCTGATTCATCATTATGGTGGACATTGCAAGAGTTCTTTTTTGTTTGGTCACTGAACTCAGGCTTCCGAAAACCAAGTTTCATCATGAAATTGATTACCCATCGTGGGTCACGCTAGCTGAGTACTTTCTTGCGGTAGTACCATATAAAATTCGCCTTATTAAAGGGTTAAAAATATCATCATGCTTCTAACAAGGAACGCGGAGGCTTCTGGGTGAGTCGGCGTTGCTGGAATAAATTACTTGGCCAAATTATCAGAGGCGATGCTGACAAAATTCTAGCGTCGTTCTTTTGCCATCAAAAATGCTTGTATAATTTGGCAATGCTCCAATAATTGGGAGATGGTTTTTAAAATGAGGAGATTTCAGTTCAAATGTAGCAGGATTGAACTTTTGTTTTGAATTTAAAAACTTGAAAGAATGAAACAACCTACCGCTTTATGCTTTCTGTAAAAAAAATATTAGAGTGTTAAATCTATTGCTCCTTCAAAACCTTAAAGAGATTTTATGTAAATCTCACTTGTGCGCAAATTATAGTGAGAAAAGCAGAAGTTCCAACGTAGGTTTACAGAGTTTTATTCTGAGTTGAAAAAATTTGTGCAGATCTTTGTGGGCAATTCTATAACCCGGATGAGCACACAAGAGTTATACAGAACACTCTAACCAATTACAATTAGTATAATCGCTACAGAATTTTTTTCAACTTTTTGACAAATAAGGGGGGCGAATGACAGTGGGTTTCAAGTACAGCTTCTTTGAGCGTTTGTCTCCTAGTTTATTTTTTGATTGTGTTGCTCAGTAACGAATCCCATTGAGTTTATTAATGATGTCTACGACGGTTGTGAGCGATAGTTCTTTTGCAGACGACTAAATTCTTTTTTTCGCCTTGAATGTGAATTCGGCATCTGGCACATCTAATAAAACTGATGATAAAGGGACAGCATATAGCTATGCATGTATGACCAGACAAGACACGGCTGCTTAGCCACTAGTTGAGTATTTTATAAGAAGCGCCTGACTCAAAATTTATTTCTTTTCGAATAATCTTGTGCCTTTTTCGGTTGTCTACCAATTCGTCTAGAGCCTGCCGTCTAGTCCCCCAATGAAGGCACATATTTTTGAGACCAAAATCAAAGAAAAAAAAAAACCACTGCGCCTCTGCTTTTTCGAACTTTTAGCTGTCGATTCTCATTTATTTATTCGCTCTACATCATAGTGGCTAAAGTCATTTCGGATTGGCCATTGCCGTTTCACTAAGGAGAATTGCAGTTCGGCCAAGACGCGTGTACCTGCATATACAAAACACGTCCACTACTCGTCTAAGCTCGCCGTGCTCTACCATGGCACGTATAAGGTCAGCACTGGTTCAAATTTGCCAGCCAAATAAGACAGCAGAATAAGGAGTTTCTGTAGTAGGGACATAAGCAGCCAGCAAGAACTGATCACTGTCGGTAATAAAAGCTTCAGGATATGCAGTAAATTAGCGTTACTCAATGCGGCTCTTCTAGCCATAAAGGCCCTGCTTAATATTCTATGTGACATAGAACAGTATTTCCAAACAATAAAAAATCAGATGCTTCATAGTTTCGAGAGATGGCACCAATCAGTGCTGCATTGTGTTCAACTGTATTGACTATTGTTCGGTGAATAAGGGTACTGCACATACTTGGACCACTGTAGCTTTCCTGGGAACTCCAGCCCATTTCGCTTATCGCCTGTCGTTTTGATGCGCATATATTACGCCATATTTCTTAAATTAATCACATCCATGCTACAGCTGTTTCTCAAGACCTTTCAGTCAAATTCTGCAAGAACCCCATTGCTTTTTGCATACTTTGTCCGGGCAAAAAATAGTTCTTGCAGAACCCTGTCTCTTCTCCGCTGACTCATTCACCCACGTCACGTGACTGTGCTTGCGCGTGACATCATAGCCTGTTGCACAAGTCTTCATGAAGAAACCTCTATCTTTCACAAAAAACACCATGAATTTCCGAGAACCGGCCACTGTTTTGGACCTCAATAATATCCGTGCTAGCCTCGTGCGCATGGAGGAAACCATTGTTTTTGGGCTCATCGAGCGGTCCCAGTTTTTCTCGCTGCCCAGTGTCTATCAGCCTAACAAGTACAGGATCGAGGGTTTCAACGGGTCGTTCATGGAATGGCTTCTTTTGCAGACAGAAAAAGTCCACTCACAAGTAAGAAGGTACGAGGCACCCGATGAAACGCCGTTTTTTCCAGACCAGTTGCTCAAGCCGTTGTTGCCCTCGATCGAGTATCCCAAAATCTTGGCCTCGTACAGTGACGACGTCAACGTGAACAAGGACATTTTGGATTTCTATGTGCACAAAATTGTCCCACAGATGGCATGCGAACAGGGGGATCAAAACGAAAATTCAGGTTCTGTATCTGTGTGTGACGTTGAATGTTTGCAAGCACTTTCTCGTCGAATCCATTTCGGTAAATTCGTGGCCGAGGCTAAGTACAAAGCAGACCCCGAAATGTACAAAAAGCTCATTTTGGCCAGGGACGTACAGGGAATAGAGGCCAGCATTACCAACCAAGCTGTGGAGGACAAAATCTTGCTTCGTTTGAAGGAGAAATGTCAGACCTACGGCACGGATCCTTCGTTGAAGTATTCGCAGAGACCACAGGCCAAAGTGGACCCAGAGCTCATTGTGCATTTATACAAACAGTATGTGATTCCTCTCACGAAGAAAGTCGAGGTAGAATACTTGTTGCGCAGACTAGAAGACGACGAGTAGAGTGAATAATAGAACAATAATACAAATATTCAATATCACGTAGTGCGGACGGCGCGCCGGAGATTGGGGCTTTGCCCGGCGATTCCTGCAGCGGCGTGCAAGTGCAAGGACGTGTTGCAATACAGATACACGTGTCTGTTTGGTGTTTATTTTTCCGGGCTGGGATGGCTAATTAACGCAAGATATGCACCAGGCTTGGCCTCGCGGGCCCATGTGGAGCACGTTTTCACGCGGTGTGCAGGACGCGAGCCTCATTTTGCACCCATTTCCAGTAATTACCCAATTTGCCAGAAGCGTATAAAGTCTCGGCCTGGAACCTCAGAATAGTGATGCTGTATTTTTTCTGGTCCACGAAAACTTCTCTTCTGCGCCGGTGGAAAATAGGCGTTCTCCAGTTTGTGTCAGTTGTCTTGTGCTACTTTCTCTTCCGGCCCACAGACCTCCTGCCCCTAGCTGAGTACTGGGAGTGAAACTTCCACTACTTCTCCCGATGCTTTCGCTCTATTTTGACGCCAGCTTCTTGCAAGTGTTGGGCCTCTCCGTGCTTGCTTTCATGGCGCCCATGGTGCTCTCGCAGAAGTTTCTGCAGTTGGTGCGCTCCATCGCTGTTTTTGCCTGGGCCTGCTTTGTCAAGCCGTTGCTCAAAAGCCACACAAAACATAGCAACCAACAGCAGGCATTGGACCATTTCTACGGCAACCAGGCACACATTTATGACACAACGCGCAGTGTGCTTTTGAAAGGCAGGAAAGAATGTTTGCAGCTCGCCTCTGCTCACTTGCCCGAGGGCAAGGCCGGGTTAGTGTGGGTTGACATTGGCGGCGGCACAGGCAAAAACATCGAGATGATGAACGAGATTTTGCCTATAGCCGATAGGTTTGCTGCCGTATACTTGGTCGACTTGTCCCATGCTTTGTGCGAGGTTGCCCGTGCCCGTTTTGCCAGCCAGGCCTGGGGCGATAGAGTCCACGTGATTGAGGCTGACGCCTGTGACTTCACCATCGACTACAGCCACGCCGACTTGATCACGTTTTCCTACTCTTTGCTGATGATCCCCACGTTCAACGCAGTGGTGGACCATGCCGTGGGCTTGTTGGACAGAGACTCGGGTGTAGTGGCGTGTGTCGATTTCGGCATCCAAAGCAACGACACCACCGTGGGCCGCATCAACACGCTTGGAGGGCTCGTCAACAGGAATATTCCGTGGGTGCTCCGCAACTTCTGGCGCATCTGGTTCGAAGCGGACCGCGTGTTTTTGGACTCCGCCCGACGCAACTACTTGGAGTACAAGTTCGGCACGCTCAAGTCTTTGAACGCATACAACAACACGCTCGGCAGAATCCCATACTATGTGTGGATCGGCTGCCACAAGTCCCGCTCACATCTGTTGCTTCATCGCATCAACTGTCTAGCCACAGAGTCGCCATACCTTGCGCCCTCTGACGAGACAATGGACGCGGAGTACTCCATCTGCGGTCTTTTGGAAGGCCTGTTCCCTGGAGGCTCCCTTGCTGTGAGCAAGGGCCACGAGGCCGCTTTGGCCAACTTCAAGAAAAACTTGCCGTTCCCCTCAATCTACTACCAGAAGCAGCCATGGAGAGTGTACTTCGACGAGGTCAACTCGCAGTACCAGCAGTTTCGCAATCAGTACATATACGCGTTCACGTGGGAAGATCCCAGAGAGGACCACAAGATCTTGAAGTTCTCCGGCAACGACACCGTGTTGGCCATCACGTCCGCAGGTGACAACATCTTGGCGTACGCCAGCTTGCCGGACCCACCACGCAAGATCCATGCTGTGGACTTGAACCCATGTCAGAATCATCTACTCGAGTTGAAGTTGGCCTCTTTCAAGGGCTTGTCGCGCGACGAGATCTGGCATATGTTTGGCGAGGGCCGCATCCGCCAGTTTCGCCAGTTGCTCTTGCAGAAGTTAAGCCCCCACATGTCGTCCAACACTTTCCAGTACTGGATGGACAAGGGCGAGAAAACCTTCGACGTCAAGGGGAAGGGACTTTACGACACCGGGTCCACCAGGTGGGCGTTGCGCTTGGCCAGAGCCGTGTTTGCCGTGTTTGGGGCCGGCGCCCACATCGACGAGCTCTGTGAATGCACCAACATGAAGGACCAGATCCGCATCTGGAAGACCAAGGTCAAGCCGGCGCTCTTCAACCCGCTTGTGGCCACTCTTCTCATCGGCAACCCGATTTTCCTCTGGAAGGCGCTCGGCGTGCCCGCCAACCAGGCGGAAATGATGGGCGACTCTGTGTTGAAGTATGTCGTGGACACGTTGGAGCCCGTGGTGCACCGATCGTTGCTTTCCTCCGACAACTACTTCTACTACTTGACTTTGAAGGGCAAGTACCACCGCAACAACTGCCCAGATTACTTGACCGATAAGGGCCACCGCAATCTCACAACGACCCGTGATGACGGCACCGCGCCCATCGACAACATTCGTCTCCACACCGACACTTTGAATGACGTGTTTGCACGGCTTGCACAGAAATGCATCACCATTGCCATCATCATGGACCACATGGACTGGTTCGACCCGCGTGGCGACGACGCTGAAAAGGAGATCCGCGCAGTCAAGGAATGTCTTGTTCCGGGCGGCCGTGTCATGCTTCGTTCTGCGGCTCAGTATCCGTGGTACATCAAGACTTTCGAGAAGTGTGGATTCAAGTGCAAGCCTGCCGCGATCCGGCATCACGGCGAGTCCATTGACCGCATCAATATGTATGCGTCCACATGGGTATGCACCAAGGAGACGGACAAGACCAGTTGGCCCGGCGACAGCCGGCGCCGCATGAGCAGTTTGAAGATCTGATACCAGCTGTTGTCGAGTGTTGCGATGATACTTTCATTGTTGTGTCTCCCAGCTGTTTTCGGGGGCTAGACCTCTTGAGCCGGAGCAGGTTGGATTAATAGCTCGTAGTCTGATAAACCTCACCGCCACCTCCGAGACTTGCACGACCCGAAAGATCCAAAAACGCTCGGTTCGTATCTGCACGTTACCTATATCTGGATGGTGGAGTAGTATTCCCGATTCCAAGTAGTATTCCCGATTCCAACTCACAGCCACTCGCTCAACCAGTCCAGAGGTGCTCGCATTGCCAAACCACAACCAGCGCCCCAAGCCCCGGCATGCACATTCCATTCATATCCCCAAATTTGAAATAAATCACCAATTTTTCCCGGCTGTACTTTTCTGGTAGCACACCCTCATTTCATCCTTTGGCAAATCCCCTCCTAAAACTCACCGGAACATCAAGCCATCGCCTTCGCCCTGGGTGCGCCACTTGGCCGCAAACGTACCGCTGTTTTCTAAGCGGTAGAGCCGCCAGGCCTCGTGAATATGTTCCGGGGTCAACGGCATCTTGTGGTCGCCCAAATACTCGAGATTCTTTTCTGGCATCAGCAGCACGTCCTCGCCCCTGGCCAAGCGTTGCAAGGTTTCACGCTTTCGCTTTTTCTTGGCCTCCATATCGAGAATGAGCTGGGTTTTGAACTCGTTCTGTTGCACCTCGAAGGCCTTGGTGATCACGTCGCCCAACAACAGTTTCGAGAGCCCGGCCATCACCACCGCTATGTTTTGTGGAATCAGATGACCCAACACACTGTTGCAGATTTTCTTGACTCCCGGCTTGTTGACGGCCATGCGCCGGTATGCCTCGAACCTTTCCATCTGGTCGTTGGAGAACGAAGTGATGAGCAAGCGCTTTTTCTCGTCGTCGTCGGGCTCGATTTCGCCCTCTTCCTGCTCGCGGAGCCGGCGGTACTTTTCCACCAACTCCTGGTCTTCCACGTCGGAAAAATCCGAGAAATCCTCGTCAAAATCCACCGGTTTTTCCTCGGCTGCGGCCGGCTCCTCTAGCGGGCTGTAGAAGACGCGCCAAATCAACTCCTCGTCCTCCTCGTCGAGACTTACGTCACTGTGAATACTCTCGGAATCGCTCATCGTTTTATTTTTTGTTCCTGGAGATATTATATGGAGGGTATTCTATCGCACTATAGTTTGTTGGCAAGACACTGTATGAGTATTGTGGATGTACCAAGCCTGGCTGTCAGTTTGTTATAAGAGGGTTGCAGAGACTGTAACAAGCAAGTTTCTGTTTCCACAAGTAGGGGTAAGCACGCTGCAGGAAATGGCTTATTTTCCAGGACTTCTGTAAACAATTGCCAACCTTAGATGTAGATACTTGGGTGAAGCTGAGAGTGCGCGAAGCCCGTGAGTGCGACTAATAAGTAGTTGCCGGGCCCACGAGACGACTCAGACTACGAATGGTTTTCATAGGCTCGATTTCTTTTTGATGTGAGGTCATATATGTCATACTCTCTTAGCCTGTAGCTTTCTTGATTCCATAAAGAACGCATTCTCAAATGGTAACACTCCATGCTAGCTTGAGGGTATCTGAGCCAGAATATCCGAATCCATTTGAGTTGAGCCTTTATACGATTTTGGCGCTTGTGGCTGGCACATCATATCCAACTGTCGCTTTCGACACCCATGTGATGGATTGTGTGTTTTGTGAGGGGGGAGAAGACCTAGCTTGTTGGGTGAGCATCAATTTGCAGTATATATATCGAACAAGGGTTGATGAAAGAAGGGCAACGAGCTTTTTGCCTTGAGCCAGGGCCCGTTTCCATACTTCTGGCTTAAACAAAATGCCCAAACGTTTCTGAAAATTGTTTGTGAAAAGAAAAGCACCAAGACAACAGTTCATGCTCATGGTGCATGATCTGGTTTTTGGGAATGCGCAGTGAAGTCAAAGAGCCGAAGATGATGCCAGAGGTACGTTGTTAATGCTTTCGTCCCAGTATAGACCCCACTTTGAAGTTTTTCTCGCATTATCAAATGCCTGGAATATACATGTTAGAAACGGCCTCGCAAAACTATATTGATGAGATGTCTCTGACATGATACCGGCCAGTATAGAAAGAGAATACATGCTTTACCGATGGGGTTTGAGTGCTTAATCGTATGATCCGGCCAGGAGGCACACAAGAATGGCATCTCGAGATGGTATGAGGAACTCACGGTGGCGATTTGGAATCGTACGTGGGGATGGTGAAATGCTAAATAACGATGCGCAAGAGCATCTACAAGGAGGGTGGGAGAGAATAAATATGACACATGTCCCGAGAAGCTGATAAGCCAGAGCAGCAAAGATGGTACGCAAAGATGCGCAGGATGGAAAGTGGCATTGGAAAGTATTGAGGATAGAAGACGTGAGCCCGAAACCAAGCAAATACGTGGAATAGCGCAGGGGATATTGCCGGTCCTTCCAAAGACTGACCTGTCGACCCGTCGTTGCATTCCTACACCTTGAGCTTGTCATGTAGTGCCATAACCTCGGTCAAGCGGCTTGCCCAGTCATGGGTCTCCTCCAGCAAAATGTCGTCGACGATGCGCAGAATGTGCATGTACGCCCTCGTGTCAAAAGGCTCTTGCGCAATAAGCAGGTCCAACATCTCCACGAGCCCGCCGAGAATGTAGTGTTTCATGACACTTTCGGCAACTAGCCGAAGATTGGAGCAGTCACGCGGGAGCCGGATGGCCTGCTTGATAGCCCTGGTGGCGTCCTCGAGGAAAGAGGTGATGTTGTATGTGTCGGTCTGCGAGAGGCGCAAGCGGCGCTGGTACTCTGTACCGTAAACGTTGCCTTCGCTGAGGGGCTCCTTCGCCAGGGGGTCCAAATGGCGCAAGGGCACGTTCTGCACGGAGTTTGCATACGGGCGCATGGTAGTCAGGTAGAAGAAGGACAATTCCGAGGAGGAGTTGTGCAAGAGGCCGGCCGTGGCCCTGTGCTTCAGCACGTTGAGCACGTGCACCGAGGGCACGATCTTGACGTACGCCAGGATCGCCTCGAACTGCCGCATATGCTGCAAGATGGCGGCGGAGATCTCGGGCCGCGTCTCGCCCAGCTCCTCCGCAGCCACGAAGTTGATGTTCAAGTGCCGCGTGACGTCTTGCAACCTGCAGCGGCCGGCGAGCATCTGCCTGCGCATGTCCAAGTCGGGCTGCAACAACGTGTCGTATATGGCCTGTGTGAGGAAGAACGGCAAGTCGTTCTGGTGGATGAAATCGAGGGAGTACGCCATGTACGCCTTGAGCTGCACGAGGTCCAACGACAAGCGCGGCAGGTCCTGGAAGTAGATTTCGACCGAGTACTCGGGCACGCGAGTCTGGGGGGCGGCCGCGCTGGTATTGCTGAGGCCCCTGCCCAAAGTGCTGGGCTCAAGATGCCGGGGATTTGCCAAAGTGCTCGGCTCGAGATCCCGGGAATTCCCCCTGGCATCTCCGTCCCTGGACCCGCCCAAAACACTGGTCCATTCACCCACATTAGAGCCTGCTCCAACCGGGTCCTCGGCTGTGCTCGGGCCCCCGCCCCCAGAAGGCCCATCCCCCTCATCGGTGAGAAGCGGCGGCCGGGCAAGCGCCGCCTCAAGCTCCGTTTCGGGCCGCGGCACGACTTTCGGGAGCCGGTCCCTCAACGGGTATCGGTAGGGGATTCCATCCGCAGCAAGCCGGAAGTCTAGCTGCCGCTGGGCGGCCTCCACCAAGTCGGGGAAGCGGAAGCCGCGGTCGCCGAAATCCACATGCACTGGCTGGGCCACGGAGAAGTTTGCAAGCACAAAGTCCCGCAAGAGCCGGGCCTGCTGCACTTGTGACGTGGGTGCCGGGGTTTGAAAAAGGAGCCAGGCACTGAAGGCCGCGGCCACGGCAAGAACGAACATGGCCGTTTAGAAGAAGCAAGTGTTTGAGACTGCAGACTATGGATCTGTCGGGGTAGAATTGTCGCCTGTAGAGCTGCCAATTGTATCACTGATGATTGTGGAAGTGATGACTGTGAAAGTGATGACTGTGGAACTGATGACTGTGGAGCTGATGACTGTGGAACTGATGACTCTGGACCTGATGACTGTAGAGTTGCCGACTGTATAAATGCCGACTATATGACTGTCGCCTGTATAGCTGCCAATTATATCACTGATGACTGTGGAACTGTCGACTGCAGAAATGTCGACCAGATCACTAACTGTGGAGCTGCCGAATAGAGAGCCGCCGAATAGAGAGCCGCCGAATATATTTGTCGACTGTATAAACGCCAACTATACCACTGATGACTGTCAACTCTCGACTGTATAAAAGCCAACTATATCACTGATGCTTGTCAACTCTCGACTGTATAAACGCCAGCTATACCACTGATGACTGCAGAACTCTCGACTGTATAAAAGCCAACTATACCACTGATGACTGTAAAACTGTCGGCTGTAAAATGCCGCCAGATGTGCCAACTGTAGAGCCGCTCACGACATCACTGATGACTGTACAGAACTGCCGAATACAGAGCTGACTGTATAGAGCTGCCTAATATAGAGCTGCCGATTATAGAGCTGCCGATTATAGAGCTGCCGAATAGTCAGCTCCAGCTGTACAGCGACCAGCTGCATAGCTACCAGATGTATAATTACCGCATATATGTCGTCTGACTATCTCCGGGGCTGCCGAGAACAAGGGTGCCGAACCCAGGGCAAATCCACCTGAATCCCACCAGCGCAAATATACATGGGCCGCGCATCACCAGCGGGTGGCCTGCACACAGCGGCTCGTCGGCCCAGTCTTCGGCCCAGCCGGGCCTGACCAGGCGCCCATTCCACGCCACACCCGTCTGTTCCCCATGAGTGTGCCGTCCGTGCCCATAGAAACACAGGCCGTGCCCGAAAACCAGGAGCAGCAGTTTGTGCACGAGGTGTACAACGAAATAGCGGCGCACTTCTCGCAGACCCGCTACAAGCCCTGGCCCATCGTAGAAAAGTTTCTTCGTGGCCAGCCGGACTACAGCGTGGGCATCGACGTGGGCTGCGGCAACGGCAAGTATTTGGGTGTCAATCCCAAGTTGGTCATTGTAGGCTCGGACCGCTCGGACGGGCTCGTCACGTGCGCCCAGCAGAACTCCAACAACGCCCACCTCTTATGTGTGGCGGACGGGCTCCACTTGCCGCACGCCAACGGGCGCTTTGACTTTGCCATTTCCATTGCCGTGATCCACCATTTTGCCTCCAAGGCCCGGCGCGTCGACGCCATCCGCCACGTGCTCTCCAAAGTGAGAACCAGGGGGAAGTTCCTCGTGTACTGCTGGGCGCTCGAGCAGGAAAAGTCCCGCCGCGGCTACAAGGAAGGCGATGACCAGGACATCTTGGTGCCGTGGGTGCTCCAGAAAAAGCAGAAGAAAAAGCCTGCGGGTGCGGGACCTGGGGCCGTTCCCGAATCCGGCGACATCAAGACGCCCGATCTGGCCCCGGAAACAAAGTACAGATACTACCACTTGTACCGCGAGGGCGAGTTGGTGGCGGACGCCGAGACTGCCGGGGGGCGTGTGGTGGAACACGGCTACGAGAAGGACAACTGGTGGGCCATTATAGAGAAGGTGTAGGGCGATGCGGCCACGCGTCTTGGATGGAAGATGCTGCTTGGATGATGCTGCTTGGAAGATGCCGTTTGGATGAAACATGCTGCTTGGAAGATGCTGCTTGGATGAAACATGCTGCTTGGATGATGCTGCTTGGATGAAACATGCTGCACGTAGGGTGTGTTGGCGAAGATGCGTGGAGCCCATGCCCGCATGTCTTCCTAGAAGAGGCTGGGCCGTGCCATACGAAAGGAGAGATGCATGTGTAGCACGTGGCGTGCTGATATACGAGGCATGGTGAAAATCGAGGGTTGCTGGAAACCAGTGTGTTGCTGACCGCCAAGCGGTCACGGGAAATGGAGGGATGCTGATGTCAGGGATCTCCAAGAATAGAGGGCTTGCTGAGAACAGGGGACTTGCTGAAAAAAAGGGCTTGCTGAAAAAAGATTTCGGGAAATATAGGGCTGGCTGAAGAAAGGGAATCCCGAAATCAAGGATTCAAGTCCAACCTGAGCCCATGACGTGTCCAATTGAAGGAGATTTTCAAGAGGTTGAATGCTCTGCGCATCTGGCTCATTAAAAGTTGTAGAATAGGTATTGGTGAAAATGGCATTGGTACCGAAGAATGCGTTCATGTTTATGCTCGATATTGGGAAATTTATTGCGTCTCAGGCTTGTCTTGGTGGGCCGTAGTCATATGGTACGAATCATCGCATTTCCCATCAAGGATGCTCAAGGATTTAAGAGTCGTTAAATGGGTACATATTAGCCTGTTGTCTCTTTCTTTTAAGCTCGGCTTCACAACCTGAGTATGCGAGAAAGAAAGGATAGTTCGGTATTGGTATACCAGATTACTTGCTACGTAAGTGCCAAAAGCTATCAGCGTTCAATTCACTGGCTATCCGAGATAAACTGACATATAACACAATGGTAAGTGTAATATCAGACATATCTTGGGCACAACATCACATTCGGAGCAGCCACGCAAACTCGTTTGGCAAGATCTCATCTGAATGCTCCAGACACCGAAACAAGCGCGACGACAATTTCCCAGGGCTCTTTATATATTCCAGCCTCAGCCGAATAACTTATCGGCGTAGAAAAACGATGGTAAGTATGCTTTCCAGCTTTTGTTGGATTGCATCAGCCCTCACAAAATTGGGCGCCGAAATGAGGCTTTCAAACATACTTCAGCATTCGCCAGGACAGCAAGCTTGAACCGCGTCCGCTCAACTGTTCGAAGGCTATGCATATATGGCCTTAAAGCTTTGCGATGTTCAGTAAAGAGCTAATAGAAGAGCTAATAGTACCAGGCCCCACTGAATGACCCAGCAGTGCAATGGCAAGAAGATGTTTGAGCAGAAGCTGATCTTTCTACGAGCCGTATGTGTTTAGTCTATGTTATATTGCACCAGAAAATCTTCTACGCCACGATCTGGCAAAGTTGAAAGATCTGAATCTCAGTGAAGCTCTTTAATCCAACCAACGTCTGAAAGCAGACCCACTACATAAACCGGATGATCCAGGTATATTTCGCCATCTTTCGGGTCCCAACAGTCATCCCTATTCACACCAGGGCTCAGGCTTCGATGTGGTCGGAGCTTCACCCGTTTTGAGGTCGTTTCTATTGCCTTCATTGCGCGTTTGGGTTTTGAAAACTCAAACAACCGCATAGAATATAGACTCCTTGGTCCGCGATTCAAGACGGGCGACTTGCAACTATTACGCCATTATCCTATAAATCCGCAGGCCTCGGGATGAGATGAAAAAGCCATGATTGATAAGCTTTCCCCTCCAGAAGTGTGGAGAGGGATTTGAGAGGCGACACAAACAATCTGGACTGGAAACTGGGATGTAGCAAAAGTGCAGTGGTAAGACAGCTGGCTCTAAAGACACTAAAAACTCGTATAATGTCCATAAGTGTTCATGACAAAGTTCACAAACATGCGATATTTTGTGTTGAAGAAGTTGAAAATCTATTCCATTCATTCAATAGGAAAATGTCAGAAAGCTTGTCAGATTTGGACTTGATGCAGTCACTGGGTTTTAATACAGAACCCTGCAAGTCTTCAAGAGACCTGACTACCTCGTGGGAGCAGCGTCACTGTATTTAAAAACACAACGCCGGACGCTAGTTTCCAAAGAGCTATATTCTACGGCACCAATTTCCAAAATGCCGACTTAAAGCAAGTGTTAATTTCCAATTGGTGGTGGTCGAAGTGCTACTTTATGAAGCGCTAATTTATGAAGCGCTATGCACTGAGGTGACGTGTTCCAGATCCGGCCCCAGGCCTGTATGTATGGCTCGGGCCTCCAAAGGTATGACTTCCTGGAGAAAGACCGATGCCGGGTTTTCCAAGACACACGTGACGCTGGACTCTGCTGATAACACACCATCCACGTGTATACTTCCTTGGAAAAAGAAAACCGTCTAACTGTCTTCATAAAAAGCTCTCAACGTACGGCTCAATAGAGACCTTGTGTGCATGAACATACAAGCGAGACCGAGCAGTATCGCGAACCTGAAAGGTGGGGCGAGCCGGCAACTTGCAACCAAACCACGCCAAGGCACCAGGCAGAACACGGAAAATCAATTATGAACAACACCCAAAAAAAATAAAAAATGAAAAATAAAGAAAAACAGGGTTCGGCCAGCCACACAAACCAAAAAAAGGCACATGAAACGAAGCCCCAGCAGTGATCACTCGGACAAACTAGAGCGCTGCGGGAAACCCGAAAGATAAACTCCGTCCGAGCCCTGGCCCCGCGCAACCCTCAAAACCTTCTTTTACCGTCTCTCAGCGGACCCTCGAAAATCCTCAGCTAGCTACCACTTTTCTTTCTGCGCGCGCAGGCAAAAAAAAAAAAAATAAGAACAGAACAATGGCAACCCGCGCAGCCAAGGATACAGTGGTGAGGGCCACGGACCTCGACGCGCTCAGCTGCAGGCACTCGGCCAACACCAAAGGCTATTTCTTGCCTGCCGACCCCCATGTTGCTCTGCTCGTGGGCGCCTACGAATCTGCCCTCCAGCACTGCGACGGGTACACGCAGCTTGCCGCGGGGCGCACGCTCCGGTCGTCGTTTGGGGCCCCCAAGCTCCCGTTGATCAACCGAGGCACGTACCTCCGCACGGCGGCCATCGACCTTGTAGTTTCTCTGTTTATAGCCGAGCACGGCGCGTGCCAGGTGGTGTCGTTGGGCGCCGGCTCGGACACCAGGGGCTTCCGGGTCTTGCAGCAGCACCCCGGCGTGTCGTACACGGAAATCGACTTTGCCGAGTCCACGCGCATCAAGAAGCTAGCCATCAGCAGGCTGCCGGCGCTCCGGCGGCTCGTGGGCGCCGAGGACTTGGCCGCAATCGACGTCAACTCGCGAGCAGACTTGGCGGCCATGGACCCGCACTTGCACGGCGCCAACTACCACTTGGTGGCGCTCGATCTCCGCGACCTTGCGGCCCGCGGCACAGACGCCTTGGCTTTCTTGGACTCGGCCCTGCCCACCTTGGTTGTGTGCGAGTGTGTCTTGTGCTACTTGCCGCCAAAGGCCACCGTGGATGTGCTCGCGTTCTGGAAGCAGAGCCTTCGCCACGTGGCCGTGGTGGTCTACGACCCCATGGGTCTCGGGGATGCGTTTGGCGCCATGATGGCACAGAACCTAGGCCGCAGGGGCTTGGACATGCTCTCGTTCTCCATGTACCCGGACTTGCCTGCGCGCAAGAAGCTCTTTGAGGAGACGCTTGGTTTCCAGGCCCACCTCACGGACTCGGCGCTGATTGGGGGGTACAGCGGGAGCCCGGGGCCCTGGCTCGGTGCCCAGGAGGCTGCCCGCGTGGGGCGGCTTGAGATGATCGACGAGGTCGAGGAAATCGCGCTTTTGTTGCGCCACTATTGCCTCATTTACGCCGAGGCCGGCTTGCTGCTGCGCTTCGCCGCTCAGCTCCCGTGGCTTACGTGACGTGGGTCCTATGTAGTAGCGTTGTACTACATCGTGCTAGCTGGCGCTATTTGCTGGCTGGCGCTATCCGGTGTGCGCGAGCACGGAATCAGGCGCCCGCCAAAAACTTGATCTGGCCCGCCACCTCTTCGCAGATCTTCTTGCGGCGGTCGCTGCCGACGCCGGGGACGTTGGCGAGCTCGATGCGGGCGTCGCACGCCCATTGCTTGATGTGCCTCATGATGTGCAACTCCGCATCGAAGCCACCGGTCTCCTTGATCATGTGCTCCGAGTATAGCCGGCGTCGCTTGTTCTGGCCGTCTTTGGGGCCCCGGCCAAACCCGTTTTTTTCAAACAACTCGTCGAGATAGAACTTGGGCCAGTTGGCGTGCAAGAACATCAACGAGTGTGACTTGTACATATGGAAGTCGTAGTTGCTCTTCGTGTCGTCCTCTTGGTCCAAGGCGTATTCTGTCTGCGCCCTGGAACTCCGGTCGGGCATCGTTGACTGGAAGTGATCTATGATTGGGTCGTACTGGCCCATGCCAAAGTACTCCCGCTTCTGGTTCTTGCCCATGGGACCAAACTCTCGGTTGAACTCCCCGACTTGGTAATAAGGGAGCCCAAGCTTGTGTGCTGCGGCAATGAAAGTTTCCTTGTCTCCCTCGCCGGCCGCACCCTGACTAAACAACGGATAGAAATAGTCTGGCCCATAAAAGTTATAGTACATGGACAAGACGAGGGTGGGAAAGTGCTTCTCTTTATCAATCATCATCTGGCCCGTTTCACTGGACGCCTCGGGAAGCGCGCCTTTAAGATCATGGAAGGAGATTAAAGCGGGGTCTGAAGACTCACCCCGCCCGTCGCCTTTGAAATAGCTGTTTCTGGCGTGGTGTGTCTTGTCCACTTCGATGCCGGCGATCTCATAAAACAGCGGCGAAGTGGACCGCCTCCATAAGTCGGGCCACATCACCATGCGCAGAGACTTGAAAGGCTCATTGACGAAAAGCACGTCAGGGTTTTTGACCGGAACGTTGTCTGCGTCCAAATAAAGCACGTTTTTGAACGACGACACCAAGAGGGCCACGTTTTTCAACTGAAACCCACCGATGCGCAGCATCACAGACGCGGGCACGAAGTCTTCCATAACACGGCACTTACCGTTGAGCTGGGGCAAGATGATGTTGCACAAATCGATGTTGTAGTCACTTCTTTTTGGCACTATCACTTCGACTGGAATCTTTGATCCCAAAGAGCGCAACACGGACACAGAAGTCAACACCAATTGGTCGTATTTGGCACCGCCAAGATACACGATTCCGTCGCCCTTCATGAACCCAAACTGCAGGCCTTTCTTCAATATCTGCTCAGGTATGGACGTCTTCATTGCCAGCATGTACTTCTCATGGGAATTCTTCAACGAGCTTGTTTCGTCCTCGCTGAGTCGCAAGAAGGATTTGAGGTACTCGAAAGAGCGCACAGGCTCGTTCAAGTACTGCTCACGCAAGTGACCGCCATACACCGGAATTCGACCATCACGGTTGACATACCGGTTCTCGTCCTTCGATTGGCGGTAGTGCTCGTCATTGTTGATGCCATTCACCGATGGCTTGTGCTCGTCGATGTTTTTCATGAGGTCCAGGAAAAACTCCTCAAATGCGGCCAGAAAACCGTAGTACTCTATGATAGGGCTTTTGGTGCCTATATTGCCGTCTTCGTTTGCCAGATCAGCAGACCCGTCAGTGGGCAGCATAGCGGCGGGCTGGTTCTCGTACGTTGAGATTTCAAAGAACACAAATTCATTGGTAGTTTGAGCGTGCGCCAAGTTACGAAGCCTCTGTGTCTCCTTATCCTCGCTGTCCCATACAGCGCCTGTCAGACGGGTGGCAACGAGCAACCCACGGTCACGATCATCAAAATAAGTCCGGTATACGGCCTTGGAGAATTTCGGTGGCGCTGAAGTTTCTCGCTCTGGGGCAGCAGGCAGTGTTTCTGGGATCTTCTGTGCCAATGTATCTAGCGACAGTTCGAATTCGCCGTGGCGGCTTTCGAAAACAAAAAACCAAATGTTGAGGACGACCACGGCAAGTATCCCCGCGAAGATAAGCCGGGTCGTTTTATTGGACATGACCGGTGCAGCCATTTCCGAACGTGAATGAACAGGGTGCTAGCACTTCTATTTGCTAGTGCTCAGAATATGATTCAGCTGACAAGACGGGAAATTTGTTGTGCCTGGATTCCACACACTCAGTCTTTTCAAGGGTCGTGGCGAGTGTTGGCGTTTTTTCCTGCAAATGCAACGGACAGTCGAGCTCGGTTTAATGTACAAAAGCGTTCAACGGACAGCAGTTTTGAGAAGGGTCCTTGGGAAGGATTTTGATGACGAAGGCTCAAGATTCTTGCGGGAATGGCTCGCCTTGCATTCCACGCGTGGGCCATCCGATGTACTTGTCCTGCACGGCGCCTCTGGCCGTGGTGCGCGTATTGAAGCGAGAAAATTCTTATTGTTTTGGAGATTAAGCGAGAAAACAGTCAGCAGGAGTCAGGTCCAGATCCCGAAGATTTAAACTCGGGGAGTAGGCAGCAGCTCGATACATCCTCGTATACCTTGTCTGTGACTGCTTGTCTGTCATCCAATTGCTATAAAAGCATTACACTTCGCGTTGCGTCTACATTGATTGCAACAATACTTTGGCCCATTCTATGAATGCATCAAGAATTCCACCTCTAATCAATCATAACTTTGGAACCTATTACCGTCCTTGCTACTACTACATGAAACAGAGATATCGTTCACTCTGTCCATTGGTATCCCCATGACAGAGACCAGAGATGACCCCTCCTTATAGATAATAATACACTTATCACCTTTCCAACCACACGTAAAATTCGCTTCTTTTTATTTACTCTACACTTATGTACACATAGTTTGGTTTCAATCACAAGCCCTGAATTAAGCACATTGCGTGACTGTGATTCATTTCGTAATTGATTCCCACAATCTATCTGCTTCGTAATTCTAAACGGCTCCCGAACAGCCACACAACCACCTACTTCCAGATACTCAAAATACTGGAATTTGCCCTATAAGTCAAGGAAAT